GAACATGCCTCTGGCTTCGTCGCCCTGGCGACTTCCTGCTTCCCTGACCAATGATGGAATCTGCCTCTCAGAAACGCCGAGCTGCTCGTCGCGATGACCGCCGCTTTCGCGAGCTCTATCGTTACTTCCAGCCCGCCAACCCTGCTGCTCTGCTATACCCTCAGTATGTGCCTCCTGGCGAGGAGGACCCGGCGCGGCCTGTGTCGGATAACGTCGAGGACGCCAACATCTCCCTGGCCTCGGTGCCCTCGGCGCCCACGGGCCCTGTGAGCCCCAACACCACCTTGACCTCCTTCGCTCAGCTGGCTGCCCTGCGATTAAATGCCCAACGGGCCATCATCAGGTAGGTGTTTTTTGCCTTGGCTAATAATGAATCTGTTTTTATGCTTTGGTATTGATCTCCCCCCGGTGTCCTGGACCGCGACACAGAATACTTCCTGGCCGAGGCCACTCGCACGCTGAATCTGCGACATGCCGACCAGCCTACCACCGCCGAAGACGCTCTCTGGATCGGATGCACCAACGATACCCGGTTTGGGCCCAAACTCAACCAGGTGAGAATGCGCTTGATCATCGTCCGTCTCGCCTTATTTTCCTGCTACTCCTCACGGAAAGCTAATACGGAGCCTCTGTCGTCTGGATGAATTGAATAGACTACCGTGGCACTTCCTGCGTCGGACAAGGATCATTATCACTTCCATATCGTCGAAGATTTGAGCGCCAATGAGGCCTACAAGAACCTTCCCTTTGTGGCAGGTCCTCCGCACTTTCGATTCTACGCTGGCACGCCCTTGACGACAGAAAACAAGATCAACATTGGTGCTTTTTTCGTCCTCGATCCCGAACCTCGATCTGGCCTCACCCAAACGGAAAAAGACACACTCGGTACTTTGGCCGCCCTGGCGATGGATTTTCTCCGTGTCAGCCGCCAGGCATCCGAAGGACGGCGTGCTGCTCGACTCTCTCGCGGCCTGAGCTGCTTCGTAGAGGGGAGTTCCAGTTTTGTCGACGGTATGAATTCCTCGCGCACCCCCTTTTCGGTTCGGGAACCCACCTCGCCCCCTGCTGCCATCTCCCGGTCTCGCGGGTCGCGGGGGTCGCGGGGTTCGCGGGGTTCTCGCGGTAGCAGCACCGATTTTCGTCCCAGTCGATCACCGGTGCTTTCACAGAGTGGTGAAGGCGGCATGTCCGGCGCTTCGTCAGAGGACAAGGCGGAGACGGGGACATCGTCCGATGCCACCACACCACTGCCAGACTGGCTCGTCGCCGGGCACAAAGGCGAGCCAAGCCGGACGGGGGACGAGATGCATAGCAATCTATGGGCCTTCCGACGGGCGGCCAATCTCATCCGCGAGAGTCTCGAGTTGTCTGGGGACAGCGGAGTGATTTTTCTGGAGAGCAGCAACACCCCGCTGGACGGCGACAACGGGCGATTGGATTACTTTGATGATCCGGGGACCTCGGCGCACGTCCTGGCCATATCGACCAACGAACAACCGTTTGCGCCCGAGCCGGGTTCGGCTTCGAAATGTCCCGCTGCCAATTTCGACCGGCGGTTCCTGCAGCAGGTCCTCCGTCGCTATCCCAAGGGGAAGATCTGGTCGTTCCATCGCGACCGCAGTCTCTTCACCTCGTCGGACGACGACGACAAGCCTGGTCCCGACTCCCCTGTTTCTATTGTCAAAACGCCGCCGGACGGCCCCCGTGGGAATGCAAAGAAGTGGCGCGCCACCGAAACTGCCATGTTGGGCAAGTATTTTCCCAATGCCAGTCAGGTGCTTTTCGTGCCTCTCTGGAACCCTGCAAGCTCGCAGTGGTTCGCCGGCTGTTTCTGCTGGAACTGCAATGAGACTCAGGTGTTCAGCTCTTCCGTGGAGCTCGCTTCCATCATGGGGTTCGGATACTCGATCATGGCTGAATACAGTCGCGTCGAGTCTGTGATTGCGGATCGACAGAAGGGTGATTTTATCGGGAGCATCTCGTACGTAGCCATGTGGCCTGCCTCTATTTCACTCTCCTCATCAACCTATTTCTACAAGAATTACAATATAGCTAACTGTCTATCAGGCACGAGCTCCGGAGTCCTCTACACGGAATTCTGGCGGCAACTGAATTCATGGACGGAACACGTCTCAGTGAGTTCCAGAAGTCCTTGTTGGACACGATCAACGCGTGCGGCCGTACCCTGCTCGACACCATGAACCAGGTCCTGGACTTCAGCAAGATTGTCTCGCTTGAGAAGAGCTGGCGCCAGATCAGACGGTCGCGTGACAACCGGCGTGAAGTAGACAACCTGAAGGGAGTGGATAGCATGGCAGCTCTTCTCGATTCCTACGTTTGTGAAGATATTGCCCTGCTTGCGGAAGAGGTGGTGGAAGGGGTCTGTCTGGGCCATGCTTACGGCCGTTCCACGTCCTCGGGGTCCTCTCCACCCACGGCACTGTCGCAACCGACCACCAGTCCCCTATCGACACCAGGCAAGGAGGGTGTCACGCGCCCTGAGGTGGAAGTTATTGTGGATATCGAAGAGGGGAACTGGGTGTTCAGGACCCAACCGGGTGCGTTGCGTCGGATTATCATGAACATTTTCGGAAATTCGATGAAGTACACCGAGCGGGGCCGTGTGTCGCTTCGCCTAGAGTCAGTCCAGGCGGATGAAGCGCAGTCGAGTCGAAAGGAGTCGGAACAGCTGGTCCTGTTGACGGTGGCGGACACAGGCAAGGGTATCTCGGAAGATTTCCTTCGCGCGCGTCTGTACACGCCTTTTGCGCAGGAAGACACTCTGGCGGTCGGCACCGGCCTTGGACTTGCCATCGTTCGCAGCATCGTCAAGTCGCTGGAAGGCCATATCAGCATCAGAAGTCATGCCGGAGAAGGGACGGTAGTGAAAGTATCTCTACCTCTGACCCGACCGTCCCCGGACGAAGCGGCGTCTGTCGACTCGCGGTCGCACCAGCAACTGTCATCCCAGGATATGCATGAGCTGCGGAATATGTATGCCGAGAAAACGGTCGCGATTCTGGGATTCGATCCGAAAGCGTCCAACAACTCGGAACTGTCTCGCGTCATGGCTCGCTATATTACCGACTGGTTCGGTCTCAAGCTCGAGTCCTGGCCACCTCAGGGCCCTGTCGACGTCTTACTGGCCCAGGACTATGATCTGACCGAGGAGGTGAAGGCTCAGTCCTTCCCCCGCTCATCGGCCCTGATTGTGTTGTGCAGCAACGCCGTTGAGCATGACTCTCACCGGCGGGCCTGGTTGTCGCTGGCGGCATCCATTGATTTCCTACGTCGACCGTGTGGTCCTCACAAGTTGGCGCGGAGCATTCTGCGATGCGTGAAACAGTTGTCCGTATCTCCCGCTCAGCCTGTCAGCCAGCACCCGTTGGCAGATCGCACACGTTCTGCAGAGACTGCCGACGGACCAGGAGAGTTGGGAGGTAGCTCTGATGCGGCAGGTGGCGATTCAGTTAAGGAGCCGCTTGACCAGCAACCGCGTGAACCAGACACGACAACAGGAGGACCTCCGGAGCCAGCGCAGACTCCAGACGAATCACCTCAACCTGTCGATGGAGTTGATGGGTGCACTGCAGCCACGGCACCGGCCTCCCCGGAGCCAGAACAGATTGATCCCGCGCCGTCTGTCCCCGAGCAACGTCGTAATTCGGCCCTGTCACGGCCCATCAACGTGCTGGTGGTGGATGACAATCAGATCAATCTGCGGCTGCTCCTAACGTACCTGAAACGACGAAACATCGGGGTTCTAGACTCGGCGGAGAATGGCAAGATGGCGGTGGAAGCACTGGAGAAAAGGCCGGAGGGGTATGACATAATCTTCATGGGTAAGCACTAGCATTCGGAAGAAACTGAAGATTGAGGACATTGCTGACAGTCGCAGACATCTCCATGCCAGTCATGAACGGCTTCGAGGCAACGCGCGCCATCCGCGCCATCGAAAACGAGCGTGACGGGCAGAAACCAGCGACGATCATCGCGCTGACGGGCCTGAGCAGCGCGCGCGACGAGACAGAGGCATTGACGTCGGGCGTGGACCTGTTCCTGACCAAACCCGTTTCCTTGAAGGAAGTGTCCCGCTTGCTGGACGAGTGGGAGTCGAAGCAGAAGAACGCGTGAAACGCGTGATCTTAGTTATCTTTTTTTATTTTTACGGTGTAACGATAGAAATTGTCTGGTACTACTCTACGGATTGATTGATACCCGGCATGTTGTTAATTTGGGACGGATGGGTGTCGCAGGACTTGCAGGCGTTTTGTTTATTTTTTTCGGTGGTCTTGAATTGAATTGATTTGATTTCGGCGAAGGAAAGGAGGCTGGCTGGGGAGTTTGACGGTCTTGTCATGGATGAGGCATGCATGCAATTAAATTGAATCTCGGAGTGTCAGTTTTGAGAGCTATTATTTTTGGATTTTCTTTTTATTTCCTCTTGTGTATATACAGAGGATATAGAGAGCAATATTGGTATGGAACGAGCGATAGAATAGAGAGAGAGCCGATTCGCATTGGACTTCCATTTATCCTAGCACTGATCTCCAGTATTACTGGAAATAATCGTATGACCAGCAGATACCCCGTAGATTCTTGATGCCTGCAGAATCAGGCTGCCCTGCGCTGAACGGCAGTTGTATTCTTAGCGAGATCTTGGCACAAAATGGCGCATGTTTGATCAAATCCATCAAAGGACTCGAAATAAGAGTCATATACTTACTAATTAGACTGATTTACGCTCTGGGGAGAGATTCCTGCTCTATTAGAAGGGGAAAGAAAATATGATAAGAACCCCTATATACGTATACATTTTAACCGGCTGTGGCAGTGCACACTTCCTTTCCTCTGTGAGAGTACTGTACATTACGATTAACCTTCTTGGGAACTGCTTCCTTTATGGAGTACTTTACTACTAGGTACTTACTTAGCTATCTTCTAGCTTCCTAGCTAGGTAGTCTGCTTACTGTACAGTGACTGACTGCCATCGTGGCTGGCCCCGTGCCAAATATCGAATCGGAGCCTAAAAAAAGAAAAAAAAACTTGGCGGGAAAGCGTCCAGAATCCAATTCTGTCAAGTATGCACTCTGATTCATTGGATCTATGGATCCAGCCCGCAGCGACCAGCGTGTTGGGCGCCCATTTGTTTGGTTTCTCACGTCAGCCATCAGCTGAAAGGAAAGGTGCAGCGGGGCCAGGACAGCTGGTCCTTGTCCACTGATTAGATAGATTACACAAGGAGAATGTGTCTGGCCTGGTCTGTGAGAGTCTGACGAAGATTGCTTACGTATCTAGGCAGTGATAATTATGGCTGTGTTATCGGCTGTTATCTGGTCTTATGGCTGATTGTTTTTTGTCTTGCATAGTCAGGAACAATACCATCTCTGTTTATTTCATTCTTTCATTAATTGTTACTAGTTAGAAGCTTTGATCTGGATATATCTGCCAGCTCATCCCACCGGCGATAATTCCAGCATCATGAAAAAGAAAGAAGTCTACACCAACGTCACCCCCCTCCCCTCCTTCATCCCCCGCCAGCTTGCCATCGACATCCTGCACAGTCACAGCGAGATCATCACCCTGAATCCCCTCGTGCTCGAACACCACCCCATCCCCGCGCCTCGCGATGCCCCTGCCGACGAATACTACTCCACCTGGTACGAGATCACCGAGCGCATCCAATACGTCCCCGGTCTGGGCAAGATCGGCTCTGGCAAGATCAGCTTTCGCGGGTGCTTCCACGACGTCCCGTGGGGACTGCAGACGCACATCTACGCTCCCCTGGGCGTCGACTTGCGCAATAACTGGCGCGTAGCTGGCAACCAGCCCGGCGAGCCGCCGGAGCCTCGGGAGCTGGGCATCGGTGCCCCCGCGGATGGCCTCTACCTGCGCGAGGACATCGAGATCAAGTGCAATGTGACGCTAGTGTCGTTTGTCAAGGCGCAGCTCAAGGCGTCAACCAAGGTGCTGGTGGATCGGTTGATCAAGAAGGCAGAGCTGCTGGATGCGGGCATGCTGCAGGCCATGATGGACAATAATGGCAAGCTGAAGACCATCAATCCGGCCGATCGGTCGGAGGAGTCGAAGCAACGGCAGCGGCAGCTGCTGCAACGATCGCAGTCGATTTCTTCCCAGGGGTTGCAATACCCGGCATCTCCCACGGTTGGCGATTATAATCGCCCGGGGACAGCTGGCGAGCATACTCCCCTCCAGTACCGATCGATCATGAGCCCGGGTCCCATCGCCATGGAGCTCCCGGGCGATATGCATTACCATCAGCAGCAGCAGCAGTCGCCTTACTCCCCCAAGCAGACGATGTTCCTTTCCTCCGACCGATCCGACAGCAATAACACCGCCAGTAGTAGCGTGTGGTCGTCCGACTACCAGCAATGGCTCAGCTCGCGGCCAACATCCTATTCCTGCTCCGATACCAGCGGGTTTCGCTCTCCGGGGCTAGGAGTAGGAATCGATCAGAAGACATATTTTGCGGCTGAATTGCCTGCGATGTCAGAGAGCAGAGAGGAGCAAGCAGCGATGCCCAAACCGAAACCTCTCGATGTGAAATCTGCCAGTGGGAGGGATCGACGTCTGTCGAGCCGTTGATGAAAAATACGGAGTATATAGATGGGTAAATTGGATACCAGGTTCCGAATTTCAATCAATTCCAGCACATATGATGATTCGGATTCATCAGCTGGAATTTCCCTTTGATATCTAATATCTATTCAGATTTTAAAACTCGTTATCTCTCACACACATATTCTGTATTGCGTTGATTTTCTTTGCTGTGGTTTATTTCAGGTGTTTGTTGGGAATATATACGCTGGCGTTTTTGCGTTGAAGTGTCTTTTCTTTTTTTTTCACTCAGTATTGGTCTTGGTGTTAATATTCCTAAGTGAATTAAATTGAATTGATGAATAAATTGTATAAATTAATTGCATAAATTATAGTTATTGTATATTTAAATGCTTTCGTCCGTCCGTCCGTCCTTCTGGCTCACTGGCTAGTAATTAATTAGTTAGCTGGATTGATAGGTAGATAGATGATTGGATTTACTTAATGTAGCTGGGTCGTTCCTTTCGATACCTATATAATTCTTCTTATTGTTGTTGTTCTACTTCTTGCTTAACTTCTATCTCCAGGCATTGGAAAAGAAAAGAAAAAAAAATCACCATACAATCGTTGTTATAAGTTGAGTTTTTAGACGCGGACGGACCTCCTAGAGATTTGTATTAAAAATATTACTTTACCGGGCAAAAGAATAGTCTTCGCCTCAGTAACCGCTGAATTTAATATTACTCTACGGAGCATCCAGTTCCCGTACCTCCCTGAGACCACGACGACCTTGCTTCTGCGCATGATCCTAATTAATTAATGGAGGATCTGAGTGCAGATGGATGGCTATAATAAATAAATATTGCGTTCTCGAGACATATTATTGTTGCTCAGGGAGTGAGATTTTTCTCAATTCATAGTTGTGTGCTGGGGATTGAGATTAAGATTAAGCGGTTAAGCTTGGTCTTGCAGTAGGTATGGCCTTCTTCTTTCTCTTTGGTGAAGAAATGATACTGGTTTCTCTTGCTAGACCGAAAAGCTGTTTTATCTCTGAATAATAATTAATATTTTCGGGCTTACTAGCTTCAGTCATTTATCCTCATTGGACTAGTCTTCTGAATATCAGGCAAATGTATGTACAGTACTTGATTTAGTAAGGGATATGGATAAGGTAGCTTTGGGTTAAATGAATAGGATTATCCCACCTGAAGATCTTAGCAGCAAATCTTAGATGTGCAAAAATTTGTTTTTTATCCTGCATGATTTTATACAATCCTCAATTACCTATAGTTGTATACTGTATCGCGTGGGCGTTCTTTCCACTCTGATTGGTCATCTCTATCTAGGGCACCTGTTAAACATGAAAATGCACCAATCAGAAACTACAGAGCAAGCAAGCTTCATCGCGTTAAGCTCCAGGAACTGTACCCTGCGCAGCCAATCATCGTCCTGGAACAATTGCTGATCGACAAGCGACTGTCCAGTCTCTCGACGCCCGTGCTTCACGCGGCGACATTGCTGCTGCTGACACGTCTGGGCCTTGAGAGCGATAGCATATCGCCCTTGGTAGCCTCCTCCAGGACGTGCTTGCTCGTGGTCCATACACTCGTTTACATTTGTGGATGTTCGTCCTGATCATCTCGCGATGGAGGGGCTCTCCCCGCAGTCTCCTGCACGTGTCTTGCCCCGCCAAGTCCATCAGGATAAGATAATAATGCCTTGAACCTTTAATGCCCATATTGCGCCCTGACTTGCTCCTCGATTTATCCCTCTGGCATAATCCTGGTCAACCTTGCAGGAAGCTGACATGCTCGAGGACTAGCTATTGCCTCGAGGGTTGATCGAGAGAGCGGGAATCGCGCTCTTTGACTTGTTCCTTCAGCAACAGGGAATACTAGTCAGATACTTCATCTGCTGTCGTACTGCTTGCTTCACAATGAAGTGCTCAACCATTCTTATCCTTCTCTGCCATGCGTGGATGACGCTTGGCCTTCCGCTACAGTCTACCCGGCAAATTACGTCCCCATCGAATGCCTCGTTCTCGATCCTCTCACCCTCATACCCCAAGACGTTGAAGCACAAGCTTGGATTGATCCTGAATGTGGGCTCGCTGGCATGGCATGGATATCGTCATTCGCATGGAAGGCCATCTGCAAGAATAGACGGCATGGAAACAATACTCTATAGCAAAGAGCAGCCCTGGACAGAGAATTGTCGTCAGACTCTGCAATATGTCTGGGATTTCTACGTCCTGCGCAGCCCGTCGCCCAGCCAGATGTCGTCCCCGCTGCAGTCGAGTGCGGCTCAAGCACAGCTTCTGCGTTTGAATGCGGTGGAGGATAGTGCCAGCCTTCCCTGGTCACTCCTCGCTGCACCGCAGCTGTCCAAAGGAAACGGCGTCGACGTGACGGCTACCAAGGGCCGTGCGACAGCTACTCGCCCGTATGGAACATTTCTGCCCAAGGCCACTCCTCCGGCGTCCCGCAGCTCAATCGTCCCCTTTCGTCGACCGAATCTGACAGAGACCCTTATCCGAAGCGTGTCTCGCATGGATCTTGCGGCGTTGTGCCACAAGTTCAGCCCCGAGATCATCGGTCTGGGAATCTTTCTGCTCGTTCCCGCAGCGGTCTTGGTCGTCGAGTGCATGGACAGGCTATACGACTGGTGCACGCCAGAGCGTTTTCCTGAGCGTGGACGCAGCCGGGTTCGCTTGACGGGGGCGGAGAGACAGCTGAGCGCGTTGGCGGCGTGGGAGAGGGAGAAGATGGTGGAACAGCATTCGCGGAGGTGGTGGAGACTTGGACGAAGAAAGCGATGATGGAGAAGTGTTCTTGCGTCATGCTTTCCAGTTGTTTTACGTCATCTGGTGGTGATATACAGTCGATTCGGACCTAGGCATTCTTTAATCCTGCAACTGACTGATGCGTAGTCATTTCTCTCTTGGTTGGGTAGGAAGGCTGGACAGTACAGTACATGGTTGATGATTTCTCATTTATGATACCCCGTGCTTGATGACCCCTTTGGCCTTTGTTATTTTATTTTCGTTGATATTCAAATAGCACAGAAAAGCCTCCATGGTGATGATTTAGGAAATTGAATTGATTGTAGGAAGACACCGTCAGAAGGCATTTAGAAACCTATAAATAACCTTCGGTACGGAGTCACCTGATATAAATAAATAAATTATAAATTAAATGCCTTCCACTCCACTCTGCAAGTGCTAGCCAGAACGATGAGGCCGGCCTTGTGGGGATCCCAATCGTCTGGCGGAGAACTTGCCGTCGCCGTGGCCCGCGAGGGGCTTAACCTAGGTAAATCGCCTATCAAGCAAGCATCTTATCTGTGACGAAGCTAACCCCGCTTTTTGAGCTCTTGGCTATAACAATGATACGGAGTAATGATTATGATTATCGAACACAGAGCAGCATCTCATCAGGCCAATTAGAACTCTACCACGGCTTTCATTCTCCTGATTAGGCATGTATTCGCTGGCCGACATTTCCAGGATCGTCAAAGACGACTCTTTCTTAGCTCCACAGTTTCCCTGCATCTGGAGTCTCGACTCGAGTCATAGCTGTTACAGGCAATAATGAAACAGCCGGAGTAGGAGCATGAGGGGCAAGGTGGAGAGCACGTGAGATAGACATAGCATTTAATATGCTTCGTGAGAGGAACTGATTCCCCTCTTCTTCCCTTTCTGTTGTAGAACTTCCCCAAGTACTCCGTAGTGAACTATATTCCTGACTGCAGGTCAGTTACTCGATTCAGAGCACCATGGCGACGCAATACAAGCTGCCTTTTCAGGTATGTGATGGCAGTACCTTCTACAAAAACTTTGGCTTTGTTCTGGCTGGAGCAGGACTGATTGATCCATCCAGCTCGACAACCCAGAATTACTGCACTTTGATTCTTTCGTCAACAACGAATGGGTGCAAGCGTCCAAAGGGGGTCGATTCGAGGTCCTTGGTGAGTTCAGGTTAAAAAAGCCAAGTCGTAAATATTACAGATAATGGTTATTAACTGAGCTAGACCCCGGCACCGGCATCGCCTGGGCCAGCTGCCCGACCAACACCGTAGAAGACGTCCCCCGAGCCGTCGAGGCCGCCCACGCTGCGTTCGAGAAATACAAAAAGGTCACTCCTCGCCAGCGCGCGCAGTGGCTCTTGAAATGGGACACGCTCATCCGCGAAAACCGCAACGACCTCGCCAAGCTCCTCACCCATGAGACGGGAAAGCCACTGGCCGAGGCCTACGGAGAGATCGACTACTCGACCGGCTTCACCTGGTGGTTTGCCGGCGAGGCAGAGAGGATCCATGGAGGGATCTCCGTCCCGGCGGTTCCAGGCCGGCGAGTCTTTACCGTGAAGCAGCCCATCGGCGTCGCTGCCGCGCTGGTCCCCTGGAATTTCCCCATGGCGATGATCCTTCGCAAAGCGGGCGCTGCGCTGGCTGCCGGCTGCACAATGGTTATCAAGCCCAGCCCCGAGACGCCCATTACGACACTGGCTCTCATGCACCTGGCCCAAAAGGCGGGTTTCCCACCGGGCGTGCTCAACGTGCTGACTACTGATCTTGAAAACACGCCTTCGCTGAGCGAGGCCCTCTGCAAGCATCCGCTGGTCAAGAAGGTTACTTTCACAGGCTCAACCCGCGTTGGGAAACTCATCGCCTCGCACTGCGCCGAGGGGCTGAAGAAGGTCACCCTGGAACTGGGCGGAAACTGCCCGTTCATCGTCTTTGACGACGCCAACCTCGACCAGGCGCTGGACCAGCTCATGGCGCTGAAGTGGCGACACGCAGGACAGGCATGCATCACCGCGAACCGGATCTACGTGCAAGCCGGCATCTACGACAAGTTCGCGGAGATGCTGAAGGAGCGGACGAGCAAGATCGTCGTGGGCCACGGCGCGGCGGAGGGGACGACCATGGGCCCGCTGACGACACCGCGAGGAATCGCCAAAGCGGCAAACCAGGTCGAGGACGCGAAACGGCTCGGGGCAAAAGTCATCCTGGGCGGCAACGAGATCAAGGACAAAGGGGGCTACTTCTTCGAGCCCACCATCATCACGGACATGAAGCAGGAGATGCTGATCTCCCGCGAGGAGACGTTCGCGCCCATCGCCGCGCTGTACAAGTTCGAGACGGAGGAGGAGGCGGTCAAGCTGGCTAATGACACGAGCATGGGGCTGGCCAGCTATGCTTTCACCAAGAACATTGATCGCATGTGGCGGATGCTGGAGAATCTGGAGGCTGGGATGATTGGAATGAATACGGGTAGGCTCTCTCTCCGCCTCTCTCTTTGCTAAGAGCAACCTTCTGTGCTGACTGCTGACTGTATAGGCAACTCTTCGGCCGCCGAATCGCCATTTGGTGGAATCAAGGAATCTGGTTACGGAAAGGAAAGCGGCAAGGAAGTGGCTGTGAACGAGTACCTGATTACCAAGACGGGTACCCTGACGTTGGAGGATCACTACTAACGGTGTCGGGAGTATGTTGGTTACTGAAAAATTGTAAAGAAAAAGTATATACTACTATTATGTGGATTTTTGACCAGTCAGCTATACTGAAACAGTCCCTCTCTCTGTCAAAATGATACTCTAATAAGCTATTTGATTCTTGGTTTAGAAATATCAACTAATGAATAACAGAAATGCTGCTCTGATTGTTGTACAGCCAGAAGCACAACAGAAAAAAAAAATCAACGCCTGGATCTGACTGTGTCTGATGCCACAGAGTTCATTTTATTGCATTGCCGCTGTATCTGACACGAACATGAGGTACTATACTGTATGTACTGTATGTACATGTACAGTACCTATGGACAGGTATGACATCCATAGGCAGAAATACCTAGCATTAGCAAATATACTTATACACATGCATACGTACTCTGTATGTTGTACCTGTTGTCCAAATGGAATGCAGATCAGTCAGTTATGCATGTGTATTACTGTACAGAGTAAGTATCAACATGCGATATGCGCAGGAATGCAAGCAATTTAATTAATTAAGTAATCTTCTACCCCCACATTATTTATTGCATTACATGCATACTCTGTATACTGTGTGTCTGTCTGTCTGATAATAATAATGATTTTATTATTATGATTCTCTGGTCTGTGAAGATATGTACTGTACCTAATTAGGTCATGTCAGGTCAGATCAGTTCAGATTCCAGCCCTATGACTGCGTGCGTAAGTAACATAGACATTTTTGACAAGACAGACATCTTCAATTCTAACAATGCTCCAACCAGATCTGAAAAAAAAAAAAACAAGGAAATGGCTCTCTTTGGTGGGTTAGGATATATGCGCATGCCATGCCATCCGGCGGATTCGGCGACATGGCATGCGGAACGGCGTTGAGATCGATCGATCAATGGATTGAATTGGTTTTGCACTGCAGATCTGCAGATCTTTCTTTTTCTTTCAATATGTTTATTTTCTTTTTTTATTTTTCAGGGATTGCTTTCCCTTTTTTTTTCTTCAGAGGAGGCCGTTCTTCCTTCCTTACTTTTTTGTTGTTTGTTTCTTTGTTCTCGAGTTTGCTTCCCAGGTATCTACCAGTCAGTCCTTACCTAGATCTAGATAGATCTATCTACTATTGCTGTTGCTATTGCTGCTCTTCTCTACAGCGTGGCTGGCTGGCTGGCTGGCTGGTTGCTAATCTGTTATCGATTCTCAGTCAATGATCAATCGTATTGGCATCTTGAGTTCATCAGTCTGTCACCTTCAATTATTAATGGTGGCCTTGTTTTTATTCTCTCCTGCCCGTTGGCGTCTCGTCCTATAAGACCCTCGATCATCCCCTGCATTCATGAAGATGCTCAAGGTGCAAGGTCTTTTGGCCTTGATTTGTCTCGTCTCTCTCCCCTTTGTTGTCCCGGTGTCAACGGTGCTCTCGCGCAAGAAGCATGGCCACTCCATACGGGGGATTCAGTGTGGAAGTGAGTATCCATAGTTAGAGTCTCTGATTCACTCCCTTTCCCGGCAGGAAATATACATTTGGGAGATATGTGACGAACACGCTAGCGCCCACAGGAAATGCCCCGCCGGGTCAGGAACTGTGTCCTCTGGGGATGTGTTGTTCTCGATATGGGTGAGTTCTCTTGCGCTGCTCGAAATGTCCGCTTGCTGAACGATCCAGGTACTGCGGTGTTACGCCCGAATACTGTGGACTAGGATGTCAGAGCAACTGCCATCAGAGGCACGCCAAATTGTAGGTACACACACATGCATACTCGCTTGGCAGTAAAGGCAGTCTTTAACTCAATCTCATACAGAGACTCTTGCAACGGGACAAAATCCGTGACTCGGTCAGTTGCGTACTATGAAAGCTGGGCAAGCCACCGTCCCTGCGACTCGTATGTGCCGTCGAATATCGACCCAACGCCCTGGACGCACATCAACTTCGCCTTTGCGCTGGTGGACAACTCGAGCCAGGTGATCATGTCAGCGCAAAATGACACCGTCCTCTACGACCAGATGAAGGATCTGAAGAACAAAAAGTCGGGTCTGCAGATCTGGATTGCCGTGGGAGGCTACACCGTGGGCTCGGCACCCTTCTCGAAGCTGGCAGCCACCCCCTCTGGTCGCAGCGCTTTCATCAACTCGACCTGTTCTTTCATGTCGAAATACGGCTTCGATGGCGTCGACATCGACTGGGAGTATCCAGCTGCCACTGACATGGGTGGAACGACGGCCGATACGGCCAATTTCGTGACGCTCGTGAAGGAGTTTCGTGACCAATGCAAGGACAAGGGGCTCTCGATCACTATTCCTGGGGGATCTTGTATGTTCAGTCATGTTATTCCTGTCATCAACCATTGCAATGAGGTGCGTCTGGCTGACTGGAAGAAGACTACATGAAGGGCTTCGACCTCAAAGGCCTGGAGCCATATGTCGACTGGCTGAATGTCATGACGTATGATCTGCACGGCAGCTGGGATAAGCCGACGCTGGCTCTGCCGCATACGAATTTGAGTGGTAGGTGCAAGCCGCTATCATCGTCTTGCGGTCAAAGTACTGATATTCGCTCCCAGACATCACGCAGTCGCTGCAGCTGCTTTGGAACGCTGGAGTAGATCCAAAGAAAGTGAACATGGGCCTGGGCTACTACGGAAAGTCGTACACGCTCTCCAACGCCTCCTGCACCACGCCGGGCTGTGCTGCAACGGGGCCCGGCAAGGCAGGTCCTTGCTCCGCCGAGGAGGGCACTCTGATCGACGCAGAGATTGACGCGATTCTGAAGAACAACACGTCCATCAAGCCCGTGCTGGATGAAAATGCTGCAGTCAAGTATTTCTCCTGGGATAATAACCAATGGTATGTCCTGAATATCGTCCATTGAGAATGAATAGGGGAAACTGACAGATTGATGCACACAGGGTCTCCTACGACGACGCGGAAACGCTTGAGCTCAAAGTGAACTACGCCAACAGCAATTGTCTTGGCGGGATAATGACCTGGGCGATCGATATGAATCCCCTCAACACTTCCTCGATCAAATTACCTGGTGACTTGATAGGATCATGATTACCATCACCTCCAGATTGTTTAGAAAAAAGTACACTTACTAGATAGAAAGATTGTTTTCAGTGTCGGTTACACTATCCCTGTCCCCAGCTATCGTTCCAGGAGTAGAGCTCCTGACGACATGGCGAACGGGGATCACGGGGATCCATCCTAAGCCTCTTGTTTTTGTCATTCCTTCTCCAACCTTTCTTCTTCATAAGTTGGACGTGCGGTACATAATGTGCAATCTATTGACCCATCTAGACAGCTTATGCAGACGTTAGACAGTCAATGATGCCAATTTCGAGAGATGCAAACACTCACCAGTATAGTAGCTGCCAACGAGCCTCTCCCATCAGTCATTCCTTCCCCTTCTTCTTCCTACCCTTCGGCGCGAACGACTTAGTCGGTAGTCCATCCCATTGTTGATCCCCTAATTCCAAACCACCAGTCTCAAGCAAGCGAAGGACGTCCTTATCTCGCGCCAGCTGCTTCGAATCAATTCCCAACGTCTTCTCCAAGACGGGCGCAAGATCGTGCGCGGCACAGACCCGAAAATCCCCGCTGTCGACGCGTTTCTTCGTCCGTCGATTCAGCCGCCCTGCCAGGAACTCTTCGATAACTTGCGAGAGTTTCTTTCCGTCGTGTATGACCGTGTTCTTTATCCTCTCTGCCTCTTCGGGCTCGATGTAGGGTGGTCCGATATAGGACGGATCGATAACACATTCCAGGCGTTCTTTTGAATCGGCACGTTCGCTGTAGTGCCTGAGATCGAAGAGCAACACGTGGATCCTGTACCAGAGTGTTGGAGAAATGCCGGTTGAGCCTCGTAGATCGGAGAGGGAGATTGCCCGTTCTGGATTTGTCGAAAGACTTTCAGTCGTCTCAGCGGCTGCAGCGATGTCCGCGTCGCTTGTTGGGGGTAAAAGAGCCATAATGTGCCAGCGGTGTGAAATTATCTCTCAGGAGATTGCTAGTGTGCGTCTATACAAGTGTTTCTGCTGTTTCCCAAGCAGGAAGTGACTTGTGGAGTTTCAGACGGAAGGATTACCAGACCGAGAGCTGCCTGGAGAACGTGACTCGACGCATAGAGTGCGGCCAACCAGACCAAGGTTAACGCATTCTGATGCTGTTTCAGCCATTGTCAGTTACCGTTGTTCTATTAGAGTAGATAAAAATAAAGTTACCTGGCAGGAGAAAGAATACTATGGTCTGGCAGGAATAATATATTAGGACACGTGACAAAGCCATTGTCCCAAATAACCTCTTTTAAATTGCAATTAAATTATTCTTGTTTGCTATTTACATAGAAAGTTTATTCTGTCTTTTGATGGAAAAAAAAAGCAAAAAGAAAAGAAAAAAGACACAGGACATTTCTTGTGTTCTGAAGTATATCTTCTGCAATTGTCACACAATTATGTATATTGCAAGAACCGCATGTCGATCTTTTTTTTAACAGTGTATTTACGTATCTAGTTACAGAAAGACAGAAAACGAGATCATAATTCCACTTGTTATTACTTAATAAATTATATGACTGATGGATAACAAAACGAGGACCATGGAAATAGCGAATCCTACTTGTTGCTTTGTACCTATTTCCAACACTATTGCGTGATCTGCAAGATGGATACTCTGCGGGCTCCACCGGCATCCGCAGCGTAGACCAACAACAGTGAGGTGCGAACTCTTTCGCTCCTTCGAATTATAAGTAGAATCAATATAAAGGATAAGCGTAAATAAACCGATTCTAAGACATGGTTATTGAGATGATTACTGATTTCTTGCCTACTTCCTCACCGCGTGAGCCTCAGCTGGCTCTATATTTAGGTCTCGCGAGTCATGCATGGCGCGCTAACAAATGTTTACTCCAGACATGACGAACGAGACTAGAGCTGCATCTGGCATTTAGGCTGAGCGATCGACCAGCTGAGGGATCGTCTCACATGCGGCATGCCATCATTTATTTGTGCAACAACGATCGGCGTCTGGAGGCCCCGCTCACCCCAGAGCTCTAAGGCTGAAGCAGAGCCTCCATTTCTTCCTTGTCAGACAGTCTTGCCTTTCTTTACTCCTCTTCTGACCTCACCATTTCGCAGACACCAAGCACATCACATAATTTAGCAGTGTTCCCTCCAGCATGGCTCGAGACGCCGACCTCGACGCCCTCCGGGTCCTGGTGCAATCCCACCCGATCATTGACAACCACGCCCATAACCTCCTCACCTCCGCAAAGGCATCCGACTATGCCAAGTATCCCTTCGAGTCGATTACCTCCGAGGCCCAGGGTTCGGCCTTGGATGAGGTCCAAAAAACCTTTCCCCACCACAGAGCGGTCACCCAGCTGGCGAGTCTCTTTGGATGCGACGCAGATTGGACCTCAATCAAGGCAGTTCGCGAGCGGTGGGTGCAGAAGGACTACACGGGCTTGGTGAAGAAGTGCCTCGAGGGAACCCATGCACTGCTGCTCGATGATCTGCTAGCTGCTGCCGATGTTGAGACTTATACCTGGCACGATCAGTTCACCGCGTCCAAGACAAAACGCATCGTTCGGATTGAGGCTGTGGCTGCTCAGATTCTCGCGTTGCTGCAGCAGGCGCGGCCAAACGACACCCTGAAGACAATAGATAATTTCCGCACGTTTCGAGACACCTTTAAACAAAGAATTCAAGAGGCAATCGACGATCCTGAGGTCGCAGGGTTTAAGTCGGTAGTCTGTTACCGAACTGGTCTCGATGTTAACGTGCCGACCTCTGCATCTGCCGACACCTTTGCCAGTGATGTCGCAGAGTCCTTTGCTCGCACAGTCCAGAAAGGCGCTCCATACCGCATTGCTGACAAGCCGCTCAACGACTGGCTTGTGATATTCACACTGGGCCTACTCCGGGAAGCCAAACAATCCCTGAAACCCGCAAAACCTCTTCAATTCCACACTGGGTTGGGTGATTCGGATATCAACTTGGTTTTTGCAAACCCGGCCTACCTCCAGCCCCTGATCACCGCCTATCCTGAGGTCGACTTTGTCCTCCTCCACTCATCCTACCCCTACACACGGGAGGCTGGATACCTGGCCTCCGTCTACCCCAACGTCTACCTGGACTTGGGGGAGGTCTTTCCCATGGTCAGTCAAGATGCTGAGGAGTCAATAATCCGACAGAGCTTGGAAATCGCTCCTACCAGCCGTCTGCTGTGGAGTACTGATGGCCACTTCCACCCCGAGACTTTCTGGTTGGCAAACAAGCAATTCAGAGACACTCTGGAGACAGTGAGTAAACTTCTCGGTCTCCTGTTCCGACAACTCTAATCTGGTACCCCAGGTGCTTGTTGACTCCGTCAAGAAAGGCACTCTTACCGTATCCCAAGCAAAGGAAGCCGCAGCAGATATTATGTTCAACAATTCCAACAGACTGTACAACCTGAAGCTGCCCCCGGCCACGTACACTTCTGCAACCAGCCTGACAGTGTCAGGACGTTCATCCATCCCAGATCTTGATGCGTTATCGAGAAGCAATCCAGATCTGATCGTTTGGATGCAGTGGGTTGACTACACTGCCACCGTCCGTCTTCGCATGTTCCCTATAAGGGAGTTTATCAAGATTGTGAAGAATCAGCGTCGGATAGGCATCACTCTAGCGGTTCTCGACATGCTCCAGGACGATATTCTCGCGCCGGGGGGCACTGCGGCCGGCCAGTTCTACATGTACCCGGACTTGTCGAGTTTCCGAAAAAATGTGGCGCTCAACTCGAATAGTGCAACTGTTATGAATTTCTGGAGAGATGAGAATGGCCGTGAGATGCAGGGATGTCCCCGAACGACACTCCAGAAGATAGTCACGAAATGTGGGGAGGACCTTGGCATCCAACTGACATTCGGCTTCGAGATCGAAGTGGTGTTCCTGAAGCCGGTGACCAACTCCGCGGGAGAAACTGACTGGGCTCCTCTGACGACGGTTCATTCCTGGTCCAACATGACAGCAGAGACTCGCCGGTATCTCCCTTTGTGGAGGAAATTGTCTCTACTCTAGCGAGCATCGAGATTTATGTCGAGCAATTCCACGCAGAGTCAGCACCTGGTCAATTCGAATTCATCCTGCCTCCATCAAGCCCGCTCTCTGCCGTGGACACGCTGATCAAAGCCCGACAAACAATCAACCATGTCGCGGAGAAGCATGGATACCGTGCGACTCTGTATCCACGCCCGTATCCTTTTGCTGCCGGCACGGCGTCTCACGCGCATTTCTCCATCTCGCCGACCACGCACGAGGAATCGTTCCTGGCCGGCATCCTCGAACACTTCCCCGCTATCGTGGCCTTCTCGCTCTCGCAGGACATCAGCTACGCCCGTGTCGCGCAGGGCGTTTGGGCCGGTGGCGAGTGGGTGACATGGGGCACGCAGAACCGCGAGGCGCCCATCCGGAAGATCTCCCCTGGTCACTGGGAGCTGAAGAGTGTGGATGGCCTGGCCAACATGTACTTTGCCATGGCTGCCCTGGGGGCCGCTGGGTATCTGGGCGTTAGTGCCAAGCTGCCACTCACTCATAAGGACTGTCTGGGTAAGCATAAGCATCCTCCACTCTACTACAAATTTCTGTTTTCTCTCCGTTCACCACTGACAAGATCTTCTCCAGTCGACGCATCCCTCCTAACCGCAGAGCAGCGCTCTGAACTAGGCATCACAACACCGATCCCCAAGACGCTGGCCCAAAGCCTCGCCGCGCTGGAAGCCGACACCGCCTTGCAGAAATTCCTCGGCCCGGAATTCGTGAAGCATTACTGTCGCGTGAAACGCGCCGAGAGCGAGAAGTTGGCTGCAATGCCGGAAGATGAACGACGGAGGTGGCTGGTTGCAAGGTACTGATCGGAATGAGTGCTGGTAGATGATTTATTGATATATATTATATTATATGATGTGTCTGATGAATAATGTCGTTGCAATCTGGGGGCAAATTGATGTATGTATTCACGTGTCTTGTCGAAGCTGGGAAAAAAAATGCTCAGCGGGAAAAAAAATATATAAGTAGAAGATAAGCAACACAACATTTCTCATGGTGCAAACTCGTAGTGGAATATATCTATCTAAATCTATCTAAATCTATGCCAAACAAGAGTCAAGGAGGTATCTACTTGAATATATATATATTCCAGAACAGAGTCCCTACATATCAATGGATGGATTTCCACCACTTTCATTACATTACATGTATTTTTAGATTTGGATACTTAATTTAATTTATGACTTTCACAGCTAGATTGCTAACTCCCAACGCCAATTAAACCAGAGTTTAAAATAAGCAAGTTTCGAATTCACTTTAATCTACTCTGATAAGAAACCGGACATGAAGTAATGTGTTGCTGATCCCAGTGACCTTGGTCTGAGCCCAGCTGCCGTCTCCGATATAAGAGACTAGACGCAAGCAAGGCTAACCTTCACTTTTATGTCGAGGTCGTCAAACTGTTGACACCATCCCTCAAGGCCTTCACGTGGCTCCAGTCGTAACTGTCTTCTCCAAGACTCCAGGCCATGACACCTCCCAGCTTCTTCGCCGAAACAATGTCCGTGAACTTCTTCGCCATAAGGTCTGGCGTATCCCATGACCAAAACAGCTGGTTGTCAGCGTCCCAGTAATACTGACCACCAGCTTCCTCATCTGTCTTTCCGTCGCTCTGCGCCTTACGCCAGGAATCGGTGACAGAGACACCCTTGCAAGTGCCGTAGTCAGAAAGGCAGCCAACCTGGCAAAATTCATCTGTAGTGCCACTGTAGCGGATGACATAGTTAATCAATGAATCAATTCACTTAAAATGGTAACAGGAAAGCTTACCAATTACCGTACTGGCTACAGCACAAACCTTCGGGACATTTTCCCTTATCAATCCCACACGTGCCATCGGTCGAAGTCTTCAGATTCGATGGTGGAGGAGCCATGTGGATGGGCTCAAACGTGTAAGCCCCCGACTTGCCGTTGTCACTTCCATCTGGGTTCTCCAGCGGCACAACTTTGCATCCAAGGGGCTCAGTTGCACAGTCGGATGATGGGTCTGTCGTGAAATATTTGGCGTAAAACGCAAAACCGAGGTTGGCCTTGGCAGGGTCCATTCCAATGTCCAGATAGTTGTTGATGGTCTCAAGTGAGCCCTGGACACTCGTATGATGTTTGGTCACATTGTCGCGGCGGTTCATAAGGTCATAGGTCATGACGTTGACGAAATCCACTGGAGCAAATATTTTTGGACCTTGCTCCTTTGTGAATGCGATCATGTCACGTTGGAGTCCTGGAACTGCAATTGAGAGCAGCTTGTCTTTACTGATAGCATCTCGGATAGCTTGGAGGAAAAGAGGATAAGTTTCGATCTCATCGACTTTAGCGGAATTAGGAATCTGCTTGTAGTCTTGACCGTTTCCACCAGGGTATTCCCAATCAATGTCTGTCGGAGACTGAGTCAGTTGCTAGAGACCTGGCCATGGAGCTATATAGGGGGAGTCCCGTACCGACGCCGTCAGCTCCCAAGGAATCCAGCATGGCAGCGACATTCTTCGCAAATCGTGCTCTTGTAGTATTGTCCTTTGCTCCTGCGGAGAAGCCAGATGTGTCTCCCCAACCACCAATTGCGATCATTACTTTGGTATCCTTGGAGAAACGGCCTCGCATCGTAGAGATTGGTTCAAAAGGAGTGAACTGTGGAGGCGAGTCTGAGTTAAAGAGGTCAGACTTTGCGAAGGCCATGATAGCATGCGTGATCCCTTGGGTCTGATCAGGCTCCGGCAGATTGTCTTTATGATATCTAGGTCAAGCAGTCAACACAGTCATTTTCCTGGCGTGTTGCTGATCAGACTTACTGATCAATGTACATAACATATCTCAGGGCAGCTGCGTGAGCAGCCAGCAGCCCGAGAAGGAGAAGCCTCAACATCTCGACGTCGTCTCAGGTTGAAAAGATGGTAGAAGATCATTAAACAGAGAATCTGACCAAAAGAGCGGCTTACGAAAAGAGGAAGAGAGAGGAGATGCAGCAAGAGGGAAAGAACAACTCTCATGCTCTGCTGCATTGCCTTCTGTAGAAAGCAGACAAACACAGCGCACGAGTCGTAAAAAAATGTCATGTTTCACATTCATATCAAAGACACTTCTGGTTATGCGCACGCCACCAGACAAAGCTGCCTGTTCTACAAGGCAGGCCCATGCTCGAGTATGCTGAGCTCATGACGAGCATTGCTCAGTAATGATGATCAACAGCTGAGTGTGGAGAACTGAAACCCAGCATTCAGCATTCATTATTCCCACATAATAATGTAGAGGATATGATCCCTCCACAGATCGTCATTATTGAAAACGCATTCTTGAAAACGCATACAAACCAGATAGCTGATGTTCATGACGTGAAGACGGCGGATCGGTAAACCCGATAACGTTTATCTCTTCAACTGATGTGCTGCGGAAGCTACCGTCCTTCCGTCCCGCGTGCCAGATCTTGACGACTTTCCGCGTCCCTAACACTTCGATACATTCCTCAAGATCGCTCCACATTCTGCAGCTCCACTTAGCCAAGAAAGATTGACAAATATATTGAGTGCTGTGGCAAATAAATAATGTCGCAAAATAGATACATTGTAGAAGGACAAGCCTAGCCAGATATAGTAAACAGCGTTCATTATTCATTACGAAGCCCCCAATATAACAGATGATGTCATGAAGAATATCTTTGGAAGAAGAGTAACCGAGCACATTAAGTAAAACTAATATCGTATGGCCCAGTCATTATATACCAATGTTCAAAGCCACAAACAAAAGCAAAATTAATCCCAATGTCGTCGTAAAATTGGGCGGGCTGGATCCCAAGGCCCTATAACGACATTTTTGTACTTCTGAAGACTTATAAGCCACCAACTACAGCCACCCATAGCAAAAGCCGTCAGGATGCTGCCCAAAAATGATCCGACAATCGCCGCAGCCCATCCACCGCGCAAGGTGATTCCGACACCCCCTCCAGCTCCTAAAACCAAGGCAAAGGTGAGGAGAAGGTGGCCTGTCCAGGAAACACGGCGCAGGTGACGCCGAAAAACGGGAACAGACCAAATACCTCGATCGAGAAAAGGGTGAGACTAAACACGTGCGTCGTTGACGGAAGACGAGATGCCAGCACCGTCGAAGCCATCAACGCGGCATTGGTAGATAGTGATGCAGGAAACTTCGTGGCACCGGCGCCTTCCCCGGTGCCATAGTCAAAGGAAAAGATATTAATGATCATCAGCCAGCAACTCATTGCCCAAATAGAGTCACTGGCGGTGGATTTTGTCAGAGACTTCAAGATAGGGCTGAGACCAAGTAATGCGCAATATATCAAGAGCGCAGATTTGATCGTTGCAAGTCGTTGGCGATTGCGTGACGACAGTAGAGGCTTTTTGTTCTCGTTCGATGGATGATACGGGTTCGTGCCAGAGTTAGCAACTGGAGTTGCAGGGTTTCCAGACTGTGTCGAAGTGGCGGACACGCCGCTAAGACCAGTGTTCTGACGTCGCATTTGACCATCAGAGTTCGTACGAGACAGGTTTAAACCGAGACCATGAACGTTTCCCCCGTTGCCGTTCTGCTGTGAGCCAGCGGCGGTTGGATTGGAGGAGCTCGTCGTCGAGCTTGAGCTGGAGCCGTCATCGACTTCATTTGCTCCCTCTGCGGCATGGGCAGCCTTCATGGCCTCTTCCTGTTCTTTCCAGACCCAAAAATCCCAGAGTATCCATCCTAAGACCGTGCCGATACTGCCCCAGCCAACAACAGATACCGGACTTACTCTCCCCTGCACTATACCAACGAAGCAGCAGACAAATATCACGACGGAGCAAACATGTTGGACGATGACGGTAGAGTCAGCGACGAGCGGCCAGAAATCATACGGCCGAAGTCGTGGGTTCCGTTGAAGATGGTCGAGAAAGGTTTCGGCGTCCGTATAGTTATCCGGATCTGGTGTTGGCGGTCAGTGTTTGCCGAATAACGAAGTAGAAGTCCTTCTTCACATACACGACTGCCGAACCCATAGGAGCTTTTTCCATTGCCCCTTACGCTTTTTTCGCCGACCGGATCCTCTGGCCTTGCGCGCCTCGCTTTTCTTCGGCTCGGTACCGGGCACTGCAGGAGGTGGCCTCAGGGCGGCAACCGCAGCAGGTGTGGAGACGACATTGTCGATGGGTCGTAGGTGTACGGACTGGTTATCAGTCTCTGACCATACCCGCGGAGGAGAATTGGCATAGTATGCATGTTCAGGAGCAAGGCGTGTGGGATCTGGAGGAACTCGCTGCTGCGGAGGAGGCTTCAGCCCACCAGCTCTGTTCGGGTGTGTCTCGACAGGTACTGGAGGGGGAACCGGAGCGGGTGAGTGAGGCGGCGGCGCCATGGCGCAGCACGAGGGATCATAATTGATTCATGGCAGGCTCTCTCAAAGATTCGCAAGACTAGATTGTTTGTCGTGGAATCCGGATGGTAGATTCGAGGTGGTTGGTGCTGATGTCGCAGATAGCGATCACGTGAAATCGAGCTTCCGAGTTTGAAGTTAATCGGCGGCCCCTTATTAACTACACAACAAATCCGATGTGCACTGCAACTACTGTGTAACAGTTATGCACATCCCTTGAGGATATTTGGATCGAATTACTCCTTCTAACCATAATGCGTATATCCTCGTTACCCTGGGAATGAATTTTAAGATTCGCATTTCACTTCCACAGTCAACTCTCCTCTCTAACACGCTTTCGCAGCTCTTTCAAAAGAAGGTCCATATCATTGGCATCGAAGATATACTTGTGCTCCTTATCTCCAATGGTTTTGCAGACAAGGATTGGCATACTTATATCCCTGTCAAATAGACGAAAAAATTCCCTGCTTTTCTTGAGCAAGTATTCGCCAGTGTCGCTGGCTTGAACCGTGAAGCAACGCGTGGCGGAAGATTTAGGAGTGACGAGTTTAAAGATGACCGTTGCCATTGGATTGTCATTCTGTACTGATGGCTGATTCCTGGTTTCTGTAGCACGTCGTCTCTTAGTTGGGTGTGATGACAGTTCGTTATCCGAGTCTTCAGAACTGGATTGTGTTGTAAAGGTCGTGTCGGTATCATCATCAGAGTCGGAGAACCTATCTCTACGGTCTCTACGGCGGCGGGTAGAGATAACGGCTGATCCATTATTAGGTGGTTTTCTGGCAGGCTGCCTGGAATCGGCGACTTTCCACATGACTTCGGTAGGGAGCTCATGCTGACCGTTCTTCTGGATAAAGAGTCGAACCGCACATGCTCGGTCCTCAAATTTGTTCTTCCCGAGCCATTCTTTGAAGAATGTCCTCACAGGCCCGTCTTGAATGCAACCGACGAATTTTGCGGGGTCCTGTTCACTCTGCAGAACAAGCATTTCGTACCGCACGGGTGCGAGTACGACGATGACAGATAGGTGTAACCGTTCCCCAGTCCGTGAAAAGACTGCCGCTGGTCCGGGAGGCCTCTTATTTCGATAAGCGCCTGGAGGCTGTAGTGTCGGGTTTTCACGGTGCCAGTCATTCAGAAGGTCCATCAAGTGGTCAGGCACTGAGTGACCCCTTTCCAGAACAATTGTGCTTCTCGATGCTGTGTCAGGAGTCGTCATAGTTTCATGTTTCTCTGGAGGTTGGTAGTCTTGTCTCGAGTTTTCTGCAGGACTGAAAGCTTCAGTTAGCATATGTGACACGGTCGTTTTCTCTGCACAGCGTATGTATGTCCTGTTCTGTACATACTTGAGATTCATATTCGTGCAACCGTCTCCCGGGGTCGCAATGGCATATGCAGCGGGTTCAGCTGAAAACGGACCTTCCTCTTCCCAATGAATGCTAAGTGTAATGCCTTTGTTGAATCTCGGTTAGTCAGTATTGATGGGTAGAGGTAGATCCTGATAAGCATCCTGATAAGCCTCCAACACTTGTCAGTCAAAAAAAGAGAGAGAGATGGAAAGGCAAAAACAAAGTGATGGGGGAAGAAAGAAAAGGGAAGTCGGTACTGAAAGTCCGTGGCTGTAGGGAGTAATAGTGGTGGCAGACAAAGAAAGGTGTCCTGCAGAACAAAGATCAGATACTATTATAGGAATTGATACAGACACCCCCTTTTTACCCCGAACTCCGTACTTTATACTATCGACACCCCCGCTAAATTTGTTTGGGTAAAGCCCTGAAATCGTATTTCCACCAGAAATACTAGTGAATTTGATCGTTATTTTTCGTGTTCGAAACTGTACGGAGTACTATTGCACCCATATACCAACTTTTTACTCCGTATTGCAACACCCGCCTGCCCGCTGCCTTTCCCCTTCCCCCCCCCCAAATTTGAAGCCAAAGTTGAGTAGTAAAAATCTCTACATATAATAAATCTGGCGTTGAGATTTGACATTGAAAAGTACACCAAGTATAACTAGGAACTATGCTAATTTCTTTCACTCTTAGGCAGCAGGACATCTACGATTGAAATGGTAGTAAACGCAAGCAGCAAGTGTACCAGTTAAAGACAAGTTAAGAAAAATCAATGTCAACAACCACACCTTGTTGATAGTTGTTGACTCACAAAGTATGATATGTGACCAAATATGCAATGATTTAATTCTCTATACTGAGCACTATATACGGAGTATGCCTATCAGATAAACACTAGAGACAGACCAACATAATCCTGTGTTCTCCAAGACGGTACATATATGTCTATACCGGGCGAAAGAAGTAAACTGATATAAAAGAAAAAAGAAAGAAAGAAAGAAAGAAAGAAAGAAAAGAGAAATGAAAAGACAAATTATGGCCTTTTCCAAGACAGTTCCAAGATTGTAAGGTAGAGTACAATAATAGCCTCAAGGCTCATATGCAGACATAGTGAGAAACCCTCTATCAATGTAGTATGCTAACATCAATCCAGATGATAAACACTCCGTTCCACCAGAACTCAGAAGATATGCATCTATTTCGTATGTGCCGGATTTCGACTTTCTTTTGGATGGGTATCATGAGATCGACTAGAGAGACTGACTGTCAATCCGTTCAAAGATAGTGTGGAAAGGAAATTGTGGCCGCGTAACTCGTCACGATGAACTCTGGACATCGCGATTGTGGGCTTCTCGCCTGACCTCATCCCGCGCCAGCTTGTGCGCAGCAGAATCCTCGGTACTATTCCGCCGCCCCCAGTTCTGAGGCTTTCTCTTCAAGAAGGCGCCCACCGCACCTAGATAACCTTCATGACGGAGAAAGTAAGCCTGTTTCTCTCCCTTGGACCAGAATTTTATGGCATATGAAAGTGTATTCATCGTCTGTCGATGGCCCCGGATGAAAGATCCACCAAAGTATATGTGTTTCACCTGGTGTTTCTCCGACTGCAAGTATGCAATCTGTCCGATGTTGTTACTACGCGCGAGTTAGGTCCACAGTTTTCTCGAAACCCGCATACAATGGACGGGGAAAGGACGATACCTTATGGCATAGAGAAGGCTTCTGCTCATATCCTCGGGGCGGAATTGGACGTTGGTCTTCGCCTCCGAATCAGCCTGGCTCAGACCTTTGCCATCCTCGGCCTCTCGTTCTGCAGCCCGCTTCATCCTTAAGACTTTCCCAAAGGTGCTGGCAATTGCCGTACTCTTAAGGCCGATCTTGTTGTAATCCATGCCGTAGATGTCTCCAACCAACATATCAACCCCGCTGTTATCTCCATTATCTGCCATTGTCAACATCTCGTCGAAAGTGCGGGCCCCTGTCAACAGAGACATTAAACCCCAAAATGTCCCTCCGCCTAGGTGGGTTCCTCCCACACGCTGGAATTGGTTTGGTCCCGACACTTTGATCATGGACACTCCAGAACCGATATTAACAAGGAGATAGGGATAAACGTCCGGTCGCGCTTCCGCGAAGCGCATAGGTTCGGTTTCACTGTATGTGAACACTTCGTTCGGGATTTGGGTGATGAAGAAATCAAGGCCTGCAGATGTGTACACAAAAGGTATCAGAACCCATCCGTGCACACTGTCGCGTGGCTAACTCACCAGCGATCAAACATTCCATCTCATCCTCGCGACGGATATCCACATTTAATGCCTCCTTCAACCTGTCATAATATTTGTACGCGCCTCCGCCCGTCGCGACAACGCACAATTCGTCGGGAGCAGAGCCATTGAGCTTTTCGTGGTCATCCTTCAGCTGCTTGATGAAGTCAATGCAGAGGTCTATCCGGTGAGTCTCGAATTTAATGAAATTGAGTCGACCACCCTGGTCAGCAGAGCCGAGTTCGCGCGTGAAGTAGACCAATTTGGCCAAGGAACCCCCGATCTGTGTGGCGTTAGGAGCATTGTCAGCTCTTGAACGACATCCTCAACGTCCATGCCCGTTCGCATGGCAAGAAAATTGCGGACTGCGGGGAGTGCGGAAAGTGCGGGGAAAGGAACGAAAAACTCACATCCACCGCGACATGGCTCACGACCGTGGTGTGGTATGGGAGTCGGATGTCCTTGCCTTCGTAGTGGACTCCGTCGCCGTCGACGATGGCGTCGGGCGCAGATGGCTCGTTTTCGACGATAAAGGCGCCCTCGACGTTGATCTTCACTGCTCCGGGGTTCGAGATGGCATCTTCGAGACGGGGGCGCGCAGCATCAGGGTCAGCGGACGTGCGGTGCGAGGCAGACATCGTGGCGACCTCGTCCGTGTCATCAGAAGCGTCTGGGGGGCGTCGCATCCGTAGTCTGGCAGCTCATGGGTTCCGGTCGCAGAAGGTCTGGCGGAGTGACTCCCCTCGCCGTGCCCACGCTTACAGCGTATATCTCCTTCTGACCGGGCCCCCGGTTTCGTCAGGCGCGCCGAGGACATTTCCAAGGTCCGTCAACTGGAAAGCGAATCTGCTTCCCTTCGGGCCGAGGACATCGGCGCAGCAGCACATCTGCACCTCCAGGCCAGCCATGGACTGGCTTGACGCTGGGGTTTGGATGGGTGATTCTCGCATGGAGAGGGCCCTTGAGGGGCCCGTTTTGCGTTGGTCGCGGCAGGCTCCGGTCACGCGTGCCGCCATCACAATTCCGCAAACCTGAACTACAATCAAATTGCTGGTCCCTGCTGCTGCGAGAAATCTTGACAACTAGAAGAGGAAAAGGAAATCCTGTCCTTGATCTGTTTTGCTAATTGCAAGATTTCCTATCTTAGTCACTGCCATAACGACCGGAAATTGCAGTGTTGGTATGTCAACCCTCCAAAATACTAAACCCTCTACCAAAAAAAGATGGGTGGAAAGAAAAAAACAACGGACAAATGGAGAGTTTTTCTGTTCTTCCGTGTTATATTATTTATTTTCCTGGATAGTCTTTTTTCTTGCTATCAGTGCAAAAGTAATGATGCTGGGGCAGCGTCTACCGGGTGCATCGTACCTTCCCGTCTTGTATAGTAAGTATAGAAACTTCTATCATCATCAGTCTCAGGACACACAATTTGAACGTTTTCTGCAGCATTGACAGCGAGCTGCGCTGTGGTCGTGTTCTTATGTCTATCCATATTCTCCTCTATCAATTCTGAAGCGATCCGCCTGGAAAACGTGCACGCAGCAATGATGTATCGTCTCTTCTTGCTGTTGATATACGCCCTTGCCTCTCAAGGCAATCTCGTTATAAGGCCGATATACCCGTCACGGTGCGATCCGGCTCAATCAACCAAGAGCTGCCTTCGGGGCCAGATCTGCTCGATTACTGGAGTGTTTGTCTCCTGCATTTCCAAAATGGAAAAAGAAGATTCTCACAACTCCCCAAAGGTGTCAAGTTGATCGTGACGACACGACGGTTCGTCCATCTCCACAGACCCTCTCCCAAGGTCCTCTGACCAGAATCCAGCCTGGCAGAGAATTTCAAGAGGCTGATGCATTCCACATCGATGAATCCTCAGCTATACCGCGCAATATTTCGGCGCTAAGGTTCTTTCGACCTTTCCATGCTTCTGAAGGGTATGTCCTGAGGTCTATATACCCGAAACTGAAGGCTATTGGCAACTTCGCGTTCTGACTCTGGTGGTGCTCATTCGACGTAGCAGACAGAAAACCAGACAGGACGACAATTCCGACCACGTCGAAAAAGGGTCCAAAAGGCTTGGTTCCAGCTCTAAACAGAATGACGTTGGGTCGAAGCAATCGGAACCTGTGCTCTCGCACCCGACAAACAACACTGCGGGCTCCATACCGGGAGCGATGTGTGGATCAGGAAATTCGTTTGCGCCTTGCGATGACTGCTGCTCTACGTATGGTGTGAGTTCTGACTTTCCTTTATGATTATTGCCCTTGAACTAAATCGTCTCAGTTCTGTGGACTGGGTCTGTCGTTCTGTGGCTACGGCTGCCAATCTGGCCGGTGCATGGATGAAGATGACCTTCCAATCCTTCCATCGGAACCGCCTCAGACACGCCAAATTCCTGGTTCCTTCAAGCTCGTCGGCCAATCAGGAGTTCCAGCAATGGCTGCTGGTCTGATGCCAAACGGAAAAGTCGTATTCATTGACAAGGTCGAAAACTACACGCAGCTGATACTGGAAAGTGGGCAGTACGCCTACTCAGCAGAGTACGACCCGTCAACAAATACACCGAAGGCTCTGTCTTACAAAACAAACGCCTTCTGCACCGGTGGCGCCTTTCTTCCGGATGGCCGCATGATCTCGGTTGGTGGCAACGGCCCATTACTAGATATTGACCCGACTGTCGGTGACGGTTTCCGTGGTATCCGTTATTTAGAGCGCCATTTTGACAGCAATGAATCTGATGGAGCTGATTGGGACGAGCCTGGTCATTCGTTGACGACGGCTCGCTGGTATGCCAGTGTCCAAGTTTTGCCGAATGGGACACTCTTTGTTGCATCGGGCAGCCTGAACGGGTTGGACCCTTTGGATCCCGAAAACAATAATCCCACCTATGAGCTGCTCGACGAGGATGGTATGCCTATGACTTCAAGCATAGAGCTGCCAATTCTGGAAATGAACCAGCCATACTACATGTATCCCTTCATTCACCTCTTAAGGGATGGTAACCTCTTCATCTTCGTTGCACGCTCTGCGGAAATTTTTGATGTTTCTAAAGGTACGACTGCTCGGAAGCTGCCCGACTTACCAGGAGACTATCGGACATATCCCAACACTGGGGGGAGTGTTCTCCTTCCCTTATCAAGCGACAATGACTGGAATCCTGACATCCTTATTTGCGGCGGGGGTGCATATCAAGACTTAGACAGTCCGACAGATGCAACATGCGGCCGCATCCAGCCGTTTTCGTCAGAGCCAAATTGGGAATTAGAAAGGATGCCGGACGGAAGGGGAATGCTGGAAGGCACGCTTCTTCCCGATGGTAAGGTGCTTTGGCTGAACGGGTGTCGACGTGGAGCTCGAGGGGTTTGGTCTCGGTAAAGATCCGATCCTGGACGCGTGGATTTACGACCCAGATCAGCCTCAAGGATCTCGATGGGCCATCGCTGGCTCGTCGAAAATCCCTCGCATGTATCATTCAGTCGCTCTTTTACTTCTCGATGGCACTGTCATAATCGCCGGCTCGAACACAGTTGAACAGCCAATTCTCGAGCCTGATCCTACTGACCCAGCAATGGCATTCGCTACAGAATTCCGCGTGGAGATATACACTCCCCCTTATCTGACTGGGGAGAATATTCACAGGAGACCCGAGAGTGTTTGGCTCTCTCATAGATACCTTGCTGCTGACAGTCGCAGATTCGTGGTGAGTTTTACGGTCCGCGAACATGCTAAGTCATTGAAGATTGCTCTGTACCACGGAGGATTTATAACCCACTCGGTCCATATGGGACACCGCATGATATATTTGGACTTTGAGGGCTTCATTCCGGGTTCAACACATCAGATTGTTATGGTCAAGATGCCGCCGTCGACCACTATCGCACCCCCGGGACCATACGTCATTTATGTTGTTGTGGATGGTATTCCAAGCGTTGGGCAGTTTGTCATGGTTGAATAGTACCCTTTCTACGTTTTTCCGGCAGAAGCCGTTAGTTCTTTACAAAGGACTCGCTTTTGGACCGTGGTTATTGGTATTCTTAAAAACTATCTGTAGTCTAGTCAGTCAGGGTCGTTGCTTAATGCATTCTCTTTCTGCTGCCTCCAGGATATCTGAGCCTTTCGGAGGCACTATGGGTAATATTTGTTTTCTTGGTTACTTTCAAGAGAATGTCATATCATCCTTTTTGTCATTAGTACATGGATATTGACCGTCTCTGTGAAGCAAGTTCTGCTAGTACCCTTTCCAGGCGTGGTCTCAGCTACTGAAAGGCATCCCAATGCTCAATTTGGCAGCACAACAAACACTTTACACGCAGTTTGACCTTCCTCGCCGCAGCAACTGTTCATCTTTGTTTTGATTCCAAACTTGACTGCCACAACATGTCAACATACCTTGAGCTCCTGGCTATATTTAACCCCCCAGAGACACGTGAGACTTTCACTTCTTCCATTACTCTGTCACCTACAACAGTCAATATCACCACAACATACAACTCCTTCCTTCAGCACTGACTTGGCTTTCCAAGACAAAACAGCCTTTAGAGAGTGAGTATTCACTATTCCTATCATTCTGTCACTTACTGCTGTCCTTCTCATCAATACTTCACTCAAACTTGCTTTTGGTGGTTCCCTTGACGCCTTGTAGCCTGTGTCTATATCTAGGGCACAAGAATCACGTGGCTCACTCACTCTGTCTAGCATCCTTTGAGCTCTCTCCCTCAGCTCAGCTGTCCAATCTGTCCTTTGAAGGCACAGAAGGTACGTCAGTCAAATCCATTCCTAATATCATTCTGAGCATTCTGATACCTACAATCTTTCCCTATCCTCTGGAAAATCAGTGGGTAGAGGACGTGTCTCTGACGTGTCTTTCCGTCCAATCTCCTACTGCTGCTGCTGCTGCTGCTGCTGCTGTTGTTGTTATTGTCGTCTCCACGTGCCTCAGTACACAGCACCTTCTCTCCTCTCTTCTTCTGCTGTTCAGTACTTCTTCCATCCCATCACCCCACCTTTGATCCAAGTTTCTCTATAGGACTCTTTGAACAGCTGTCCACTTCAGATTCTGAGGCTGCGAGAGACTGTTGACATCTTGAACCAGCTATACTGACCATACTCGCTGCTCAGATACGTGTCATCTAGTCACCTCCGGGGTCGACAAAATGTCCACCTTCGATACTGCTGAGATGAGCAATGCTCTCCCGGAAGCCTCGACTCAAAAGAGCCGCATGAACGCTGAAGCGGCTGCGAAGGCTCGCGAAAAGGGTTGGGTGCCCCCTCAAGAGTACAACTATGCAAAATACACCAATCCTGCGCCCTCTAAGGACCCTGCAGAGGGTGGAGGGGACCTGGAAAACCCAGAATGGGCGGCCAATGCAGCCAAATACGAATGGCGCGAGGAGTATGGCGATATTGGCCCTCCTAATCCTCAGCTGGAGTGCATGCTTTTCCACAATGAGTTTATCAATCGGGCTGGGATCAAGTTTGAAGCGTGCGTATCCATCCTCCATTCTTCAAGGACTTGTCTAAATTCGAAGCAGTCTTCGTGACATTAGAGTCACCGCGGAGTCAACTGAACAGCCGAATCCGGTGAAGAGCGTACGTATGCCCCTGTTCACGTCGATAAATACTATCTAACGAGAGTTCCTAGTTTGCTGATGCTGGTCTTCACCCGATCATGCTTGAAAACATCCGTCTCTGCGGATATAATGTCCCAACTCCTATTCAGGCATACTCCATCCCGGCTGTTTTGACTGGTCACGATTTGATTGCGGTAGCACAGACTGGTAAGAATCGAAAGGAATCGATTACCCTTCAAGGTAGCTGACTCATTTGACCAGGCTCGGGAAAGACGGCGGCTTTTTTGATCCCCGTCCTGTCAAAGCTCATGGGAAAGGCTAAGAAGCTTGCCGCTCCCCGTCCTAACCTGGCTGCTGGATTCGATGCGGCAGCTCCGCCTGTACGTGCGGAACCGCTTGTTCTTGTGGTTGCTCCTACTCGTGAGTTGTCGACCCAGATTTTCGATGAGGCCCGTCGCCTCTGTTATCGTTCCATGCTACGACCTTGTGTCGTCTACGGCGGCGGCCCCGTACGCGAACAGCGCGAGGAGTTGCAGAAAGGTTGCGACATCTTGATCGGTACTCCTGGTCGTCTTTTGGACTTTATGGAAAAGCCACATATCTTGTCCCTTCACCGCGTCAAGTAAGCAATCATCGAAGCGTATATGTAACCGAGATTTAACTTTCTTTCCAGGTTCACTATCATCGATGAAGCGGATGAAATGCTTCACTCCGATTGGGAAACTGAACTGGGAAAGATTATGTCCGGTGGAGGTATGTCTCAGGTACTTCAGCTTGCTTTGGCCCTTTACTGATTTTGCCTAGACACGAACGAGGATGCCGACCATCGTTACATGATGTTCTCGGCTACTTTCAACAAGCATTGTCGCGAGCTCGCTCGTAAATATCTTGCTACTGATCACGTTCGTATTCGCATCGGCCGTGCTGGTAGCGCGCATCCAAACGTCCAGCAACAGGTACGCAGCAGAATCAAGGAATCCACCTCGAGGGTCATTACTGACTGGAACAGGTGATCTATGCTGAAGAGAATAAAAAGAAGCAGTGCCTGTACGATCTGCTCATTTCGATGCCTCCTTCACGGACCTTGGTCTTCGTCAACAATAAGAGCCAGGCGGATTTACTCGATGACTACCTGTACAACATGGGGTTGCCAAGCACCTCAATCCATTCCGATCGGACCCAGCGTGAACGTGAGGATGCTATGTGAGTATAAAAGTCTGATGGAACTTTTCTGAATTGTTTGATTGACTTGCTTGTCAGCCGCGCATTTCGTACCGCGAAGTCTCCTATCCTGGTTGCAACTGGGGTTTCCGCACGCGGGCTTGACATCAAGAATGTGATGCATGTCATCAACTACGATTTGCCCAACGTCAATTACGGTGGTATCGACGAGTATATCCATCGCATCGGTAACCGAAAACCACCGTATACATATATTAGAAACGGGCTAACCCTTCTGTAGGACGTACTGCGCGTATTGGAAATGAGGGTCTCGCCACCTCTTTCTTCAATCATGACAAGGATTCGGCTATTGCCTCTGATCTTGTCAAGATCCTCATGGAGTGCAACCAACCCATTCCCGACTTTCTTGAGGACGTCAAGCCTGCGGATGGCGTCGTCACCTTCGATGACGATACAGACAACGAAGGCGAAGAAAACGGCGACGACAACTGGGGTAAAGACGATAACAAAAACGAGGCTACCACTGCGGCCCCAGCTCCTGCGGCGGTGCCTAGAGCGCCTTCCCCCAAACCTGCTACTCGTGCAGACCCTGAGCCTGAATGTGATTGGTAAACACGTTGTAACGGTCTTGTCAATCGGCCACGGATGTTGCTCGCGTCAAGAGCGTGGTAAGGCGATTTGCGTGGTCACGTTTCAGGGCTTGAAGTAGGTGTCCGGACTGAATCTCACTTTGTTTCTTTCTCGAGTACAGTGAGGAAGTGACGGCTTTACTTGGATTTGGGACCATCCGGCCGCGGCTGATCGTTATCTTTGCCACTTTGGAGAGGGAAGAGACCCTGGCTGCATTCTGGAAGGACTCATGATCTCTTGTCCTACATTTCCCACCGTCTCAAAAGCTTTTGTTATTATCTGTCGGTTCTGGCCGGAATGCGCGTTTTCTTGTCCGGATGGGAGGCCTTTCTAGGGAAACCTGCCTAATAGTGATTGAGAAATGAAAACGTTCAAAGGCTTGTTAGTTTAAAAAAAATTCCATTTGCAGATTTGTTTCCATCCGGGTTACAGGCTTTAATGGTTATCAATCGCATGCAATAAGAGTTCTTGTGCCGAATACCTGCGTACAATTTGAAATCAGCGTATGCGGGTATCGTGCTTGCAGTTTCTGTAGTAGTTGTACAGCTCGTTCTTTCCTAACATGGCAATCCGTATAGAGGCTACAACGCCCAACAATTTGCAGATTGAAGTTTTCGTCTGCGTTTATCCCATCATGTCATGACGACCGGCATATTATCTTTATCTGCATATGTCTGGCAGCGGACCTGTTGGGATAGCTCGACTCCATCTCCAGACCATTATTAACTTGAGATCATGCGCGCCCTCACTCGCTTGGCGTCTAGCCTCTGCTGCATTCAGCTGATGCTGGTGCGAGGTATCACTGGGAGAGTTCCAGTCACCATCAAGAGAGATGGATTCGTAATTGACTCGTTCCAGGGAGGCCCTTTCAATGACCTTGATGCCTGGCACGGTGCAGGGGAGGAATTGCCCGTGGAGTATGCAGAAGAAGGAGGTTACGTCCGGCTCTTTCCCACGAACCCGGACCACAACTATCACACCCAGGTCTCGTCGTCCTGCCTCGACATGACGGGATACGCCGGCATGTACTTGCATGTGGTTTTCTCTGGGCCCGACAAGTTCAGCATCTCTCTCAACCAGCATAACGAAGATTGCAATCCAGATCGGGCTCCGTATCCAGACACATCGGACAGTGTTGAAGCGTCTCGTTACTCTCTGGACGACGACATCTACGTCCCTTTGTCTCATTTCTCCATCGACATGTCGCGAGTGATGTCGGTGTCCTTTCATGGCTTTTATACGAAAGACGAAGTGACCTTGTACAAGGTGGAGATCGTTCCCAGTATTCCAGCCGGGTTCACAGTGCCTGAGAAACTGGAAACAGGGTCTTTGATTCTCAAATGCAAGAGACCCAACTCATTTGCCTTCGGGATCGACGATGGGGATCCTCAGCTAGCTCAGGAGGTTATGCATATTCTGGAAGAAGAAGATATATTGGTTACTTTCTTTGTTGTTGGTAACGGTCTTGAGGCCCCGGACACCAACCTCACTGAGGTCTACAGAGAGATGATCCATCGAGGCCATCAGGTGGCACTTCACACGTACACGCATCCAAAGTAATCCCAGCCCTCCGTTAACATATCAAAATTTTCAAGGCCATGGGGCCTTAGCTGACCGTTAGTCATAGGATGGAAGGACTCCAGACCGTTGAGCAAATTGACTATGAAATTCTTGAGGGCTTTAGAGCCATTAAGGACCTCCTTGGAGTGGAATGTAAGTGATAATGGCATGGAATATATGAACAAGCCTGATGTCTTGGTTGCAGCTCGCTATTTCCGTCCTCCGTATGGCACCATCGGCGCACGAACCAGACAGAGACTGGCGCATCTCCTCGACGATCCATACATCGTGAACTGGAGCGTGGATATCGAAGACTGGCTGTATGCAGACTCGGACACGCCGGAGAAGCAGCTCGAGGCATTTCAGCGCGACGTTGATCGGGGTGGAGATATTGTCGTGATGCACTATCTCAGCCGTTCGACGGTGCAGTATTTCAGGGAGGTGATTCGAATCGCCAGAGAAACAGGCAAACGGATCATGAGAGTCGACCAGTGCATGTTGGACCCCGAGGCACCTCCTCTAGAGGACAAGTCTTGGGACTAGCTTGACTGTAGAGTACTACAACATGTACATATCCAGTATGAAGTATATATATAACCATTCCTAGCCAAAGCTGCAAAGCAGATTGCAGACTTGTTTTTCCCTCCTTCCACTAAATAGACCTCCAGAGCATGATATCACCCTTTGACTACAGAAAAGAGAGATATTTAGCCCACTCCCTCCACTGAATGAAAAGATAAAAGGTTGCAAATCCGTCTGCATGCATCAGCATTTGTTCAGCCAAATAAATCGACTTTGTTGTTCAACATATACTGTTTCTGTAACCTTTTTTTTGTGCAAAGGAATTTAGTCTGAATTATTGCTGCGACTATTGATTGATCTCTTTTTTCGTATACTTATATGTCGATATTTTGAAATGCTGCAAATCGCCCCATTGTATATAGTCTGAATATAGTCTGAATATAGTCTGAATCTTACTAGTAATATTGAAGCAATTCCACATTTTTTGAGGTCAGTTTTATTTTTATTATGCTTAAAAAGCCTGGGAATTTATTTGATCCTGCCGTGCAAAATACTGTATGTATGTACATACTGTACAGTCCCATTTATTTAAATAACAAAGAAACATTCTGCATCATTTGCACCAAATGTTTTTCTGCAGAGCAAGCATAGCAGCATCGATGATCCCATGTTTGATATTGATGTTAGTCTCGTGAGACCTGTTAGCTGTAATTTTTTTTCTTCCCTTTTTTTTTGAACGTTGTTTTTTTTTGTCCCTGTCGTACATATGTCGCTGATATCATTCAAACACGCTAGAAAGCATACTGTGGTATGGGAATCGTAATAGTGTTACAAATTTCTACATAAACCTCTCTCTATATACATTATACAAGACCTTTGCTGATTCTTCGACCGTACTTGGGTCTCAGATCGACGCTTCCTTGTGAACCGCATTTTTGCAAGCCAAGAAGATATATACCATCTGCAGGGCAGGACTGGTCGCTGCCTGGACTGACTGGCCTTTACCGAATAATGCCCCACTTCGAGATGTGTGCTGCGCCGAAAAGTAGTGATGGACAATTAATTTCCTCAGGCTGCTTGCTCTAACTCCAGGATTTATTTTTCCAATCATCGTCGATGGGATATCTGTCGTAACATCATCGTCAACATCATCACCAGCCATCCACCCACTGTTCGGGAATCAGTAAATGTCATTGTCCCAGTTGTGGAGATTGGGTTCGAGCCCCTTACCTATCTTTTCACGCCCTCGCTTCGAGTGATCTTCCAAATCAACTTTCCTCTTTTTCCTTCGAAGTGGGCGTCTGCATTTTTCAGATCTTTTGGAGATGGTCTATCAGACACTAGTCAGCGCGATAGAACCAGAGCGCCTTTCTACAATCGACCGCATCACATCAACCTGCCCCCTTATCACCCTCTCTTGTATCGTTGTGGCCTTTGCTGTCGTCGACGTCCTTCACCTTGTCTATCTGCTTGCTGATGCTTCCAATCAACATGAGCCAGACATTTCCGCGATAATATCTTTGATCCACGATGTCACTGAACACACAAGTTAGTCTTGCTTATCCGCAATGGACCCTCAAAAAAAAATCTCACAAGTCGAGCTCCTTTCCCAGATCATCGTCAAGATACCGCAAGCGGTTCCTCCCAATCTCGTCGTCGCTGAAGCGGATGAATTGAAGCGACACGTACGTCCGCGGCAAGTTACGCCTCTCCATCTCCTTTACGAGCGACCGGATTGGCACATCGACGCCACAGACAATCTCCTCGGACGGCTCCCACACCGCGTCCGTAAAGATGTAGACGCTGACGCGCGACGACAGGTTCCTTTTCACCCGTTCGAGGATCTGACCTAGGCTGTCCTCCATATTGCAATTGCCAAGTGCGGACTGGTTGGCGCAACCCTTCAAGAACCGGATGAGCTTCTTCGTCGTGTCTTTGCGTGCCTTCTGGCCCCTCTGCGGCATCGACGTGAGGAACAGCTCGATGCCGTTAGGGTCGGCCGACTTGACGAGGTACGCAAGCGCTTTGAAGGTCTGAATCACATCGTTCCAGTGATGTGTCCTCATTGACGTCGAGTCATCGATGACGAAAATCTGCCGATGCTGTTAGCACTCTCGACAAGTTCCCAAGGCTATACGACATACATACCTGTTCGCGGTTTTTCAGCTGATGGAGAGCCTCGACCTGGCCGGGCATGGGGTCCGTATGGATATTCCTCTTATCATTCTTCTTCTTCTTGGTGATCCAAGTGATCACTTGGTCGACGCTCGTCATTGGGTACTCGCGTGTCGTAGCGGTTTGGGCTCGTCGGCTTTCTCTGGGTGGCACGGTTGTCGCCTGACCTGTGTCTTCAGGTGTTGGATTCCCCGACCGCGATGACTGCGCTGGAACTGGGAGCGCATTTTCGGGACGAGGGGATCCATACTGCACCGGGTTTTGCTGTAGCAGGCCTGGCTGTGGCGTCGGAGGATATACGGGTCCTGGAGGTGCATGATTCAAGTATCGAGTAACCTGGGAATCCGTAGTTGGCAACTCTGACCTATTTGAGTCAGAATCTGAATGCGGTCTGTATGGCAAATCGGCAGCACCATTGAGTTGAATTGGCAGTGCTGAGACATGAGATGGACGCTGATCATGTGGAAGTGGAAGTGTGGACGTCAAGTTTGATGGCATGAACTTCTGATTGCCCGCGCCCTGTGCGCCGAGTACATCATCGCGGCTCCAATCTGACGAATCCATCTCGTGTCTGTGCCAGGTTTGTCCAAAACGTAGACCTGCAGGCCCAGGATCTCCGTCAAAGACTGGACCCGGGCTATTATAACCGTCCGGCGAACGAACGCCGGCTGACTGCGGCGAAGAGACAAATCGAGGGTCAGTCTCGGAAGGCTGAGCGCCATTCTCTCGAGATTGAGGCGAAATCTCAAGCGGTTCAAGTGAAGGTTTCTGCTTATGAGACGCCGAAGGGGGAATGTCCAGTTTCCTCAGGAAGCGCGTAAGAAGCTGTGACGCATTGAGCCGCTTCTTGTCCTTTGGCAGCAGCATCTCCTCCAGGACAATATGCGCCAGGGGTTCAGTCAAATCATCGAAGACGCGTCGCCTCTCAACGATCGTCACAAACATCTCATCCACCGCTCCAATCCTCTTTTCGCCATCATGGAATGAGCCACCGTAGCCTTGGGCGTGGTGATGCGGTACTTTGGCGGTATCCCGCTCCCGCTTCTCCAGGAACTCCTCACGTCCCCGTTCGCCACAGGTAGCCCAGACCGCTACCTCGAAGAGTACGCATCCCAGAGACCATATGTCCACTTCCCATGTCACACCTTTGTCGAGATGTGCTAGGTCTTGATAATAGTTGGTGAGCTCCGGGGCGCCATACATCTTCGTGCTCTTGTTGTCGGGACCCGCCATCTCCTTGCCCTTGGCTTTTACCAGACTGATACTACTCAGTCCAAAATCGCCAATCTTGAAGCGGTAGCTGTACGGAGTGCCATCCTCTCCACTGAAAACAAAGATGTTTGCCGGCTTCAAGTCCTGGTGGATGCCTCGCAGGACATCCTCCGTCACTCTCTCATTTAGGCTATGGAGCATCTCAAGACCCCGCAAGAGATTGGAAGACAGGCTCTTCCATAGGCGGTGGAGCTCGCCTCGTTCGTGGGGCAGATGATTCTTGCGGAAGAAGTCCAGCAAACTGCCTTGGTCGGCGTACTCGAGAAGAATGAATCCCTTCCCATTCTGGATGAACGACCCGTAGTACCTAAGAAAGTACTTTGAGGCCTTCTCCATCTCACCTTGGTTCTCCAGAACAGTATATGCTTCCACCTCATTTGAAAACGAGAAGTCTAATTCAGTTTCTCGGTATTCTTTCATCACAATGGTATCCTGTTACAGTCACATCAGTCAGCATCTGGCAACATCTTTTCTCTGAGGAGGAATAGCTTTACCCCAGGAACTGTCAGATTGCTGGAAGGCTGTAAGACGCACTTCTTTATTACAGCCGTGTCACTCTTACGACCGGAGAGCGTTCTTTCCAATGTGATTGGCAGGACGCACTGGGTAGGGAGCCGCTTCATGTGCATCTTGGGGTCTAACGGTACCGGCCAAAAGCGGAACTGGTATTCAAGGAAGTCTTTGAAGGTTTCTTCACCGTCTGGCGCCTCCGAAAATGCGGGAGGTTTGGTCATGAATGGCAAATTGTAGTCATCGAGATCCAATCTGCAGAACTGCTGGATATAGCTGACTTTGGGAGCGCCAGGTCGGGAGATATAAACCAGGATCGAGAAGATGCGAAGGAATCGTCGAATAACCTCGTTAATCACGACGTTTATCGGCCTGTTGTAGTTGAATGACCGGAGGACAATGGCGATCCTGTCGGGCTGCCAATACCGTTCGAGCTCTGCGTACGGAACGTAGTGTGCTGGATTTCCGGAGCCATCGATGCCTTTGACTTTATGCTTGTCCACCCAGTGAAAGAAGTCTATGAAAGGCGAGTTGTTTGTGGCCATGGTCCCGTCCCGCACGACGCTGGTCAGCAAACCAAACAATGCGTCAGACTCGTAGGCGTTTCTTAGAGGGAACACCGAGGAAGGTCTGCAACGGATGGAAGCATTTGTTCGTCACAACTACCACAAGACCACAATGGCGTGTGGTGACAGATATGCAGCTTGCGAAAATAGAGGCGACGATTCCCTGATAAATAATTGAGGAGAAGGAATCCCGCAATCCCACAAATGAGCGACCGGGCACTGGAGGGGGTGAAAGGGGGGCTTCAGCCTCGCAAACCGCGATGGGCGAGGCGACTGGTGGCGAGTCACGCAGCCTGCTTCAGAAGGAAGGGCCAGGCTACCGTGGCTGGTTGATGGAAAAGCGTCAAGCATCGCCAGCCGGCAGAGGATTTAGGCTATAAGAGGAGTTGCACGACTGATTCGACCATACGCAGTGCAATGCGCCGGACCTGCAGCGCCTCCACAGGCAGAGATACGATACGATACGATATCGATAAGTGGAACTCTACTACGGCAATCATCCTGCTAAGCATCGCGTGCTGACCTCTTAGCGCTTCGCACAGCCTCCTTCTCGCAGCGCAGGCAGACTCCAGAGGCCCGATTCATTGCAATCCGCACCAGCATGACATCATGCGATTTGTTCAGGTACCAGCGCTAGCAAATGATGAGCTGAGCCTGGCAGGCTGGGGCGGACATGGAACTTTTTCTACCGCCATATCCTGGTCCTCTATAGGTAACTACAATAACTACGAGAATAGCGGTGACAAACCCCTGACGCTCCTTTGCATAGATCCCATCGACACACAGCACCCTATGCCTTCTGAACATGCTCGTCGCCGTCAACCAGCAGCTGCTCTTCATCAGCTTCCTGCTTCTTGCCCCGCCTCCATGAGGCCCACCAATATGCCCCCAGCCATATTAAAAGGGTCCCTGCCATCAGTGGGAAGCAAATTTTCGCGAATAAAGCAAAGAACTCGGGCTTCCACACGGGCATCTCCAACGGGTGATTCTGGTCCCATTGGAACAACCCGCTGCCGAAGATGGTCTGGTTGGAGGTCAGAGATGTAGTGAACTTACGCAAGGAATACAACGGCAACCCGAATCTTACGGCGACAAAGGTCCCTGGCAGGAACACCAGGGTTACCAATGTAATGATGTGCATTAATGCCGTATCCTTTTCCGTCTTTGCCGCAATTGTGTGCATGCTCTCCGTCACTTGCTCCATCTTGATCGTGGACTCGTGCATGTCTCGCGTCATCTCCTCCATCCGCTGGGCGCTTTGATGCGCGTTCACCGCGAACAGCTTGTTGATCTCCATGTTTCGAAATTGCAGAATCCCATCAAACTAATTAATGGTTGACGAATTTTTCAGTCCCAGTTGGTTTTAGCAGGGGGATCGGTCACCAGGGTTCCATACCAAGCTTTTTCCATCTTCCAGCATGTGCATCAATGTTTCAATGCGCGACTGCTCCATTTTGAGATCCCGGACGATGCTCCTGACGCGTTGAAAGAATTCCGATATCCCCTCGCTGCATCCATCCTTAATCGCTGCTGGAAACCCGACAGCCTCTGTCAGGGTTTTGTAGTGTTCGAGTACCTCAATCAAGACATCCGCATTCAGCTTCATGACAAGGCTGGCCTCGTGAAGATTAGCGCCGATGTCATGGAGTTGCTGCAGTTCTTTGAATGAGAACTGCTGGAGGACTCCGAAACGGTCCTCTCCATCACCATCATCACCCTGCTCCCCGTTCTCGGGTCGCACTGATTTTTCTGATACCGGTGACTGTGGCAACTGTGGCTGTCGATTCTGCTTCCCAGTGCCTGAGCCGGCCGTGGTGGCTGTCAAGCCACTCAGAACTCGCTGCTTGGACGACATGAACTGGTTTGAGACGAAGGACCTGTCAGTCGCGGTACTCTGTCTAGAGAATGCATGTCCTTTTGAGAAGGAGTTGGCTCTAGAAGGCGTACTGCTTGGGAACGTATTATTCATCGAAGTCAGAGGCTGGATCAGAGCATTCGGATTAACAGCAAGCGCACGCTCAACATCGTCGATAGGTGCATTATTGACCTTCTTCAAGATCTTTCGTAGGTCACTCTCCAAGCTGCTGATATACGACCGCCAGTTTTCACCACACCATTCGAAGAGAATGAGGTGAGTCACGAGGGTGGCAGCAAAGGACCCACGGAGGTCTGTGAGTGAGCCAGCCTGTAGTCGCCTGCAGGTTTTAGTTGCCTCTGTGATCCTCTTTTGCATGAGGTCATTGCCTTTGACATTGATCCACAGTGCCCTGCCGGTGTCCATGTCGAACGAGTGGTAGACAGCCGTTTGTCGAATCGACCATGGCGATCCGCCGGCTGATGACCTTTCAACGGACCAAACGTTGTAGCAGTGTCGAATCTCGCGTCCAGATCGGCCCAGCTTCGGAATTTCGAATTTCTTGGCTTCCAGCGTATCCAGGAAGTTTTCGTGGCGAAATGCGGTGTAATGGAAGTCCTTGGGAAGCCACTGTCTCCCAAATGCAAAAATGAGGTCCAGGAACCGCGCCATTACCTGAAGGAAGGAGAGGAGGTAGACGAACATCTCCATGGAGCAGTCCAGAGGCGCCCTGGAGTGTTCTGCCTGGATGAACCTGCCCACCAAGTTAGTTTCACTTCACAGGAGGCAGAACAACGATTCACGTACACATGGCGACAACGCGGATCCTTGCGATTGACCTCAAAATGCACTCTCAGGGCGTCGACGGTTTTGCAGCTGGTAGGATGAAATGCTTATTTTTTGCCTTTGGTCAGTTCAAAAAAGACTTCAATATACATGCAGCACAGCACGAACCATCTTGGCCATCATACGCCTCCCACAGATCGACTACCGTATACTTAGGATTTGGATCGAAGAGCAGTTGTTGTTGCTCGTGTAATCGGTTTCGATATGATTGCAGGGTATGCCGAAACGCTTGGGTGCGTATGAGGTTCTTGGGGTAGGTGTCGGCAGCATTACAGGCTGCATGGAGTCTATCGTACTGATCTACCATTTTCGACACTCGATTTCGTGGTCGTTTAAGTGCGGAAACTGGATTCTCTTTTTTTTTTCTAGCCAGTGTTTCTAGGATAAACTTACCTTCGAATCCTCCTTCTTATACCACACCGAAGAATGCCTCGCCGCCCGGAGCCGCAGTTCTCCCAGACGTGCTCTATGAAACGTGCACAGCAGACACGGCCTCGCAGGAGGGTCCGGTCAGGGATGCATGCTATGATCTAGATCTTTTTTTTTCCCCACGAAACCGGTCACGGAGTGCGCAAAGCCGGCGTTAGTGTTGATCAGATCTAAAATCACTTGCAAACGCCCAGTGGTAAGAGCCTCGAGAGGCGAAGCAAAATTTCCTTCCTTGTTGGCCTTTGAAAAATTTCATATTAATTCTGCGCCCGAAGAAGGAGGCCAGAGGGAACGCAAGCCTCTGTAAGGCGGATTTGAACTGTTCCCGGCAAGAAGCATGACGCTAAAGCACACTCACGGCGGGGGCAATGTAACGCGACTATTATTCAGGGATTGGATTCTCAGCTGAAGCTTGTAATATTAGGCTATCGATACAGGCAGGGAGATATGGACACGAGCGGCATAGAAAAGCATCGATCAGCAATGCCCACGAACAAAGACAAGCCAGTTTTACCCCCTGTTCTTCAGCTCAATTCCACGCAAGAAATTCTTTATCAGTTTGGTGAAATGATTATACTGGGATGCCGAGTGATGCACATGCACTGCGGAAAACTCACGTCCTTCTGCGCGGTGTGAGAAGGTACTCTTGGATGTAACGGAGCTGCTCCTGCATTGACGTGAGAACAGGCATTGACGAGATCCGCCGAAGAGAAGACGCCCGCTTACCTCAGTCAGGCTCTGGGGAAGGTTGACAACATATTGATCGGCTGTGTTTGTCTTGCACACGAGTTAGGCATAATTACTTTGCATAGAGGCTGTGAACAATAATAATGCCCTGGCAACATAACCAGGCTGAGGCTGTGTATACAGAGCGGGGCGCTGGGCAAGCTAGTACTAACCTTGATGTTGATCTCATGATTGGGAAACAGTTGCTCCAAGTACTTTTGCAGTGTCTCTGGAGTAAGACGATATGTCGGGATGTACTCGAGAACCATTTTTCAGAACACTGTTGGAATAGGCATTATCTGGCAGCTCATACGAGATAAGATGTTTTTTTTTTGCGGACTATTTCGTCCTTTCCACCGACCCTCCCTCAAGCCTGGTATTTATCTGAACAAGGCTACGCGTGTATTGACCTGGATAGCAGCGAGGCAACTAGAGGCAACCAGATCCCGCTTCCCTCCAAGCATGACACCCGAATACTTTACCGTGTAGGTAGGCGGGTATGGACAGGAGGGAGAGCTGTTGAGCCGCAAGTGAATAATTCAAACTCGATCATTGGCCGATACATGCGCGCTGTTACCATACATTATGTTCTGGTTGCAGAAATGTTGCAGCAATCACACGGGCCTGGCAAATCACGATGATAGCACAAATTGCATGCAGCGGGCTACAGAGTGCTAGACTGTTAGGTTCTGCAAGTTGCCCTCTCAGCCTTCATTGTACTCCGGATTATGCCTTCCGAAACCCTTTGCGCGAGGTCGAGTTCACACAAAGATATTATTCTAAGTATTTTAAATAACTCTCTTATATATTGGCTCCAAAAGTCATAGGAAATAAAGCTGAATGCTTCTACCTAGCTAATACCCTGTCCTGTGCTATCACCAGCATGACGGGTTATGCCAAGCGGGCATTATCTGTGTTTATGTTATATTCAGAGGCCTTTTTTTTTCCCTTAAATATCGCAATTCCTCCTTCACTGTCAATCAAGTATCTGCCTAGCTACCTCGATTCGACAGCAGCGTGCGGTCTTAACCGCAAGGTTTGCAGCTTCAACCTCCGCGTTCGTTCGGATATTCCTGAATATCCTTACGATTTTTTTTAATTTTTGTCTCCTCTGTACTCCTCCTTTATAAGGCAGGTTAAATTCAATTGCTATAAACGGCTCTGTATAGAAATCAAATCCTTGCACGAAGGAGAAAAAAACAGAAGCAAGTACATACAGCGCGCAATCCATATGTCTTTACGTGACTAACACTGTCCTCACCTTTAATGGTATACCGTATGGCGAGGTCCTCTAAGCAGTACGTATTTTCTATAGCAAAAAAAAAAAGGGAGTTTTGGCAGTAGAATTCCATCTAGAACATTACATACTGGGTGCCTACTTAAAATCAGTCCAAGGCTCATCCTAATTGCCAATATAGGTTACCTTATATACTGGGTACCAAACTGGTATATATGTATATATATAGGACCTCCTACTACTCCTTATAAGCATCTTTATTTTATCCATAGCATTAATAATTAGAAGTAGTAGCCAGGGTTCCTGTTATGATTCGAAAGATGAGATAAGGTATCGCAGTACAATGCTGTCGTACCTTCGACCTTTTGTTTGGGGATATGGATATCTCTTTCTAAGTCACATGGGGAAGTCCATGGTTTGTCATATGTATGGACCGGGTCCCTCCTCGAAGTTTTGTCAAGCATCTCTCATAGTGAATGGATCTGCTATTGAGCTCCAATAGCCTGCCTTAGGTATAGGCTTCATAGTGTCTCTCCTATGTAGGCAATAGTAAGCCTAGGTAGCCTTCAAGCCTAAACGAACAGAGCGAGTCGTTGAAGGGTTGTACAGTACACACACAAAATAAAAAGAGGATGAGCGTATAGCGTGTGGCGTGTGACGTCCGTAAGCCCACGTGTGGGGGCGGAGATGAGATCTCAGTACGGAGTACTACTACAGTACTACTTACTACTACTTACTTGCTGTACAGTACAGGGTCCAGTAGTTACATCACTGATCGTGTATATATATTTATTCAGTAGTTAATAGTATATTTATTAATTTATTCGTTTATTTATTTATATACTGCATTCATACAGAATACTCCCTCCCTCTCTTCCTCCACACTGAAATTCTTCTTTTCTTTTCAATAATAGTAGTTGTTCTAGTACAGGTTGCATGCAACATGTTTCTTTTCTTAGAATAGAAATCAGACATGGATTAATATTAGACTAGCTGTCAACTTAACTAGTGAGGTCGTACTCCGTATGTACTACGCGTGGCAGTCAGTCCATTCAAGTCTAGACCTTCGGGAAAGTTCTAACCTAAGCCTAAGGATTTGTCAAAAAAAAAAGTTCAAACTTCGTTTTTTTGCTTCTTTCTTAACTTACCTACCTCCGCCCCCATTCAAACCCCTGCTACCTAAGAACTATTACCTACCTAGTTTAGGTAGAAATAAACCTTGAAAAATAGTAAATGGACGACGCCACAGTTAGGTTGGTACTACCGTACTTCTAAGTATACTTCGTACTAGGTATGGATACGGAGAACCTACCAAGACTGACAGTGTGCAGGTGGACCTAACTTGCCTAGGTGCCTACCTACCTAGGCTAGAGAGGTAAAGTACGGAGTAGGACATACGTCACCAGCTATTAGGGACTCGTACTCTGTATGTTGGTAACCTGGCGTTAAGTCATGGATTATGCGTTCGCCAAGACTCCAACCGTCTAATAACGGCGGCTATCCTTGTCTGTGCCGTGTTTCAAAAGAATTGAATTGTTGGCCTCAGGTTGATTTGATAGTTCGTAGTTTATCGCTGGAAATAGATGAGATGTTGTTATAAATAAATTATAATATGCACGCTTCGATGGAGTGCTCTGCCTCATAACCTGGCCATAGACGAACATGGGATAATGTACTCCGTACTCTTGTCTCCCTCTCCGTACTCCGTCCGTCCTGCCACGGATGAGGCGTTCCCACGCGAGTCGCGACGATCTGCAGATCGCTATGGCTCCTTCTTAGCCACCCCTTGACGGCGTATCACGGCGAATATTCTTCTAACTGGAATTGCCAACAACTGATGGTCATAAGTTGTAACGAAGTGGAGGGAGCACCGCGGAATAGTGGACATTGACAAGAGGAATGCGGTAACGTCAGCGCTCAGCAATGTCGCGGACAGCAGCTGGGGAGACGCCTAGGGACCACTGCCTGGCCCCTGGCATGATGGCATCCGCAGCCGCCCGCGCCCAGCCATTCGGGACGGGCGCGGTGGGCATGGACACGCAGTCTTAGCCGCTCTAAATATCCCCGGCAAGTCGATCAGCGTCTGTGCTTCCAAAAGCTCAGCAGCTATAATTCCTCGTTCAAGACAACCACGCACGACAAGTCGCATGCAAAACTACTCTTTTTTTTTCGAAACATGCGTCGCAACTGCTCATAAATCGTTCCGTTTCCTGTCTACTTGGTTTCCTCCTTCGGTATTCCTATCTAATGTTTTCCTCCGGCACCGCTGTTGGCCCTGCCGCTCCTCCCGCCTCATGCTTCCTCTCCGCCGTCGGTCGCGCCGCTGGATTTCACTCGTTTCTCCCCTGCTCGGCTTTGTGATTCTCTTCCAGTTGTTGAGGGGCCCGCAATGGAGTCTCTTTGCCCAAGATAACACTGTAGCTCACGAAGATGATGGCGACTTTCTGTGTCCTCCCATGCCGGGCATCGATGATGTCCTGGTAGTGCTGAAAACCGGCGTGACAGAGGCCCTGGAAAAAGTCCCCGTTCATCTGAGGACGACGTTTCGCTGTATCCCACATTACGTGATCTTCTCCGATTTTGCCGAGAAAATTGGCGGCGTCCAGGTACACGATGTCTTGCGTAGCGTCGACGATGAGGTGAAACAGAACGTCCCGGATTTTAATCTCTATAATCGTCTGCAACTGTACGGGCGAACGGGTCTCTTGCCCAGCGACAACACGCAGGAAGAAAACGGCGCGTTTGGAATGCCCAACAATCCCGGCTGGAAGCTGGACAAGTGGAAGTTTCTGCCCATGATCGACGAGTCACTTCAGAGGAAGCCCGACGCCAAATGGTTTGTGTTCATGGAAGCAGACACTCACATCGAGTGGCCCAATCTGATGGCCTGGCTGGCCCGGCTGGATCCGGACCAGCCTCTCTACCTGGGAACGGAGACGCAGATCGCAGACGTGTTGTTTGCGCACGGGGGCTCTGGCTTCATCATTTCCAATCCGGCGATGCGACTGGTGTCCGAATACCGTCGCTCGCGGGTTGCTGAGCTGGACGAGTACACGGACGGCCACTGGGCGGGGGATTGCGTGCTGGGCAAAGTGCTGGCCGACGCCGGCGTCCCTCTCACCTTCTCGTGGCCGCTCCTGCAGAACTCGCGCCTGGGCGAGGTCGAACCGCTCACAAACGCCTTCTACCGGCAGCCGTGGTGTTACCCCATCGTGGGCTTCCACCATCTGACCCCGCTCGACGTCGAGCAGATGTGGCGTTTCGATCAGGACTGGTTTGTCAAGGTATCGTACTGCCCTGAAATGCCGCCTTCCATCCATGCGCAAAAGCAATTTGCTAACAGATCGACAACAACAGAGAAAACACGGGCTCCTTCTACACTCGGACGTCTTTCGAGAACGCATCTTTCCCGAGATCACGATCGGGTCCCGGACAGACTGGGACAATCTCTCGTTGGACGAGCAGCAAGAAATCGCATCCGTCGAAGATTGCGAGACGCGATGCCGTCTTGACCCGGACTGCATGCAGTACTCCTTCACCCACAGCGAAGAAGAAGACGGTTTGCCCAAATGTCTCACGTCCAACTCGCCGAGGCTGGGCATTAAAAAGCCCGGTGTCCAGTCCGGGTGGATGGTGCAACGCATCAATGCCACCGTGAATGCTAAGGGTGTCTGCGACGAAGCAGTTTGGGACTAAGGGTCGGACAAATCCTACAATCATTGCTATTATATATATAAGAGATGTGATTAAAAAAAATGCTGCTCGAAAGGTCGCTCGATCACTTATCGAAGTCTTTGCTGTTGTCACAAATTCTGTAGCTCTCATGCATAGCATAGCACTGGCGTTGATTTGGTGGAATCTATGGGTAAGTTATGATCGCTAACTATCTCTTTCGAACATTCATGTATTCAAAACTATTCCTTTCTTTTTGTTTCCCTCTCATGATGTGTACTCTATCGCAGTCCTTACATATCATATAATCAATAGCTGATGATGTGTTGGCCAAAATCTCTTTCTTGGACCCGCCATTCACTGCGTATTTTGTCGTGCCTTCTCGATCATTTGCGTATGCATCTTCACCAACTCCGGCACGATCAAGCTCTCAATTTCGATCCCTTCCTTATCAGAAGACGATTCGTCCTGCGTATGACTCTCTTCCTCTTCATCCAGCTTTTTGCCTTCTGCCAGGCCAACCTGAGCTTTCGCACCCGAAATGCTCTTGCTCCGCTTCGATTTGGGCACGCGAATCCAGCGCTCAAAAGGTGGATCCGGCGTGACAAAGACAACCTCCCACTTCCGCGTCGACAGCAAGTTTCCGATGACCAGGTGATGCGAGTACCGCTGCAGCGATGTCCGCGCCTTGTAGACCAGCAAGTTGGGGTCTGTCTCAAGCTTGAATGACACGATCATGCTTCCGTGGGGCGCCCAACCATCAACCAACCGGTGCAGAAATTTAGGAACCGGGTCCAGGTCGATGATGAGTTTCTTGCTACGGTGCGACGGTTGATCTTCGTTGTATCCCGTGTAGACATCCGAATCCGACACAGGGACCTCGGACGATTGGATCTTATGCTCTGCCATGCGGTGGCGAGGAATAAAGAAATCACTGACCGCCGCAGCAAGGTAAAAGAGGGCATTGGACCCCAGAGGTTTCATCAAGTTGGCCAGTGACCGCAGCTCAAACATGTACTCCGTGACTGTGACGAAGGGAAGAAGGAGCAAGAGGTTGTTTTCCTTCGCGTAGCGGTACTTGCGCAGGACATTACGCATCGCATCTTGATACTCACTTCGGACGACAATAGATCCCTGATCTGAGGTCGAATCGGATGGGGCCTCGTCCATGAAATCGAGGAAACAGTTGGTTGAATGGCTGTAATGTCGAGAGTAAGGCAGGAGACTAAACTGCCGGTGGAGGAAAATCACCGCATATCCTGCCTCGAGAAAGTACTCCGCAGAAGTCGCTCCTCGGGTACCGGCAGAGAAGTTGTCAATGAAGCGGACCGTCTGATTTTCCAGCGGGACGGTTGTTCCGCCCGACGTGACCAGCACGACCCTTCGATTGGCTTCCACATGGTACTCAATGAAGGCCTTTGCAAGAGCTTCATGGTTCTTAAGCGCTTTCGGTGGGGGATAACTGTTGAAGTAACTCGACTCGGCCTCTGTTGGAGTTTGCTCTCGTGTTGTAGCGGACTCAGACATGTTGGATCAAAAAATAAGACCAGGTAAAAGAGCATATAAATAATGTGATCTAGCTCCAGTAAAACACAGAGGATATGCAATTGCTCTGTCGATTGGCCAATGGGTCCCAGCTGTACAGAGAGAAACGTAATGTTACGTTGAGAATATTGATGCCTGAGGACCGCCTCTGAGGCGTTCAGGCAACAAACCGCGGGATGCAATCTGAGTGAGCCTCGCAACACCCTGTAAGAATGGACACTCTGTTATGATAGTCGTGGTTAGTGGTCGATTCGAAGAACTCGCCTGTCAGATGGGGAACGATAACGGTGCGCCTTGTTGGAAGTCGAGCTTTCAAGAGACTCACCCCAAGTTGCAGTCAGTAGCTGCTACCTAGTAATCGTCGTGCGGCTGTATATAACGACGGAAGGTATTGTCATAGAAATCCGGCGAATGGCGACGCTGAAGATGAGGATCAATAATCAAACAAGTCCCACGCAAATGGTGGCTAGGTCCTCGCTAACTCGGAGAGGAAGAAAAAAAGTCAGCACACGGATCTGGGAGCTCGCAATTGTACAGGATAGCTTGCCGTGGGCAGAAGGGAGTGATGAAATGTACTCCGTAGATAGTGGAACTCCAGGTGTAGATCCTTTTGACGGCGGATGTTCCTTCCATCCGGACCAACAACCTAGTTTTTTTGCGGCAAGTACAGATATCAAGGTTGAAATTGGTAGATACCTAGCTGGATTAGGTGCTTGTTACTCAACGATAAAGGTCTGTCTTGTTCAATTCGTTGGTCTCTATGTATATACATGCACACCGGAGTTAAGCGATTTAACTGTGCATGCTCCTCGGATGCGGGTTACTAATCCTTCGCTCCACTCCGTACGCCAGCCTGGAACCGGCCATTCTTATGCTCTCATCGAGCCTGGAGTAATAATACTGCGGGCATTGAAGAGGGCGATCTCGGAGGGGCTGAGGGGCAGATTCCTCGGCACCTACAACCAATCAGAAAAGGAAAACGAATGACTAAGCTGTCTCAGTAACCATTGCTCTGATAACGATGACATAAAATCCAGAATAGGGATCCGAGATCGACGGACTAATCCGTTTATACAGTTCAGCGACTAGTAGAAGGGATGAAATGCTGAAGGATTGACGTTTGGTTGAGCCCGAAATCCACAGGGGAGCAAATCCAGCTTCAATTGACCAAACAAGAGTCGAGTTTGAGCCCACAATTCCCCCAAGTTGAACCCGAATCTTATCATTCCCTTTTCCCGAGATAAATACTCAGATTCGCTCAAATTCGCCCATACGTACAGAAAGCATCAGAGATAACGACTACGAAGAGCTTGGCTGATCGTGCTCATCCGGCTCGCCATGCCACCGTGCTGCATGTTGCTCAGGAGCGCTTCTTCCAGCGCGGACTGAGTGACACTAGCGTCTATGACGGAATCTGTTAGTTCTGGGAGACCTCACAAGAGAGATGGCGCTTGTAGAATTTAGGGAGGAGGGTTCAATGAATGCCTACCATCCAAGTCGCTAAAGCTACTACCCATACTAGGAGTTTCCTCACTGCTTTCCTTTCCCGATGCCGGCTGTCGTGGACTAGGCCGCTTGGCGCCTACAGCCCTCTGTGGGCTGATCGGTCCTGGAGGACGGTCTGCTCGTTGAGGAACTCCCGTCTCCGATGTCCCGACAGCAACTCCAGAGCTAGTTGAGCTGTTTAGAGACATACTTTGCACCGTTTGTTTGGAAGGCGGGATATGCTCTGTGGCGCGTCGCCGGTGCGTGTCGGGAGCGTCTTCTTCAAGACGAAGAGTGGCGTTGAGATCCCGGCCTTGGGTGCTGAGAGGAGCATCTCGGGAGAGAGGTAGGAAAGCAGGAGATTCATCCTCTTCATTCTCATCCTGCCCATCTCTCAGACCAGGCTTGTGCATGGAGAATTTGCCAAACCGCCGTACCCCGGGAATCCTGCTAGGGACGTCATCGTCCGATTCCGAGTCCGACTCGTCAGACGAGGACAATGACGAACTCTCCTCCTCGAGCTTTTGTGATTTCTGAAGGATGGCCAAAGATGGTCTTTCTCGCCTCGTGGGGGGCGCTCCTCGGCCGGATGGCTCTCGTTCTCTTGCGGCGGCCGGTGTAACTCTTTGGGGTGACGGTTCTCTTGCTACCTTGGCCTGGGTTACCGTGTTTGTCGAGCTCGTCCGCACAGATGTCGGACCTGAGACCTGTTAGCAACAAAACAAGACAGGAAATAAGACAGAGGAGGATAATCACTACCTCTAGGACGGGTTGAGGGGCTGCTCTCCACCCTCGAGGGAGGGGTTTCTTTCTGTAGTGCCGACAGCCTTGAGGGACCACGAGACCCTGTAACAGTCAGTCGTCTCTGCCATGCAGCAAGTATGACCGGGCGCCTGATGTCAAACCCACCGCCACTGCCTGCTCTCTTCATAGCCTGACCACCCAGCGCACCGCTTCCTGATACCGATCCAAGAGCGGGTGATGGTGAATGGGAGTGTGTAGTGCCGACTTTCCGCATCTGCGCTCGAACTTGCGATAACTGCCGGTCGTAAAGCCATGCTACCTGCTGAAGGAGAAACGGGAGGGTCACGTTGAAGTCGTCAGCGCTGTGATGAATGTCAGAAAGCTGTTCGGAACGTTCCCCGCGAGTCTGCAGAAATGAAGCCTACATTGCCTTCCCTGAAGGGCAGTTAGCGGAATCATATCGTCACGAAAGGGCCAGTGGCTATACAATCAATGTCTTCTCCCTTTGAAGGTCTCGAGAGGATTTCCCAGAGCGCGCGGTCTTTGGCGGCGTTCCAGTCGGCCTGGGCTGGTCAGAATTGCGGAGCCCATGGAGGTGGGAGAGAACTCACGGGTGGGGGATCGATAAAGTCGCCTCGAGGAAATGGAAGCCGGATGAAGACCGTGAAATGTACATCGGACTCTCGAGGTTGTCGCGCCATCTCAGATGGAGTCAATCAATCGTGTTAGTAGAAGGGATAGCGATGGAGCTGCTCGCAGCTGCCTCGTCAGATTTCCGAGAGACAGTGCTCCCGTAATTGGAATATTTCAGAGAACTAGACAAGCAAAAAATACGCTGATCTGATCTCGGTCATGGAGTGATGTTAAACAGCTTAAGCAGCTGATAAGCCTGGAATCTGTTGAAACGGCGCTAATCACACCGCGTTGCTAGTCCGATGGCGATGGCCAAAGGTGGAGGCCAGGTGCGTGTGCTTAAAACAGTTTGGTGTGGGATTACCGCCCAGGGGGCCCGCCTATTACGTCAGGCCCGCTCAACAGGCCACATGCACGTAACCGTTAATTCCACAACGCTTCTACTTTCACCATGTCCAGGGAGACCCAGAGTCCGTTCTTGACAATAATCCAAAGGACTATGTACCTGCCGTAGTATCAGTCTATACGGTCGAAATCGAGTAAGCATGCCAGTGTGGAAATTATAAAGATGGCGAGGGGAGCTGGACTGCTGCCACACACTGGACAATGTGAAACCTCAGGTATATATATATATATTTTTCTACGTATAACTGGTGGCTTCCCTCTAACATTGAATGCAGAATTTACTAGCGACAAGTTGTGCTGAACTTGTCCGATTCGGAGAAGACTCCGAGAGCCCTGTGATGTATATTTTTGAGCGATATCGTAATTGCATGGTCCGTAGAAGTGCAGATTCTACATGACTGCGTACTACAGTGTCAGCTTACAGGCCATGGACTCCAAATAGGTACGAGGTGCCACCAAGAAGCATGAGAAGCTTAAATAATCCACTCTTCGAAACACAGCTAGTTACAATCTACTTCAGGCACTGTGTAACTTGAGAGCCTTATGACAAGATACTGCGAAACGGCATTAGAACGATGACGCACACATATATGCAAAACCCTCCTGCACAGAGTACGGCTGTGCTACGGAGATACCTGCCATGGTCGATTCCGTCCAGATGCATATAATAATAGCGATCAGACAGACGATCAGACGACCGGGTCGGCCGAATATGCAGGGATAGCGGGATGCCGCTGGCCCTGTCCCCACCTGGCCGATCGCAGCACGTGCAGTGGACAGAAGCACAACATACTCGGTAGTTGCTCGACAGCCTGCCAGCTGCAGTCAGAACGTCCCTGTTATTGCGCTGGAATCAGTTTCAGGACGAACCAGAGACCTGGGGAGCTCTCTATGAAAAAGAACCGTGGAAATAATTGCAGGCGGAACGGTCCACCAACCACGTGGGCATTAGCAGGGAAAGCTGCCACCGGCCGCGGTCACATGCAGCGTCAACCGGAGGGGTCAGCCCCAATCGCAATGCCCGAAAAACTCCCCCCTGCAGGCTGATCCTGAGCCCTGACATTGGACAAGGACAGGGACAGACGCTGTCATCCGAACCCCCGTCATGATCCTCTTCCAGGATCCCCAACTGCCCTCCAGCGACTTCACAGTTGCTGGTTCTGCTCATCTGACGTGATCGCGTTCAACACCTCAGTCGCCGTCGCCGGTGCGCTCTCTCTCATGCCGCCAGCGGGCCGGTGGGGCGTCTTTGGGGCCGCTGTTCAGGAGGGCCTTGCAGATAACACCCTATTCCCCGTCCTGCCTTTGTGATCTCTCGAAAAATATCCTCCAAGGTGGCTTCAAGGACGGGGCAAGCTCTCTTACCATCAATGGATGAAAACCGGTATCGGGAGGAAGTCCTGCGGCTTTCCGACGGCGAGACGGAGGAGGAGGTTGAAGAAAGGCTTCTCGCGGAAGCGCGCGAGCTGGGACTCAAAGTACCGGAGATAGAGATCGCGGCTTCGTTTGCGGCATCGATTTCGTCGGGTGTTTTGGACACTTCATCCCCTCGCAGTTCGAGCGTTGCACGCCATTCCCTTGACCGCAGTTCGCTATCGGATTGTGTTACTCCCGGTGCGACGTCCGTTGACCATCTCGCACACTCGTTTTCAGAAACCACCATCTCCGATAACGTCCCTTCCGGCAGCCTGCCCTCTATCGACTCTTCGTCCACGCGTCTCACTTCGTTTAGCTCCAGTGATGGCAGGCTAGCCCACATCAGCCCACTAAGGCGCAATGGGTCAATGTCGAGTGCCGCGAGCTCAGCCAGACGGAAGCGAACAAGCTTTATCAATGCTATCGGTAAGCTTCCGTTTCGCAAGCGCCGATCGACCTCCAGCGTGGCCCTGCCTCCGAGTACACAAATTACCGTGCAAAGAAAGGAGGGAAATGTCGACACGGTTCTTATAGAGACCAAGGCAGAAACCCCCGAGCCTACGGAGACCTCAGAGGGCGAGGAAATACTCAAAGTGGAGGTCCCACTATTTGATGAGGCAGCATTGCAGAGGAGCTTGGACAACCCAGAACTCAAGGAAATGTACGAGTCACATAAGATGGAAAGGCTGCGCTTTATTGCATTGCAAAACGAGACTCTGGACTCGTTGAGGCAAAAACATAGCGCCGCTATTGCTGAGAAGAAATTGGATAATGAACGGATGGAGAAGGCTAAGTCTGAACAGGTGAGAGTTTATCCGAATCTCACTGTGTATGTACGCCACTGATAGACTGACTCCCGAGATTGCAGAATGCTGCTCATGTGGCTCGTATGGAGGAACGGCACCTGATTATTGAAGCGGAGCAGCTGAAGGAATTCGAGAGGGAGAAAAGGAATTCTCGAACCCGCATCAAATACATGGAAGGCTATCTGAACACACCCAGCCCGCCCCAATCGCCCTCGTCGGGGTCCGACTCGGGTCATGACCCTGTTCAGCCGACGCGCAAGATTACCCGTCGCCAGAGGGAGCAGCTGACGCAGGAGTATCTCGATCGTGATTCCATGGATCGACTGCATGAGGCCCGACTAAAAGTGCTTCGGGACCGACAGGAGCGGCAATTGCAAGAAACAATCTCGCGATTAGAAAAGGAATTGGAGAGTCTCATCGAGAAAAATTCCGAAGCTCTTGCCGAACTAGAAAGGGAGCATCAGCGCGAAGAGCAGGCGGTCCTGCAGGCCTTCGACGTCAAGAAAGCAAAGCTGAGACGCCGCTGGAACCTGGAGGAGGCGATACTGCGCAAAAAGCTCGAAATGCGGGATGGACTGCTGTACGGACCGTTGCCGGCGCTATCATTTAGCAGTACGGATCCAGAGATACCGACTCTCAATAATCCCCTTGTAGACAACAGGCCGTCCGCGACTGCGCACTAACCGGAGATCTGGAGGTATATAGCATGTGCATGTGGGAGGCGCCCCTTTCAAGTTTTCATATGACTGACACAGGTGGCTGTGATTTCATTAATGTAATGTTATTTGATGATACCCATATCCATTATTGTTTTTTTTTCTTGTTACTCTTCTTTATTTTCAGCCCTCCTGCACCTGAGGTCACCTGCTGCATTATTTTCTGGAAGCATCCGCAGATTGGACTCGATCTTTTGAATATACATACTATTTGGACTCTTGCATCTGTTACGGCCAGTTGTGTTTACAAAGGCGTCTGAAGATTGCATTCAATGTTGGCCTGGGGGGTTTTATCTTATTAGCAGCATGTGACAAGTACAAAGATTACCTAGACAGATATAATATAATATTTCCTCGAAAAATAAACAAGGCAAATTTGCACTTGGATAGATTGTCTTTCTACCTTCTCACTTTGTCCTCGCGATCAGATCCATCAGTTATGATTACTATCCTGAATTAGCAGACGTGGGTGGGCCAAGCCTGCCCCTGCTGCTTTCGAGGCTATTTCTCTAGCTCATACGATTCGGGGTTCATGCACTTTTCGTTTATCTTCAGCCGTGGCTACTGCGCTTTAGCCGATCAAGGAGGTTTTCAACCCTCCGATCACCACCGGTCATGGCATCTTCGGTACGTTTATCCCTTCCATGGTCGCCAATGACAACAGCTCGCTCCACGAGGCCTGAATTGGAGATCTTAAACCTCCCCACGCGGCCATCCTGCCATTCCAGCCGCGCGTATCTAGCCTCTAGAGACGTCGGCGTGAGAGAGACTATTTGTGCTGGATCTGCAGTTGGAGAAGCAAGTCTTCGATCCTCAGAGGCATTTTCTCCATCATCATCATCATCATCACCAGAAAATCCGAGGCGCTCCCTGAGCCACCTGATGGAATCACGACGCAGATGCCAGGCGACTAATTCCCGTCGTAGATGCCGCACAAAAGCAGGGAGATCCTGCTTCTTCGTCTTCTCCGGCTTCAGCGCCTCATTGTCTCCTCCATCCACCACGTCTTGGCGACTACTTCGAGGTAGATACCTCTTCTCAAGCTTCTCGATAGGGATAAAAGCCGGTATCGTATGTCGATGGACCGCGAGTCGCTTCGCGTCACCACCCTTCTCGCGTCTCAGAAGAACGTAGTACGGTTTGGCGAACTTGCCGTCGCGCGTACAGACGTCGATGCGCACTCCCAGGAGATTCGGCGAGTCCGAATGCGGTGAGGGATCCTTGAATGGGAATGTCGTGGCCGAGAAGGCGACGCGATGCCGGTTCGAGTCGCGATGTTTTCCCGCGCTCGCCACGAGGGGAGATATGTCTCCGTCGCTTCCTGTCGAGGATGACGACGGACCCACCCTCTGAATCTGCTGCCGGACGTAGTCTGAGGATAGAAGACTCGACGACAGGAAATGGCGTCTATTTTGGAGATTCTTGACTGTGATGGAAACACATGGTGAGTGCGGATCAACTAGCTGGGAGGTGCAAAACAAACTCACTTTCGGCTCGAATTTTGGCTATCTCCGAGTCCAGCGCCTCAAGGGAGGCGTCAATATCCGGCGTTGGATCCATTGCCGGTGCTAAGTAAATACTGGTGCAAGAGGCTGCAAAGTTGCAATGTCGTGAACCAACTGGGCTTGCAAGACAGCAACAAGATCCACGTCCGCTGCCTACGCACAGGCCACATCCGTCGCGGCTGCATGTGATCTCGAATCCGATCTGCTGCGCAGTGCCAGCGCATGAGCCATTGTGCTGTGTCTACGTGTGTAGTTGTATATCAGTCTATTCTCAATTTCCTGTGGATTATGAGAGCTCATGTGAGTGATCACATCCCCTGAAAATCCACGAGTCAATTGCTGTATGTCTGTGTCTCCCCTTTCGAACGGCCACGAGGCCCGTTTCTACATGCGGATGGTTACGTAAGCGACAGAACGGGCCACCTTGCCAGATCGCGTGTTGCGGAGCGTGAAGCACCTCCAGCAATAGGAAATAATATCGAGGGGAAAACGTCTCAGTCGAGCCTCGAGAAGTCCTGATTGCCCAGTCGGGAAACCATTCCAAGTGGAAACACGAAGTCTTCCGACTGGATGCTGCAGGACCGTCCTCAGGCACCCGGATCTTGCCAAGGATTCGAGCCGGTTTAAGTTCCAGCCCTGCAACGGCATTGGTGTTTGATCCATTCCATCTATCCTCTTCTCTGTTGAGGCCAGGTTGCCTCCCAGAGACCCGCCACATGGATGCGTATCAATACTGCTGCCCCAGTCTTCTCCACGCTTCCTGCTCATAACCACGCCTCAGACGGCCCTTCCCACCCGCTTCATGTCCCTGCAGGAAACCAGCGGAATTCTCAACACAACGGTGAGCCACGCGCCGAAGCGGAAGACGTGGAACTCGATACGTTTCCAGCAGGCAGGGACCACAGCGAGATAAGAGCCAGGAACACGGAAGCAGAGGGATCTGATTTCGCGTATTCTGACGAGGACGAATTCACCAGCGAGAACGAGGACGCAGTCGAAAACGCGCAGCTCCTTGGTGACCCTTCGGATCGACGACGGAGACAGATGAAGCGTCAGAACCGTGACACATCGAAACGTCGCTCCTCACCGGGCTTGACAATTGCAACAGGCCCGAACGGCCACGCCAACGGCAGCATGAACTCGCAGATCGAAATGCGGAGGAAAGACCCCTCCCTCAGCTCGCCGCCGTCTTCCGCAGCGCAGGCAGCGCGCGTCATGGCCCGGTCGAGTTTCTCCTTAGATGACGATCCTCCGACCCCGCAGACCCCGAAGATGAAAAACACAAGCTTCTTTGCTCTGCCTGAGCATGACAAAAGGAACTTTCTCCTTCTGTGTCTTCTGTATTTCTTGCAGGGGGTACCAATGGGTCTGGCAACGGGATCAGTCCCGTTCCTCCTGAAACCGCACCTCTCTTACGGACAGATTGGGGTCTTTTCTCTGGCATCATACCCATATTCGTTAAAGCTCTTGTGGAGTCCGATCGTGGATGCCATCTGGAGCACCCGGTTCGGCAGACGGAAGAGCTGGATCACTCCCATCCAGATGATTTCGGGGTTGGCGATGGTCTACCTGGGAGGGCAGATTGAAGAGATGATGAAGGCAGCCGGCGCCAATGGAGGCGCCGGTGTATGGGGTTTTACCTGGTGGTGGTTTCTCCTCGTCTTTCTCTGTGCGACTCAGGATATCGCCGTTGACGGCTGGGCGATAACGCTCCTTTCGCCGCAAAATATCTCTTATGCCTCCACGGCCCAGACAGTTGGCTTGACCGCGGGTCATTTCCTTTCATATACCGTTTTCTTAGCGCTCAATTCCCCAGATTTTGCAAATCGTTGGTTCCGGACCACCAAGGGAGAGACTGGTCTTCTCTCTCTTGGAGCCTATCTTACTTTCTGGGGTTGGACGTACATTCTAGTCACTATTTGTCTGGCTCTTCTGAAAAAGGAAGACAAGACGAAGGAACGCGACAGCATCATCGATGTCTACCGAAGCATGTGGAGCGTTCTCAAACTGAAGAACATCCAGACGATAATCATCATCCACCTGATTGCCAAGATTGGCTTTCAGGCGAACGACGCCGTCACGAGTCTGAAGCTGTTGGATAAAGGCTTTGGGCAGGACAACATGGCCCTGGTGGTGCTCATCGATTTCCCGTTCGAAATTGGTTTGGGATATTACGCCGGCCAATGGTCGAACCAATATACTCCCATGAGACTGTGGTGCTGGGCGTTCGTTGGCCGACTCATTGCCGCCGTCGTGGCCCAGGCGACCGTGATGATCTATCCTGCTACGCCGAAGGTTCCTCTGTGGTATCTTCTGGTGGTCATTGGAGAGCATGTGCTGTCCACTTTCATGAACACGGTCATGTTTGTCGCTATTTCTGCCTTCCACGCGCGCATTGCCGACCCTGCCATTGGAGGAACCTACATGACCCTGTTAGCGACGTATGTATCCTTCGTATGATATCGTCTGGTACCTATGCTGACAGAGTGCAGTGTTTCTAACCTTGGGGGCACTTTTCCGAAATTCTTCATCCTCAAGCTTGTCGATCTTTTTACTCAAGCGACTTGCATTCCGCCAGTCGAGCCACCTGACCCTGCCAAACTAAAAGGACCACTCGTTACTTCTCCATTCTCCTGTGTGCTTGAAGCTGACAAACACCGCTGCAAGGATGGGGGTGGATCTTGTAACGTCGAGCAGGATGGGTACTATATAACTAATGTTCTGTGTGTCATTATCGGCGCCGTGACCTTTTGGTACTATATCAAACCGGCGGCATTGAAATTGCAGGCGCTTCCCCTGCGGGCGTGGAGGGTAATGTCTGGGGGTGGGAATAGAGATTAATCGTTGATGGACAGCGGTACGAGCGATCGATTAGATGCTTGTTTGTTGTACTGGTGCTATACATGCTCTACCTTTAGACGAGACATGCAATATACCCGGAGTTGGTCGAGGACATGCAATGTTTCGTGAAACTGTAACCTAAGCTGCCCGGACTAACACCAGAACTACTGCTGTTTTATCATTAACGAAATTTCGTACGTACATACAAAGTATCATTTCTCTTTGTGCCCCAGCGGTCTGTACCAATTCAATAACCCGACGAATGCTTGGAACCGCCAGCGCTCGCGCTGCGAATCGTCGGTTCCAGCGGAAACACCTGGTTTTCAGGCTTCACGTCGTCATACACATTAATCCAGCGGGACTTGAGCGGTTCTGGCGTAGGCCAGGCATATTCGGGATCGCGCAGCCAGAGTCGGACGAGATGGCGTCTAGAAAAGAAAACAAAAATCAGCAACAAAACTTACACGCAATATTCTTTCCTTGAGGGAGAGTAATTCTTACTGCTGCTCCGGCGTATCCCTAAACCCCTCCCGCGCATGGAAGATACTCAGATTGTTGATATACTGCACATCACCCTTGCGGAAATCGAGCGCCAGGTGGTACTTCTCCGCCAGAAAGTGCAGCGTGTCGAGCGCCTCGGCCTGCGCTTCCGTGATCGGTGGGATGTCCTTCGATCGCGGCAGCGCCTGGTACCCCGTGAAGCTGCGGCGGGCGTACTGGATGAGGACGCGCTCGGGGCTGGTGGCTGTTGCGGGCTGGTGGAAGAGGAGAGGGCGGTTGTGGTAGGGGTATTGGGGGTTTCCGAATCTGTACGTAGTATATATATATATGGAGTTGGAAGATGATGTTAGAAATTGCACATCCCTTTTCTTTGCCTTATGAAGTCTGTCGTCTTGCTCTGCCTTACCCGTCAAACGGCCAGTCTTCTGCCAGCGTATGAATCAGATCCGGCCTCGTCTCGGCCAACTCGTTATACACCCTCCAGCTGCTAGCCAGCTGACTCTGACCTCCCTCCGCAGCGACGCTGAGCGCAAACAGCGAGACAATATCGCCTGCATCGGTGTGGAAGACCTGTTTTTCAGTCGTGTAGGCCGGAGCTCCAATGCGGTCCTTATCAGCCGTGTTGCTCAGATCCTTGATGTGGTTCAGCACGACATCGGCCGGCTTGCCCTCAAATTGACGGTCTTGTCGGCCTCGTATCGGAGCGATATGCGATGAGACGCCAGCGTAAATAATAATGTTCTCTTCTCGAGTGTGCTTGTCAACAGGGAGACCGCGGAGGACCTTGAATCCGTGACCCTCGTGAAGTTCCTTGGAAATGTCCCTCAGCGTCGCATGCAGCGTTGGAAGGGGGAAGGTATCCTGGTCAATATATCCAAGAGGTTTATTTAAAGCTGTAGTATATCAGACAGATCTGTCAGCGCCATCACTAGTTAAGCGGCAAGAGGGAGAATACACTTAAAGTGCTCCAGCGCATTCTCAATCTCGTTTAATTCCGCCTCGTTCAGCTCGTAGATCCAGTTATACCGCCCCTTGATCTCGTCTCCTTCCCAGACGAGATCGGAGACCAGCTTCTTGGGAAATCCCGGCGGAAGCTCTTTGGTCAGAGTCTCCGTCTGCAGGCGCCGCTGGGTCCTTGCGCGCCATTTCTCGACGTTGGGCGCGTACTCGATATCGGGCTGCTGTGGTGCGGTGATGACGGCTGTGGCCATTTCGTCAGATATACAGAGTGCAGGATCGACGAACTTGTGAATACAATATCACAAATAGAATGTTACTATCTGCAATGTGGGCTATCGTGTATAGCTTATATATACCTAGATGCAAGGCCTGTCAATACGACCTGCTTACTTGCCAACTCGCAAATCACGTTCGACGGAGCGAGTTGCGTGATCGTGGTGCAATGTCACGCATGCAGAAATCCATCATCCATCATCCTTGAACGGTAAGTAGATCCGATTATCGATGAACTTTAAATGTAGGATTGGATTTTAGATTAGATTTTTCTGATTGGATTCGATGGGGTGCGATATATACACGAATCAGTACAACTGGATGGATTTGTCAAGGCTCCCTCACCAACTTATATTAAAAGGACTACCTTTCTGTGTCTCATATCGACCATGTCAAGTGCTAGTTTGATGAAACCTGACCTTTAAGTGCTTATTTGCCCCGCACCATAAGCTCGAGCTCGTCAGACCACCCCGCGCACGCGCCAAATTAGATACATTAGTCTGGAATGATGCAATCGTGGAACTAAAGAATAAATAGCAGTATAGTACTGTCACTCTATGCCGTACAACTCCTTATCTATCAGATCGATCGTGCCATCCATGTCATTCAAAACCACACATAGCTAGGAAATGGAATGATAGTATAACGATATGGTATAACGATCAAACTATGAGCGAAATAAGGTCAGACAGATAGACGGTAAGGTATATTCCGCTCATTGCGTGAAAAGGTAATACGCTGTGGAGTATAGAAATATGACGGTCAAACTTCGCAATTTCACCATATAACACACTCGTTCAATGGACGAAAGAATTCACAGAAACTCAGGCAACCTTTCAGCGGTTTTCCTGCTCAGAACTTGCAATCAATTCCTTGACCGCCATGTCCAGCAAAAATCTCGCATACGCCCGATGCAGTCTCAGCGTCCAAACAGGGATGATCTTCTGCTTCTCCAGAGGCCCTTCCTCCGGCACAACCTCGTAATCGTGAGCGGTCGCAAACCGCACCTCGACCACGGGCTCATTATTCCGGTCCTGATGACGATCATCTTCATCTGGGATGAACGGAGCCGACACGCTCAGCTCGTGCCGTCCTCCGGACATCAGTCGCCACGGATATCCCCAGCGGGCGATTGTTTCGAAGAATCGCCGGGGTTCGTCGGGCATGTGCCAGCAGAAAAGAACGCCTTCAGCCGGTTTGGCTTCGTCAGGGATGTCTTTCTTATCGACAGTTCCTGAAGATGTCCGCGTATTCTGGTCCTTGATGAAGGCGAGTGAACCGTGTTGGTACACGTCCTCGTCGACAGCGAGGAATTTTATCGATCTGTCAATGTCATCACTGGTGCTGGCCAACCCGACAAAAGGTGCTTCTGCGCGCATGACGCGACTGCCCAGGAATGCCTTTGCCCACGTGACGTGCAGGTTGTCCTTGTCATTGTTGTCGTCTTTTCTTCTTCTCTGGGCCTGTCGTTGTTGGAGTTGTTGTAGAATTCGCAGTGGTACACGCGCGGTGTAGACGTCAATGTATGCACAACGTTGGGTATCAGGGTTGCAGGGAGTGCGCAGGACTGTCGTCGTGGTAGTCGTCACGTCGGCCGGTGATAACGGCGGATACCGAGCTTCGAGGGAGCTTAGCCATCGCTGGACGCCATAGTAACCAACGGAACCAACTGGAATAAGGACGAAGGCTGCCTTCAGCAGTCTCTGTCTGTATCTGCTTGTTCTTGCACTTGATCCAAGAGACATGCTGTTTGTAGTCGGACCGACAGAATGGGCACGTGAGTAGCTATACGTGTATAGCTAGGGGTACTTAATAGTATATAAATCGACGAATAAATTCCTCTTTCCAGTTAGGATGAGCACTCTTGGTATCATAGATATTATGAAATTTTATAAAATAGAATAAAGGAATTATCTGATAAGGTCTCATATATATATATCAAGTCGGAGCAACTTGCTGTAGTATACCTTCGGAATCCGTTCCGTCGGGACGATTCCCTGCCGATTGGCTATGCCAGTTCCCTCAAAAGTTGGCGCCTTTTTATCAGTTACTTCTCAATGGATTGTATGATACCACTGTATTTTTTTTTTAGAAAAAGAAAATAAATAAATAAAGTCTTAGGAATACGACAAACTTTGTATATAAACTTTTTATCATTTGCATAGATGTGGAGTACAAATAAAAAGTCGAGGATTCAAATCTCAAGTTTCCACAATTTATATAAAACGACCCAAGATATATATATCTGCGGATGTATCCTCCAATAGTAGCACACTTCAACGCAATACAATTGTTACTATCTCCATAACGTATAGGGTATTTTTGTAACTAATCTCTCTATATATAAACTCCAAGTGATACTACTACACTTGATGGTGGTGGCTACTTTTGCGTTGATGTTGTGTGGAGAATACGAATCTTTCGGCTTTTTTTTTTTAAAAAAGAATTTATATAAAAACTTTATATGTTCTTTAGGAGTAAGAAGGGGCTTACAGTTCACATTATATCTACTCTGAACTGGAACCGGAGTAAGAATCTTAGATAGTACCTAATCAATTCAATTCAAACGATAAACTCCGTACTGCTGCGGATCGCTCCCGCGAGCAACCAGGGGACGAACCCCACCATGATGACATTGGCGGGGCAAGAAAAGAAAAAAAAACCGGAGCTACGTGCTACGTCCGACTTTACATCTCACGGGGCAAATTCTAGGGCATCGCGAGACTCTCCCCAGACGGAGGACAAGCGACAATACTACAAAGATCAAGACTACGGCCAGATTCCTCCAATGCCCCCGTCGCCGTCCAGCTCGGCCCATTCGGTGGCGGGCTCTACTCCGCCCTCTCCCACCACCACCATGACTTCCACGCAAACCGACGTGGAGAATGCTCCAGAACAGGCCACGCCGGCTGGAGACAACCTTCTCGATGATGTCTTTGGCTCGTCACCCCCCGGAGATGGCCTTGCCTTCTCAAACACCCCAGAATCCGGCTTGCAGCCCACGACGGCAGACCCGGCGAGGCCCGCACCGTCGGCCGTCGAACCCTCTGATCTCCCCTCCCTCCGTCGCCAACACGTCACGGCTGGATATCGCGACGGCATCTCGTTCTCCAAGTCGCAACATGTCCAGCGCGGGTTTGACGCTGGGTTCCCCGTCGGCGCGCAGTTTGGGCTGAGAGTGGGCGCGGTGCTGGGGATACTCGAGGGGGTCCTGAAGGGGCTGGAGACGCGGCCTTCATCCGGGCCGGTTAAGAAACGAACTGCTGAAACAAAAACAGTCGAATCGGAAGCCGACAGGGAAGCGAGGGAGAAAAGAATCGAAAAAGTCAGACAGCTCTATCAGACGGCCGTGAAGGAGCTCAGCGTGGAGTCTGTCTTTGGGAACGTGACTGCCAAGGAGGATGGCACTGAGGAAGAAAAACCAGAGACACAGCTTGCGAGGAAAGCAGAAGCGGTCGTCTCCAAATGGGAGAAGAGAGTCGCAGTGCCGAAATGGGAGGAGAATATGGAGTCGCTGGAATAGGAGGAGCAGGAGGTCGACAACAACGCTAGGGAACCGAGCTGAATCGTACAGCACTTCCAGCGGTGACCGTATCTGAAACAAAGTCATCAAAGAAAGTCGTCAAGGACGATTTATTCGAGCTTGGCTGGGCAGCGTCCGTTCCTGCAGAAGGACCCGAAACAGGCCCACCGGGTCAGGTCTCCATTCGGCGAGGCGAGACGGAAGAAAGCAGCGAAGCTGGTCGAATCTGTCGGAGTGGGAGAGCTCTACAATCTCGTCGTCTCGTCAGACAGGATAGGATCATTATTCCGGCCGAACTGCGTGCAGCGCAGCCACATATATGACGTCCGTCGAGGGGGAACGGTGAAACAATCAGACAATCAATCATTAAATCGATTAATTAGTGCCGATCCACCTGTCAGGGCCGGAAGATTTACTATCTCTCCGCTCCAATCCTATCCCTCGATGCTACTTTATTCTGCGCCTCGCGACCGGCGGCACATCTTACATACATACATACATACATCGTACAGACATGGTGCATACAGACATACGTCTGTCACATTCCAGAGTTGTGGGCAGGTACTGCCCTGGTTCGGATCTTGATCGGCTATGCGGTGTAAGGTGCCTGCATGTATCTGCGTACGTAGGTACGACGTGCATACACCTACATGCATCTGCAGATTGCAGTCGTTCTTCCGATTGTGGCTGGTACTGTATATACATGTATGCAAGCAATGAATACGGAGTAATTCTCTGCAGAGAGGCTGAAGTTCCAAAGACCAATGATGAATTTGCATTATTCATTATAATCAATTAACTATTTTTTTCTCCCCTTGGTACTGTAGAAAGAAAGAAAGAAAGAGCACTCTCCTAGGCAACGTCCGTGTCTGTGTCTCGAAGAGGAAATCACCCAACACGTACAGTACACGTACCTATGAATGGTATATATCTGTACAGTACCCTTGCTTCGATTTTCTCTCTCTATATATAAATTATAGCAAGCAAGCAATTATTGACTAGATCTTGCAAGTAACAGCAGCAAGGAACCAAGCAAGCAAGCAAGAAGAAAGAAAGAAAGGAAAGAAAGAAAGCAATAATCAAATCAATAGTCAATAATCAACAATAATTGAAAAGAAGGAACAAATAAATAAATCATCACGTAGGAAATAACCTATTATAATAACTAATAAGTAATAAGAATATTATATCCACCGAAAGAGGTATAGGTAGGTAAGGAACCTACCTGGAACCTACGTAGGTACCTATTATCAATAACCATAACCCCTTGCTCTTTCCTCCAATCCCTCATCTCACTTCACCTCAGCTTTCCTCATTTTTTTCCCCCTTGCACCGAGTAGATGGATGAATAGATGCGATCGAAACGACGGGCCGTATGTAGGTATATGTACTGTACCTAGGTAGATTTTTACCATTGCTGCGGTACCTATCTACCCTAGCTAGCTAGCTAGCTAGCTACCAACTTACTGTACTGTATGCATATCCACTATCTGCAGCAGCAGCAGCAGCAGTGCAGATCAAGAGCTAGACTCGACCTTCTTCTTCTTCTTCTTTTTTTTCAGTCTTAGATTGAGACTTGGTCCAGATCCAGATCCAGATCCAGGACTCCACTGAGACACCAACTCTCCTAGATCAGCCGGATCGATGATCGAGATCTTGTTCTGCTTCTGCTTCTACATCTGCATTTATATGTATTTGATTTGCCTAGGAAACAATCAAACAAACAATCAAACAAACAAATAAACAGAAAAATAAACAAATGCAATACAAAATGCAATACAACACACTTCAATTCAAGGAACGAACAAACGAATAAATTAATGAATGCAGTTTGGATTATATTAGATTAATTCCTGTCCAGCCAGAGAAAGACACGAAAATTGACACAACTGTATAAACTCCTGGAAAATGGGAAGACGAGAGAGGAGAAAATCTTGAAAAAAGAAGAAGAGGTAGTAGTGGTAGTGGTAGTAGTAGGAAGAGTAAGACGGAAGAATCATTCACTCCTTCATTATGTACTGTACAGGATATGAATGCAGAGACGACTACGTATGGAGGAGACTCCTCCAGAAAAAGTAAAGAGACAAGATTAAACTAACTAACTAATAGCTTCGTTTCTACCTAGGCTAGTAGTCGCTATTCTAGGTGTTATCTACCTGCCAGTCCGGGTTTTACCTTTTCCCCTTTCCTTCCTACCCAAGAAACTCCAAGACGAATGAAAAATATAGAAAAAAAAAAAGAAGAGAGACAGACAGCGAGAGATAGGATAGTACATGAGTGAGTGCTTTTTTTCTTTTTTTAGGCTTGCGCCAACACTCTTTTTCTTCCCGCGAGGGAGGTCCCTTTTCTTCTTCCTTTTTTTTTCCCCCCCAGTCCCAATCCGATATTGGTTGTAAATAGCACAGAACAAACACAAGACCAACGAAAAGAAACAAAACGATAGGAATCATACATTAGTAGTAAAGGAGCGTGTAGCGTTGTGACATCGCGTCGGCATGAAACAGATTACCAACCCAAAAGAATGGATGCTCGAGGTGAGCTGTCACGGTCGTGTATCATAACCAAACCAAACATTAAAACGAAAAGAAAACATCCAAACGATGGAAGCAAGTCATAGGATAGGACATGAGGTCACCCTCGTCAAAAGTCGTCCGGGTCCGTCGTAAACGTCGTCGTCGTCTGACAGATCCGTCACTCGTGGTTCTCGTCTTCATCATGCCGTTCATCGCACGAGCGTAGACATGGTCGTGGCGAAATAGTGAGACATTGCAAGGATCGTGGAAGAGCATGGAACGTAAGCTTCATACAGCTCATAGGACGTATACCAAAGCATTAGGTCAATAACGTTAGTGGTCATCCATCATCGTTCGCTGCGGCAGCTCAGAGCCCGCAGCGACCTCCAGACACGCTTGAACACGCTGGACCGGTCTAACGATAGGACCGCGTCGGGGTTGGACTCAACACGAGGAAGACCCTGTCGCCCCGGATAATACCGGTCACTCGTCTCTTCTTTCGAGAATGGCACGGTCTCGTCCGCATTCGACCGCTGTCGACGTCGGGACTGAGCCTGGACGGCTGCCGCGGCAGAGGTATTGATTTCGTAATCCCCCTTTTCCTCATTGCTGTGTCGTGATTGCGGGCGTGGCAGAGACGTCGTTGACGGTGCAACGAGACGCAATGTTTGCTTCGCCGTTGCTGGCAACACGTCCGCGATCGATGTGGCACTGCCAGCCGCCTCCGGTGCCACATAGGGCTGCTGAGGAAGCTTGGGCGTCGGGTCGTCCTGCTCAGGGGATGTGCCGCGGATGTCTGCTTGCAGCTTGCCTTCTGATTTCGCGATCCGGCGCAGTTGCACCCGGCTTCGGACCTTCCGAAGCGTTTCGATGGGACCCCGGCGGGATTGGGATTTTCCCATAATGGACTCTGTATCCGAGTCCGACTCCCACACCGACTGCTCTCCATATGCAACCGATGTCGAAGTCGACGGCCGCTCCTTGGACGACGCACTGGTGATTTGTCGCGTGATGGGCGGTGACGGCGCGGTGGGATTGGGAACCGGGCTTGGGCAGTCATGGGCCGGAATGAAGAGCGCGTGGTCGAAATGCGACGCATGCGGCTCCATTGTAACCGGGTTGATGAGACTAGGAGGAGAAATTTGAGACGGGTCGATCTGCCCACGCGACCCCTGGCTGTGCGCTTTCTTCCGTGCTGCTGGCCCGCTGGGGTTCCTGGTGAGAGGCGGGATGTTGGGCAGCGGCTTCGATCGGAGGGAAGAAGCCGCCGGAGCGGATTGGTCCTTTGGAATCATGGTGAGAGTCTCCGTGGACAGATTTATCGGTTCACCCTGGGGGGTAGCACTGGCGGTACGGTCGACTGGCGTCGGTGGCCGAGTGCACGCCCGCGACTGGGAAGGCGGCGTGGCCGCTGGCAGGTAAAAGCGAGCGGTGCTGTCGGAGCGTTCGCGTCGAACCTGATCGCTGTGGAGGGCAAGCTGCTCGGTCGCCTTCCTGACAGCCTCGGGACAGTTGGGCACAGAGTACGTCGAGGAGAATGAACTGCTCGGGGTGAGGTCCGGAGTCAAACCAGTCGCATCCGTCCGGATCGAACTGCATGAACTCTGACTGTGATGAACAGGCGTTCTCTGCCAGGGTGCTGGTGCAGCATAGACAGGCGCTCGCGCGGAAGGGGCGTGATAGCTGTCGCACTGAATGTGAACCGGATGTCCTTGGCGGCCGACAGACAGCTGTTTTCGGTCTTCTGCCATGTATGACATGAAGTACTCGATCTCCAGATCCTCCAACTCCACATCAGTATCGTCCACAGTGCGACACGCCCATGCCTTCGAATCCTCCAGCGACCGCTCGAGGTAGAAAGGATCGAGGTTGGGGTCTCCCGGCACTGGATCGCGTTTGGCCGAGATCAACTGGTCTATGCGTTGCTGCGAATCTCCTGTGTTCGACTGAAGCGGCGGTTCCAAGCGGTTCTCCAGGGCCCCCGTTGCGAGCTTCCCAGAACCATCCAGATTGCAGGGAACCGTAGCGCACTCGCCAGCCATGGGCTAGGATTTGGAGATGCAGAATGCCTTAGGAGAGAGCAGCAGCAATCGCCCCGATCAGCATAGGAAGCAGTCAGTCACTATGCTGCGTTCCCAGGATACCCAGAAGAGCGAAGTGGGATAATCGAAGGAGACGGTGAGAATGTTTCATTGCAGGGGTGGTGAGGATCTGTTTATACCGAACACAGGGAGATAACACTGAAACAAAGAACCCCAGCCAGTCTGGAGGTGGCTGATAGACAGACATCTGCATGCCGATGCAGGGAAGTGTAAACAGAGCTGGAGCCCTGCAGGCGCACGGACGCCAACGGCCTATCAGACCTTACATCATGTCCTTCGCAGGGGTGGAGAGCTCCAGCAAGGTGGGCGGACCATCCGGACGGGGATTGATAGCCCTCCCAGAAGGGTTCGCCAGGGAGCAAGGAGGTGGCCGGACCGATTCGGACCAAGCCCTGGATGGAGCTCTAAAAAGATGCAATTTGGAATACCCCCAAAGAGACCCGTGAGGCTCAGTTCTATTAAAGTGTTATTGCAGGAATCAAATCAACCTTAAATAATCCGGAAGGGTTTGCTGTCTCAGGCTATCTGCTCTCGCACGTCCTGTTTAGCAAGACCCATAGGCTTTGGACAAGCAAAGTCATAGTCTCAAGCCCAAAAGCCTCAATCTGAATACCTGTCAACCCCGACAGATCACGAGTGGAAGGGAATACAGCAAAGGCGTAAGATCGAAGAAGACGACTCGCAGATGAGCAGCACCACACCCAACTCATGGCGTTGTCGTCAAGATACTAGACAACAAAGCACCGTCACTGTAATCCTCAAGACGAGATTGGCGCGTTCCGCTATCGCTAGTGCCCAGTAGTCAAGGAACCTAATGCTTCTGTCTTAATCTGGCCAAAACATGATCCCCATTAATGGTGATAGGGACGCAGGCCAAGGCGGCGCTACTCTCCGCGGGAGTGCTTCCGATCTCCATTCTGGGTGCCTTCTTGCCGGTTCTGCAGAGTGTCTGCGGGACGCACCCCTCAGTCTCGCAAGGCATGGGGCCCAGCCAGCTGGGAGCAATCCGTGACGCCGAGATTCCACCAGAGTAGCATCGTGGCAAGCCCGAACTTTTCCCAGCCCAACGTCGTTGCTGTGCAAGAGGGTTACTTCGACCCCCGCATTCCAGAGGCTGTGCATGTATGTACGTGAGTGTATATGTAAACAAAGCAGACGAGATTCGTCTTGTGTATACAGACGCGTCCATACAAACGAGCAATCTGAATGGCCCTCATCGAAAAGCCATCGTGCCAGTAGCGGCGTCTTGTTGTTCTCGCGTTTGTGGGCAGTTTAGAACAACAAACAGACCCGATCTGGAAGGCAGCAGTTGTGCCAGGGCGATTGCCATTGGTGCGGATCTTTTGGATCTTAATTGACATGTCGAGTTAAGGTGCGGAGACCACCTAGGGAGACTAGAGCTTCAGTGTCTCCATTCTGTTGTTCATGTTTACAGGGTGGATGAAGGAGGGCGCTTGCGCGGCGTCAAACTCGTCAGATTCGACAATCCCAACCGCTGGACATCACATTGCCATTGTCAATCGTGTCAAGCAGATGAGGAAATCGAGGCGGATCATAGACATCATCATCGATTCACGGCACTTCGTGGATGGAGGGCCGGAGCACCGTAATCTCCGCCCAGGACTATGTTCGTATCCTATCACACAGCCGATGGAGCAGCCCTTCCATGACGACTGAAACGAATCTCGATGGCCATGGACAAGAAATAGGAACAAGCAAGACAGCAGGCTCGGAAATGCATCCTTACTGCCAGTCAGTAATCGGTAGGTCAGATCTGACAGGTCCCCAAAGCCGGGGTTCGATGATCGCCGGTGGGGAACACCCACCTGCCCGAATCGGCAGTGTGCATCAGCCGCCTGCGCACCCTGGATGAGCATTTTGGTGACAAAGGCTGAAGGGCACGATCTATTGAATAATAATGGCTGTGCTGGAGCTGGTCACTAAGAACCATCCATCTGAACTCGCATGTGCAGCGTCGCGATTCTGGTCATGCCAGCAGATGAAGGATTGATGCTGGACGTATCGACAAAGTATCCGATCCGTCGGGTAGGCTGCAGGCTGCTGCATTATTATTATTATTGGTCCCGGCTTCCCCGGCGGCGCAGCTTCCCCTTTTGCGCAGCTCCAGACATAGGGCTAGGGCTAGGGCTGGGCTGGCACGCAAGGGCTGCGCCTGGCGGGCTGGGCGGATCCCTAAATCGAGGACTCTACATATATGCAGGACAGCCAGCAGGAGCCGCGATATCTGGGCTACCCTTACTGCTCATCTCGAGAATATCACATTGTTGTGGAAGGCACCAGAAATACACCACCTCCACGGCTCCCACAGACAGTTCTAGAGAACCTGTTTCCTAGCAACCAACCTGTCTGTTGCCTCTTTTCGATGATGCTGCAGCAATAATACAATTGCAGTACGAATTCGTTGGGGACCACATCTGCTATGCACAGCGCAGGTCTCAAACAAACAATGGCGCTCCCATGTACGGAGTATCTAGCCAATTCATCTAGAAAAGTCTCGAAGTCGGGCTGCTGAGTCTCAAGCAAGCAGCAGTCGGGGTGGGGGACGGACTGGTCCCGGCCCGCTGCCAATAAGAACTAATGGGCGTATTCTCCGCCGCTGCTTGTGTTGCTTCACCTTGCCAGCCGCGACAGCCCAACCCATTCAAAAACCCGATGGGCGTGAGTCCTCAGGAGGATGTACGACATAAGACTATGAGAAGAGTCTCATAGATACCTGATGTCTGAAGACCGCGTTGAGTCGCCGCAAGTCGAATACTCCGTAAGCAGGTACCAGGAACCGCAGCCTGCTAACGCCATCGCGCGCTGCCAACTCATCAATCCGCGTCCAGTCTCATTTTAGTCCACGTCGATTTCCTTCCTTTCCCCTTTGGATTCTGATGGTGCACAGAGCGCTGCTTTTCTGCCCTTTTCTCCTCCGTCTGGTCATGATGCGGGGTTGGATCCTCGCGGGATGCAAGTAACGAGTACGGTCTCGCATCGCCAGGTCCTCCGATGACGCTTCGCTGGTAGAGATTGGTGTTCCCGTGTACGGAGTATAGGTATTCTTCTTATGCTTGCTGCCCGAACGGTGTGAGCGACCATGCCGCTTGGCGGGAGGCTGTCGGTATATTTAGGAACCTGCGAGGCCGGACAAGACTCTGCCGGCAGAATCACCGCCCGGTGCCACAGGTGTGGCTCAGCAGTGGGCTTGCCAACTCAGTGAAACAGAAGAGGCTGCTGAACTGGCAGCCAGGCCCAGGGACGACGCAGCAAGCAAGCAGCGCGAGGGCGAGGCGGGGAGGCGAGACCGGGAGCGCCGAGCCCGCCCCGACGGAGCCCACCCTGCCAGCAACGTCCCTGCCCTACCTACTCCTGCTCTCCTCCAGACCCCATCGCCTCGTTTCAGCAGCACGCCGGCCGCAGTCCGCTTCTGATGCTGGTCGTCCCATCGGCGCGAGCAATTGAGTCGCCTGGCCCTGCTCAATGACGGCCTGCCACGGTCGTGGTGTTTCTGCTGCGCACGACAGCTCCGTGGCAGCTCGCCCGCGCGACTCGCCCAGCCATCCCAATTAACCAGACGCCCGCCCTCACGGCGTCATCCCATTCGACCAGCCACAGCAACTCCCTTCCACCCCGTGCCTTGGCTTCTCGCTGCTCCTTGAATTGCTCCATTCTTCCTTTTCTCTCCTTCACTCTCGTCGACGTCGACTTTCGCCTGGTGTGTTCCTTTCCACACGCCGGGTGAATTGCCATCTTCGCATGCCGACAGCGTCGCCAGGTCTCCAGCAGTGATTCTTGTGCGTCGTGGAGCTTGCAGCGGTACCCTCGGCGGTGCCGTCGTCCTTGACGTCTTCTCGTTAGTGACATCTCGCATTGTCGTCCCAGCGTTCTCCGTTATCTGTGCCGCCTTCCGCCGTGTCTGCCACTGCTCCGCGAGGGCTTGACCATCCTCACGACCTTCACGACCCGTCCACGTTTACGAACCCCTCACCGCAACGCCAGCAGCAGCAACCGCAACCTCCCTCTGATCCTGCTTTTGCTTCTTCTCCTCATCCTGCCCCGCCCCGTCCGTCAAGCGCCTCTGACACTGCCCGTCCCTTAAGACTCCCTCCTCGCTTTGAATCCAGACCGTCTTCCCACCGACGTGCCGTTTCGGTCGATGCCGCAGCTCTTCAGAATCCAGATCTAAGATCCGTTCAACCGGCGGTTCCTGGCTCCGCACAGCAGCGTGGTCTCAGTGCCGCCGACATCGCTCCTGCGCTTTCTGAAGCCGAGACTGAAGGCGACGCTTCCACCGCACCTGATACCTTCAATCCCCCGCTCGAATCATATTGGCCCCCACGGTCAACTCGTGTTTCTCCCAGGACTCGTTCTGCAATCCTTTGGGTATTGGAAGAAGCCATTCGAAAGCCCTTCCCCTTCACTCCGGACGAGGAGGAACTGAACGCTTCCATGTCTGAGCTCGTTGGTGGCGGGGGCTCGTCGGGGACCGCTGGAAATGCCCGTGTTCAGAATGGGGGGTCCCGTCCCGCACAGGGCCCGGTCCCTGTCCACGCGCATCACCCAGCAGGAGTGCGGACGCCAACCGATATCATGAGGCAGCGGCGGGATCGCGAAGCGCGGAAAAAGGCCGAAAAGGAAGCCCGCGAGCGAGAGCAGCAGGAAGCGGAATTAAGACAGCAACAGGAGCAGGAACAAAAACAGCAAATGCAGGCCCAGCAGTATGCTGCTGCTGGCGTTGCAACCGGTGACTCTGCGACCCAGCGCGCGCCAGTGAATGTCTCGACTGGCTTCCAGCAAGCGGCCACCGGCACGAGGAGGCCGGATGACCCTCGCGTTGCTGGCAACGGTGCTGCCACACAACGACCGTCAACGGTTTCTCAGGGCCAACCTAGACCGGTCGTCAGCTCGTCGCAGCAGCAACCGATCCCAACAACGACAACTCCAGGCGCTTTCCCCTCTCAGCAGCAACAGCAACAACCCCAGTCGCAGATGAGGGGCGCTGCGCCGCCGTCGCAAGGTGGCCCTCAGCCTGGACCAAGCACATCTCAACGTCCCCAGGCCCAAGCTACCCAGTCGAGCCAAAGTGCTGGTCAGTCGCAAGGACAGCCGCGTCGATCCACCTTCCCCCACGCCTTCGAACGCTGGGAGACCCTCTCTTCGCATTGGGAAGGCCTCACGAGTTATTGGATCCGGAAGTTGGAGCAGAACAACGAGGAATTGAGTCGTGACCCTCTGAACCAACAAATGGCTCGCCAGATCAATGATCTCTCTGCAGCCGGTGCGAATCTCTTCCATGCGGTGGTGGAGTTGCAGCGTCTGCGCGCCTCCTCGGAGCGCAAATTCCAGCGATGGTTTTTTGATACTCGCGCGGAGCAAGAGAGGGCTCGAGAAATCCAGGCCGATCTGGAAAGACAGCTCAAAGCTGCGCAACTGGAAAAAGCAGATGCTCTGGCCCTCCGCCAAAAGGCTGAAGCCGATCGCAAGAAGGCGGAGGATCTGGTCAAAGAGATGCGCCGGGAACTTCAGATCTCGAAAGAAGAGGCAAGGAGAGCCTGGGAAGAGCTTGGCCGCCGGGAGCAAGAAGAGCGGGAACGCACCGCATCCCTTCGAAACGGTGAGCCTACTCTTGTCGGAGGCGTTCAGGTCGTTCCCATGATCCAGGGAGTGCCCAGCAGACAAACTACCAGCAACCGGCCGCCCACTCGAGAGGGACCCTATTCAGGAGGCCCCGGTCCGACAAGCCTAGGCGGACAGGCACCTCACGAATCGACCGAGGAAGGTCAATATTACGAGGAACAGCGGGCATCGCCAACAGAAACAGACCCCTTCACCGAGAACAGAAGACCGGCCCAGCAGCCGTCCAGCCAGCCCCCGAGCTCATCTGCTGCCTTCTCTGGCGGTCAAACCGCGACGTCGCAAGGGCAACCTACCGAGCGATTTTACCAGCACGAGGGTTCCGCCCTGCATGGGGAGCCACCCACCTCCGAGCCCGATGACCGGTCCTACGTCCCGAGCAACGAAGGCAGCGAGATCGGGGAAGAGGAATTCGTGCTCAACCCCGACGGAAGTTATCGTCGCGATGCGCAGGGTCGGCGGATGGTCTACACGCGACGCATGCCCGAGGACAGTGAAGAATACGGCGGACAGATCGAAGAAGAATCCGGATACGATCATGGCGGGTCCGCGCCAGCCACCAGCGGTGCCCCTCACCATGGATACGGATATGGCTCTGTGGACTACAGTGGCTCCAGCTGGGGTCCCGGGACCGGGTGGGAGTCGGTTATCCCTCGTCACCGCCATCCAACGCGTCTGAGTGACGTGATCGAGGAGGATGAGACCAGTCGCGCGAGCCAAGCCAGCCGGCATTGATAGAAGACATGACGGGGACCATCACCCATCGTGCCTAATTGTGATTTGCGTATTTGCTTTGCTTCAAGTTCATATTCCCCATAACGGTGAAGCCATGCCGAGGTGAAGGTTTTCTTTTTCTCTTCTTTTTTTTTTCGGTTCTCTTATGATGGCGTTAGTTCTTCCTCTGGTCTCTATAGTGAGCTTTCCAAAGTACATCCTTTTCTCCCCTTTAACATTCTGTTCATTTTCACTCTTCTTTTGCTTTCGCCCTTTACACTTTCTACTTTTCTATATTATTATTTCTTGACACGGCTGCTTTCTTTGCAGCATTTTGAGTTTTTCATCGTGAATTTAGCTTTGTGCAAAGGTCTGCATGATCCATAGCATTCCGATTGCAGTCACGATTCCATTGGTTCTCTTGCACAGCGTGGATACGAAAGAGCGAGTGGCTTTGCTTCAGAAAACGATTTTACTACCGTTGTACCATTCTGGGGAATTGGTGGCAGTCTCTGCACATACTTCTGTCGATAGTTTCGAGAGTAGTTCATAATCCAGCCACGACTTTGAAGGACTTGGCAATAGATCGTCTTCTTGTATCGACATAGAGTGTAGGGATAAAGCACGGACCATCGTTCTGCCGAGGACCTTCTGCGCTAAACCGGATCGGGAGGTCATCGCCTGCCGGGCTGTTGATCGCGGACCGGCCGGTTGAGCTTTTGGCATCGTGATTATCAGCAGGCTGATTGAGAAGAATCAGACCAGCTATACAGAAACAATGGCGCTCTCGCTACCGTCCTGGTCCCGAACTTTGGGCCGAGCATCTCGCATACCCCTCTCATCATTCCACCGCAGTGCAATCGAAATCTCGCAATCACCGTTCACCCTCCGCTCCCGAACAAGGCCGCAACCGCTGTCGTCCCAACTCTCCAACCATCGTCTTCACCATGCATTGACGTCCACCCGCTCGTTCTCGACCTCCCCATTCCGGCCAGCGCGCACTATCGCCCAGATCAAGGCCCGTCACTCGACCGGTCCCTTCTCGTGGAAGGCAGCCCTCCTGTTTATCATCACCGGCGCTTCGATGATTGTCTACTTCCGATATGAGAAGGCCCGGCTGCAACGCAAACGCATTGCGGAGATGAGCAAGGGCGTGGGCAAGCCCAAGGTCGGGGGTCCGTTTGTGCTTAAGGATCTCAATGGGAATGAGTTCACGCACGAGGATCTGAAGGGGAAATATAGTTTTGTACGCTGGGCCCGAAATTTGGTCGTGATTCCTCGTGGTTGACCTTTTTATTTTTTGCTCGCATAGGTTTACTTCGGCTTCACCCACTGTCCGGATATCTGCCCCGATGAGCTCGACAAGATGGCCGCCATCATCGACAAGGTCAAAGAGGCGGCCGGCGGTGCTTCCGTGATGCGACCGGTCTTCATCACCTGTGACCCGGCCCGCGACACGCCCGAGGTGTTGCGCAAGTACCTGCGCGAGTTCCACCCGGATATCATCGGCCTGACGGGCACGTATGAGCAGATCAAGGATGTCTGCAAGAAATACCGGGTCTACTTCAGCACGCCGGAGAATGTGAAGCCGGGTGAGGATTATCTCGTGGATCACAGCATCTACTTTTACCTGATGGGTGAGTTGTCCCGTCCTGTGCTGTCCTGTCCTGTCTTGTCACCGGACGATTGAACTAACGACGTTCTCTCTCTCTCTGAACGAGCAGACCCCGAAGGTGATTTTGTCGAGTGCATCGGCCGTCAAGATACACCTGACTCGGCGACCAAGGTGATTATGGCCCACATCAACGACTGGAAGCGGGATGGAAAGCCGTTGGAAACGACGCCGGATCCATAAGCGGGCGGCGGTAGCAGTATCACGACTAGGGGTGGTATGATTGTAAATTACTATACTATTCAGGCTATGCATGACATACCCAACTCAGCCTTTATGTATTTGTATCAGTAGGATATTAGAATCGCCCAACAACAATTTGATAGATAAAACGAGATGCTTCTCCTATCCAATTTGTATTTTCGGTCGACCTGTTTTTGCATACTTCGACAGGGCCGGTTTAAACGATTCGCTCGTTTCTCGTCTAGTATTGAATCGCATCCCATTTGGATATCTGATCTTGTAGTCTGTGTGCAGGTCGCACTATATCTGGCAACGATTGAGCCGAAGTTGTCCGTGGACCGCGTGATCGAGGAGGTGATATATATCTAGCCTGGCGCCGTTGGTGATGGGGACGAACGAAAGGAAGTTCGCGTGCCTTGACAAGACGCACGTCGAGAGGTATGCTGGTCATGGATATGTATAGTCCGTATCTCGTCGGACTGTTCGATATCGAACCCACAGGGTCGTATCCAACATGTGACATGGTCTGTTCAGGATCCATTGCCACGCCATCACCATCTTCTCAGGCATCAAGTCGATGATAGTTCGTTTTCAGTCTGACGGCCGTTTTTCCCCGCTCTATTTATTATTATCGCCAACCAAATTCCCATCCGCGTCGCGATCGCGATTCGCCCTCCACTCGCCCTCCTCGGGCTTCTGGCCAACAAACTCCTCTCTCTTCCAGATCTCCGCCTTAGTCTTACACTCCTCGAGCACCTCCTCGCCAGCGCGCCACGCCGCCCTTCGATGCGCCGAACTGACCGCGATCGCGATCGACGCCTCGCCGATAGGCACATTGCCCAGCCGATGCGCGATACAGACCCCGAGCAGGCCGTGCGTCTGCCTCGCTGCCCTCGCGATGGCCGTCAGCGTGCGCAGCGCCAGCGGAGCGTACGACACGTAGCTCAGCTGCGCGACGGGCCGGCCCTCGAAGCTGTCGCGCGTCGTGCCCAGGAAGAGCACGTTGGCCCCTGCGGAAGGCGAGCTGACGCGCGAGAGGATCGCGTTGGTGTCCAGCGGCGTGTAGGTTAGTTCGATGTGGATGTTCTCCTCGGCTAGGTGCACGGTGCGCGGGTAGGTGGAGGGGTCGAGATGCGGTGGAATGGCAGAAGAAGCAGTAGCAGGGTCGTTATCGGTAGGAGGAGCAGTCGTTGTCGAGTGCGAGTCGCCGTTGGGAGTCGTTTGGGGGTCCATTGTCAGTGAATAGACGTCCTGGTAGGAATGACAAGTTGAATTGGGTACCAAGTAAGAAAGTTTTTGTCTTTCTTTCTTTCTTCTTGTTTTCTGATGTGTAGAAGAAGTTCGGAGACCTCCGTGCGGAGAAATAGATGGAGGGGTAGATACGGAGTAGTTGATAGCGGGGCTGATCAATAACTGATAAGATTACGAGACAAACTTGAAATCAAACTTCGATAATCATCATTTCATTAAAATTAAAATCATCATCACTAAGAGATTGTCTCTCTGCAATTTGCAGCAGGGTTAAGAACGTCGTCTGCAATCTCGCAATTTCATTCTCTATATACCCTCATTGTCCTGACATAGTGTATCTCATATATCCGCTTATCTATCGTCCGATTCGTCCCTGTCTATGATTCTGAAAGAACTTGAAAGAGACAGCGAAATCAACTACTGCGTAGGACTGACAAGCAGCACCGTCGCCTCATACGGCCGCAGCGGCCATTTCTCGCTCGCGTACTTCTCGCTCACGCCGTAGCTGTTGAGCAGCACCTCCCGCATCTTGCCGACCCCGTTGGCCGCCGGATCCCACACGATCGTCCTGTCCGTCCAGTTGCAGAGCACCAGCGCCTGCTGGTCCTCGTACTGCCGCGTGTAGGCGAAGACCTCCTCGCTGTGGCGGTCCAGCAGCACAAAGTCGCCGTACACGAAGATGTCGAGGTATTTCTTGCGCAGGCCCAGCACCGCCCGCCAGTAGCTGAACGGCGAGTTGGGGTCCGACACCTGCGCTTCGGCGTTGATCGTCGTGTAGTTCGGGTTCACGCTCATCCACGGCTTGACGTCCGGTGCGGTGAACCCGGCGTTGGGCGCAGAGGACCACTGCACTGGCGTCCGGGCGTTGTCGCGCGACTTCTTCTGGTATTGCTCCCGGAATGTCTGAAGGAGGGCCGGGTTATCGGCGTCTTTGGCCAAGTGTCTGATCGGGACAGCTTTCAGTTAGCCTTGGAATGATCGAATGAATCGTCAAATAGACAACAGACTTACCCCCTCCAGTGGTTAATGCAATCGATATCCTTGTACTCCTCCATCCCCCACTCTTTCGGCACATTGCGCATCCCCAGCTCCTGGCCTTGATAGATGAACGGCGTGCCGGACATCAGAGCCAACACGGTTGCAAGCATCTTGGCCGCTAGTGCGCTGTGTTCCGGTTTGGCGTTCGTGTACCGGTCGATACACCGCGGCTGGTCGTGGTTCTCCCAGTACAGCGCATTCCAGCCGTCGTTGTCGTACATGAACTTCTGCCAGGTCTGGAACATCAGCTTGAGGTCGGTGAGCTTCCAGCTGGTCGGCGCAAACTTGTCGAACTCGCCGTGGTCGATGTCGACGTGGTCGAACTGGAAGATCATGTTGATTTCGTTGCGATCATACCGCACCACCTTCAGCACTTCCTCCGCGTCCCGCGCAAAAGGCATTTCGCCCACGCTGAAGGCGTCATACTCCTTCAGAATCTTGCCAATGTCTTGCAGATACTCGTGCAACCTGGGCCCGTTGGCGTAGTAGCCGTACGCCCATTGCCAGATCCGTTCAGGGTCTTTCACCGGCGCGTCAGGGAAGCCCTGGTGTTTGCTGATGAAATTGATCACATCCATCCGAAAGCCATCGGCGCCTTTATCCAGCCAGAACCGGATAATGTCGTGGACGGCCTGGCGCACGGGCGGATGCTCCCAGTTCAGGTCCGGCTGCTCCTTCGCAAACAAGTGAAGATAGTATTCTCCCGTGTGCTCATCGTATTCCCAGGCACTGCCTACATTCGAATCGACTCTTAGCATGGTGCAGGAGAATGGGATAGCTTGTATACATACCTTGGAAATGAGAAACCCAATTGTTGGGAGGATGCCGGTTCCCTTGCTCGTCGTACCTGGGGGGTTTCCAAATGTACCAGTTGCGATACTCGTTGTCCTTGGAGCTTCGCGATTTCTTGAACCACTCGTGTTGGTCGCTGGTATGATTGACGACCAGGTCCATAATCAGTTTCATCCCCCTCTGGTGGCAGCCCTCTATGAGGCGTTCGACGTCCTCGACGGTGCCGTATTGATCCGCGATACTGTAGTAGTCTGAAATGTCGTAGCCCATGTCGACCTGTGGAGACTTGTAGGACGGGCAGAGCCAGACGATGTCGACCCCGAGCTTCTTGATGTAGTCCAGCTTGGATATGATTCCTGGGATGTCGCCAATGCCATCGTTGTTCGAGTCCTTGAAAGACGCCGGCCAGATCTGGTAGACAGAGCTCTCCTTCCACCAGGCCCGGTGGATGGGCTTGTGGACATGCTCATTGACGCCAGGTGCCATGTTTCTAGCCTGTGGATATCACGAGATAAAGGCAAGAACGTGCTCCCGGCAAGAAAGCGTGGGGAGAGTTGCGCGACTGCGGAGAGAGTTTCGTGAACTTCTTTTGAACTCAGCCCATCACCCTCTCTGACAGCCCGCCAGCTATCAGTGAGTGTCCAGCTGCGTCACCGACTGAGTTGGCGCCCGTCCTGCCCCACGATGTGGTTGGAGCTTCTCATCTCGCTGGTCGATTGACTCTCGGCCTGCTGTCCGTCTGGTTCCGCAATCAGGATTCGATCCGTCATCTTTACTCCACCTGCTGCATGTCTCGCGGCTGTCAAGTCCGCTGGGGCAGTCAACAAACCTTTTGTTCTGCTGACGCTAGTCGGTTGAGTCCCTTGACAGTGTGAGTGGAACGTCTGGCAGCTGCCAGCGAACAAGGAGCTGCATGGCAGACATCTGCCGACTGGTCTATCTGGCCACAGTGGAGTCATCTCCCCTTATTCCTCACTCTTACTTTCGATCGTCTGGGTCCGCCGAGAAAACTTGCTGTCAACGAGGGACCCCGCTAGTTGGCGGGGAAAGCGAATGGGACTCTGCTACGAAGCTGTGCAGCAGAGACGTGGGCAAACGGCGGACGGTTTTTATGTTAAAGATAAAGCGTTGATATCCAAGAATAGAAGAACAGTTATTAAAAATAAATGAGAATGTGAGAAGATCCAGGACATTCTCTTGCCAGGACAGAGAACGTCATAGGGACTCGAGATTGGCCAAATCGGGTAAAGGACTCCCCGCCATCTGGAGGACTTAGTACTGGCCAGACGTTCTTGATAAATCCTGCATCATAGCTGACGTGCTTGTTGCTTTTATCTTTTGCATCCCAAAGACAGTAGTTTGAATTGAATATCCCGTATTCTGCAGTTCATCATTGTCCTTGAGGTTTAATTCTATCGAGCTAGTTCTATTTTCACACGCCCATGCCCATAATGAGCTGTACTGCATGTAGCAAATTCTGTTTGGAAATTCCATGGACTGGGAGCATCCTCTTGAGCTGAATACAATGATATCTTTGGGATAATCCAGACGAGTGAATGCTTGTGCCAGTCAAGGCAGCGATGGAGGCCTGAGGCACAAACATGCCGTTTTGGGACTAGCCGATTCTGGCCGACCTGAGGCCATCTCTCCATCGCCATCGCCATCTCGATTCTCTCTCCATCTCACTCCACGACCTTCTTGCTAAACTTTTTGTCTTTCTATTTTTTCTGTAATGGCCATCGATACGCTGTAGCCATGGCTCAGCATCGTCCAGCAGATAGCAGATATCCCCCCGATTCCTACCGGTCCCGGTTCGACGACCGAGACGGCCGCATGTACGACGACCGCGCCTACTCGCGATCCCGTTCTTTCTCTCCCCCCGATGCCCGTCCACGGTCTACGGATCGCGGATACGTTTCGCCCGGCGGTACACGCTCCTCCCTGCATGGTAACAGTCGTGCTTCAACGTGAAGAATTTAGAAGGCGGAAAAAGATGGGTTCTGGTTTTGAGCTTTATACTGATTTGGTTTGCTTGTGACGAGAGAAGACCGTTCACGGACTCCTGCGCGAGGACCGACTTCGGACAGGAGACGCGACTACTCAGGTGACCGCGAGTCCAGAGGTGACTACAGAGGCCGAGACCGGGATGACTACCGTCGTCGCCCCTCACGCTCTCCGCCGCCACGACGTGGCCGGACGAGATACAGGGATCGCGACCGCGAGGGATATCGCTCCCCGGGATATGACAGTCGCAGCAGAAGCTACAGTCGGAGTCGCAGCCGTAGCCGTAGCCGCAGCCGCAGCGTGCGTCGCGGCCGTCATTCGCACTATGGTCAGGAGAGCAAGGAAGTCATCATGGAAGGACTGCCGGTGGATATGGTGGAAGAAGACGTTGGACAACTCCTTCCTTTCCCTGCTATCACACAGCTAGCCCGTTGTGCCTGTCGTTGAGACCATCAGCTGCGCCACCTTTCCTGCCACTCTTCTGGAAGACATGAAGCTGAGACGTGGATGTCGCCGGGCGTACGCTCCGGTCGATGCGTTGGACAGATCTCGAGTGAACTCAAAGAATATTACCACGTGGAAGGCCTTGAAGACGTCCGAGTCATACGGGATAGACAGACCAGTACGTTTGCTTCGTCTGCATGTTTTCCTTCGGAAGTAGCTGACTAGGGGTGCAGAGATATCGCGCCAGATAGGTTTTCTCCGCTTTTACAGTCTAGACGATTCTCGCGCGTTTATGGAACGCAATGCCCCTGCCATCTATCTCTATGGACGAAACGCCGGGAATGGTGACCGTGGAGCTAAAGTTCGTATAGCATACAGCCGCGAAAGAGAAGATCGCCGGGGTAGGGCCGAGGCCGAATGGACGTGCAAAATCGTGAGTTATCCTCCGATCTCAACAGTCATAGTTACTGATGTCTCGCAGTGCGGATTCGACAACTTCGCAACGCGTCAGAAGTGCTTTCGCTGCCAAGCTTTGCGTGCAGGTATGTGGGTAGTTCTGGCTTCTGTTGGACGGAGCTGATGAAACTAGTCGCGGAAGTGCCTTCTGGGAGCAACGCTCCCCGCGTCGCAAACAATGGTGACAACGATGTTGCCACTGACAATACACCGTCCCAGTTCCTTCTATTCAGAGGGCTGGAGGCCTCTGTGACCGAGGAGCTGTTCGCCAAGGGCGTCACAAAGCTCTACAAGCCGTCCAGTAACAATGCCCAAGGCCAAGGACAAGGCGAAGGACAAGGCCAAGGCACTTCTAGCGCCCAGAAGAAGGGTGCCAAAGTCGCTTCGACCACTGGTGATTCCAATTTGGGAGCGCGAGAAGGCTCTCTGCGCCGAGTTTTGCTAGTGCGCGACCGTAAAACCAACGAAAGTTGGAGATATGGGTTTGCTGAATTTGCCACCGTCGCGGTATGTTGTATGCAAGGACCGCGCTGGTGATGGAACTGACACATCGTTAGGATGCGCAAGCTGCGTTGACCCGCCTTAATTCGTTTGAGAAATTCACCATCTCATCCAAGCCGGTTCTCGCGAGCTACATCCATGCAGGCGTTTTCGTTCCTGTCCCCAATCCTACGCCGAGTACGGCAAGGTTTACCTTCAGTCCCTTGAATAACCCTGATATGAAGCTGGCGTATTGGGATGAAGATGCCTACGTGACGGAACTGGTGGTATCAACTGCGGAGCTAGACAATCCCGGCGGAAAGCAAAAAAGTGCCCAGGCCTCGGGTCAAGCAAAGGCTGAAAAAGATGCCGAAAAGCCCAAGAAAAGGAAAGCCGATGCAGGAACTAGTGGTGCGGCCGGAAAGAAGTTGGCAGTACCGTCGCATCTTCAGTTCTGGAGTGAGCGCCACGCAGAGCTGCACGGGCTTCAAAAGAAGGACGGTGATGAGCAAAACGCGGGCGAATCGGTGTCCAACGCTGGGTCTGACGGCGGGGTGCCTACGGATCCTGCAGCTCCTCCGAGTCAGTCTTATGCTGACCCGAATCGGAATTGCTGCTACCTCTGCATGCGTCAGTTCAAATCGATGGCGGAGGTCAACCGACACGAGCGCCTGAGTGAGCTGCATCGCAAAAATTTGCAGAGTGAGGAGTTGAGGGCCAAGGCGATGGCTAAGCTGGCGAAGCATGGTGTCCAGCTGCCAACGACAGAGTACCGGGATCGTGCGAAGGAACGACGACAGGCGTTCGGAAGTTCGAAACCATCTACGAAGCCCAAGCCGTCTGGTCCATCTAAGGAGGAGGAAGCGCCAGCTGCCCCTCAGGCACCGTCCAAGGGCGCAGCCCTGCTGAGCAAGATGGGGTGGTCTGCTGGTTCGGGGCTGGGCGCTCAGGGCACTGGTGTGACTGCACCGATTGCAACAGAGGTCTACGCTCAGGGAGTGGGACTTGGTGCGCAGGGCAGTAAGCTGGGCGATGCAGCTGAGGAAGCAAACCGAAACACGCGGAACCGGTACGATGAGTTTCTGGAGCGGACCAAGGATTTGGCTCGCGAGCGGTATGAGCAGATGTCATCATCATCATGATTGGATTTCGTCTTTTGTGTCGTTTCTCCATCATACATTGATCAGGTCAATCAGTTGTATGTATGGAATGTATTTTTATTTTAGGTGTTGAACGTTGGAAGAGAACAATACCAAATGAATACCCTTGCTGTTATTAACCACCTAATATTATAGATATCTATCTCGTAAGTCCGAACTTGAAATTAGTTAGTCTGAGAGAGAAAGAGAGATCAAAACAAACCACAATCTATGTGACTGTTAGTGTATAACGCAAACCCTATCTTCGTTACTCTCTGTTCGAATCTATCCGTTTATAGTAATGCAAATGAATATAAAATAAATAATACAGAGAAGTAAAAGCGGAGTGAGTGGCTAGTAATATATGATATATGTACAGTACATCATTCCAACATCGTCAGAGTCAGCTAGACTGCAATTCATTCCATGCCATGACATCTATCCCGTCTTCTCGTTCGTCGTGGCTGTTTTGTTTGTTATGCCCGTGGTCGTTTCGTTGACGGCCCGTGCATTAGGTACATGTAGCTATCGTTCCTTCGAACAGTTGACTGACTGATATTGATTCCATTCCACTAAAAGAGAGAGAGGGAGAGAGAAGGGTGGAGAGAGAGAGAGGCCAATTGGACGGTTCTGCCTGTCGTCATGTCATATACGAATCGTATAAATGTACTTACTCCCTCAGGACGACGGGCGACGGACGACAGATAGATAGGTGAGCAAGAACCTGACAGAACAGCCTAAAAAGAAACCGTAAATAAATAACGGACAAAATCAGGTCCTGGAGAAGTGCCTGACGCCTGAATTATCTATCGTTCCTTCTCATCCGTCCGTTGCTGTTGTTCCCCCTCCTGTTCCTTTATTTCCTTCAACTTCTTCTCCAACAGCTTCTTATCCAAGACGGTGGCCAGCCACTCCTCTAACTCCTCCTCCAGTTGGCGATCACTAGGCCCCGGCGTGCCTTCGATGCCCATCCCGCGACGCATCAACCGGCGCAGGTCGTCGATGGTGTTGACGTCGAGCGCGTACATGGTGCCGCCCACGCCGAGCATGGCGAGGGACACGACGTTGATAGTGGCGATGTTGAGCGCCTCGAACGCCTCCATGGCGCCGTTGACGTACGGCTTGTGGTACATCGACCCTGTGTAGAAGGGCGGGATGGACGCGATTCTGCGCCGGTGCAGCGCGCGGCGCGTCACGACGGTGGAGAGCAGGAAGAATATGCTGCCGCCGACGAGGAGTTTTAGGTTGTTCGGTATTCGGGATAGTGGCTGTAATTGGGTCTCTAGTTGCTGTGTAGTTGTAGAGTCTGTGGCAGGAGGAGGAGGTGGTGGAGGAGGAGGAGTAGAGAATTGCTGTTGTCGCTCATCCGGTGAGGAGCTGCTCGGAGGAATTGATGATGACGACGAGTCCTTTGGACTCGACCACCAGCGGAAGAGGAACGACATTGTCGGTGTGAGTGGAGGAGAAGAAGAAGCTGGTAAGGAGGTAGGATCGGAAGGAAATCGCAATTGAATTAAAGTATGGAGCTATGTATGGACGCTCTCAACCATGACACAGGAAGACGGCCTAAAGGCGACACTGACAAGATTTAAAAAATCAGGTATTTCCTCAATTGCGAGGAACTAAAAAAAATTTCCGCCGCAGCAACGTTGGCGCTGTTCGCAATGCCTAACCTAAGACTTGGGATATTATTACGGGCGGAGAGAATAGGTTGCTCCGCTGTTCCGCCGACTAAGCTCATCACGTGGTATTGTCGCCTCAGGCATCACGTATGTCTATGTACTCCGTATACTGACATACATATAGCAAGGGACATATGTAGTCAGGAAGTCTGCGTCAAGAGTAGATAACAAGTACTACACTAGGCATCTATCACAAGAACATGGTGATGAAGGCATATATATAGGTGGGAGCCCGCCTGAGAAGTAAATTATTGCCTGAAATGTATAATATAAAGTCCTTGGCAGAGACCAGGTACATGTTTTTGTTTCTCAAATCAGTCGAAAGAAGCGAGACCTGTTATAAACACATAACTTTCTCTATATCTCCATACAAACCTCTCTTCAAACATCATCCCTGGCTACATCGTATCATCATTCCTTATTATCGTCATCATCATCACTTGCAACTTCTTTCTGCGTGTTCTCACTGTTTGTCGTTTCATCGTCGTCCTCCTCCGTTCCCTCTTCAGACTCGTTATCGCTATCCTCAGTCTCGATGGTATTATCGCTGATCTCATCATCAGCTGGCTCCTCGACTTCCTCGTACTCAGGCCCGTTCTCATCAAACCCATGACCAGGATGAGTTAGATCCCTGCTGAGATAGCACTTGAAACAAAAGTCAAAGTCCCAGAAAACTTGGCAATGATACTGGATACCGTATATATTCTATAACATATGTCAAAAATTCCTGCATAACGTGTGCAATCGATATTGATAGACGTCGATGAAACGGGAAAAGAGAACGCTGATAGGATGTGCATACTTACATTGTAACAACCATCGCAAAATCCATCATAACCTTTGGCCTTGCGCGAAGCATGGAACTGCTCATCCCACCTACCGCCTGTTCCGCTGTCTGCCAACTTCTTCTCGGCCTCTATCAACAACTGCACAATGTCACGGTCCTGTCCATGGTACCTTGCGAGCTTGACGGCGGACCACCTTCTCTCTACGTCCGTCGACCTGACACAAGGGTCGGCGCCTCGATCCAACAGCAGCTGGATCATCCTTTTCTGTATACCAGTGTTGACGTCGTAGTTATTCCGTGTCCCGACCCATCTCGCGGCCCAAAGCAAAGGAGTCCAGCCATCTTTATCGGCCTGATTCACGAGACGGCGCCCTGTCAGAGATAGAACGCGTTCAACAACATCGACATGCCTCGCCAATGACGGCCCAGTGGAGTGTCGATCTCCCTACTTTATCACACATGTCAACGTCCCCTCCCGCGCCAAGGATCAGCTGTAAATGCTCTAGGTTGCCCATCGCCGCAAAATGTATCACTCTGCGACCCATCCCATCTTCAAGATCAACGCTTGCGCCTTCGTCAAGCATCCATCTCACAACTTTTGGTGACGTCCATGCACATGCGGCATTAAGGGCACAGCCTTGTTCCCCGCCGGAAATCGTGACGTCGGCCTTAGCACCATGGATAAGATATGAGATAGTCTTCTCTTGCAGTTCAGTTCCGTTCCACGCCGGGAGACAGGCTGATTGCAAAGGCGTGCCCATACGCGGATCGATCAGGTTAAAACTCCGAGACAAGGATTCGTGCAAGTTCGTGATTGGAATCTCGGCAAGCAATATGAAGCGGGCCGCCGAATTTCCCGCCAGTGATGTTGAGTTTGGCTTTCTTTGAGATGAAGTGCTTGACAACGTCTACGTTCTTGCAGTCGACGGCTACCGAGAGGGGCGTGTACCCGTCCTTGTCGAGGCCCTCAAGGTTCGAGCCGGCGTTGCAAAGAAGTCTAGGAATCTCCACGGGCGTCGAGCGTGTTATGCAGTGAAGTGCTGTAGCCCCATTCCTGTCCCTGAGACTGAGATCCGGGCGGTATTCCAAAACTGTGCGCACTGTCTTCACTTTGTTTGACACAACAGCATCGCGAAGGGGAAAGCCCTTGGAATTCGTCTGATGATTGACGTTCGCACCAGCTTCTAGAAGTAGACGAACCACCTCCTCTGAGGAGCCGTTTCTCACGGCCACAGTCAAGGCTGTGTCCCCGTCATCGTCTTGAATCTCCAGGTCAGGTTTGGCGCTCAAGATTACTTTGAGGGGTTCAACCCATTTATTCCAAGCTGCTCGCATGCATGGGGTCCCGCCGTATGCCAGCCTGTTTACATCACCGCGATACTCAACCAGAATTCGGGTGGCCTCCGCGTCTGTACGTAAAAGATCAAGAGCCGTCCAGCCGTCACTGGTGGCCTTGTGTATATCTGCCCCTCGGTCACACAACAGTCGTAGCGTTTCATGCCTCCCACTGCCTGCAGCAAGAATAACCGCAGTCTGGCCATATTTGTCCGAATGATTTATATCGGCTTCGCTGTCAAGAAGATAAGCTACAACAGCCACATGGCCCTCGTCTGCAGCCCTGACTAGTGCTGTCCGACCAATAGAGTCCACAGCGTTAATTCGAGCACGGTTCTCGACAAGCAGCTTGACTATTTCGAGGTTTCCGCGTGCTGCAGCCACAACCAGTAAAGGATCTCCTCCACTTCTGGTATTTGCATTGGCCCTATTGTCAAGTAAAAGTTGACATAAATCTGCCCGTCCTTTGGAGACAGCGTAACGGAGAGGGGTCCAGTTGTCAGGTCCTTCCACCTCGCTATCGGCCTCGTGTTCAAGGAGGATCTGGGCAAACTTGATAAACCCGTCATCGATAACCATGGTTAACGGCGACCACTCCCCAGGCTTATCGCAGTCCAGGTTACTTCCTGCGTCGGCCAGCATTTGAACAATCTGATGATGGGCCAGCACGACCCAGACGGCAATACGCTTCTGCATTTTCTTGTCGACGATGCAAAGGACAAAGTGATCAAGAAATATGAGCCGCTTGTTAAATATCTCATCACAAAACATCCAGACGTCCTCGAAAAAAAGAATAACAACGAGAAGACGGCGCTCTACAATGCCATTGAAAAGAAGCACAGGGAACTCGTGAAATTAATATGCGACCAGCGCGAGGATATTGACAAGATCCTTGGCATAAGTTGTTACCACTCCAAGAATTGCTTGCATGTCGCCATGCACTGCGGCTCGACGACACTGGCCCTTTATTTAATCAAGAAGGCTGGCGAGAACACGCTTTGTGCAAAAGACGACGAGGGCAACACACCTCTGCACTTGGCGGTCAAGTACGAACGCTGCACAGACAAGCAGCTGAAGATCGTGGAAGAACTGGTGGAAAGGTGTGACCGAGCAATGGACATACGGACCGATGAGCCCCATTTCCTCTCGCCGTACCGGTACCACGAACACACTCGTTCAGAAGCCCTCAAGGGACGTACCAGAGAGAAGATAGCTGAAAGCAAGTCAGGTGGGAAGAAAGACGAAAGGAATGCTTCTGCCGAAGAAGGTTCCGGTGGGAAAGATGCTGGGGGTTCAAAGTCCAACATGCCAACTGTTATTGCTGGTCCGACGTCTGCTCACGGCTCTACCCCTGAGAAGAAGCAAAATGAATCTGACACTTTTTTTTGGGGGGGGGGATAAATAGAGTAAATTCTGGACTTGAGCCCACAGGAAAGAGTTCCAAGAGGACGACCGGAACACGAAAGATGGCCTCGGCGATTGGGGATGCCCGAGGTGATGATGGAAAAGGATTTGCTTCGAAGGAGTCTGCAGCGCCGAAGGAGATTAAGGAAAGTAAGGGAAATAAGGAAAGTAAGGAAAGCAAGAAGAAGAAAAAGCAGCCGGCAGAGGTCACCAAAGAAAGTGCAGCAGCGATTCTCAATTATTTAAAGATTTACTGCATGCGAACCAGAAGCCACGACCAAGTTGTTGAGTTCCTTTACCCGCCGGGTCAGCGTATGTCTCTTGTTCAACTCACTTCCCATCTTGGTCAAAACAGTGTGAAGCGTCCTTTTTTTAAACAAAAGCTGATAACGAGATACGAGACCTGCAGAAAAGCAGATTTTCTTTGATTTGTATGGCACAAAGTCTCTCAAGGTAAGCGAGGAACAGGTCACCGAATTCCTTGGCCACGTCAAGTTCGAGGACACCTTGCAATACGTCGCACTTCCTCACTTACAGCTCGAAAGGAGAGTCGTCCCTCAAAACTAAGGAAGTTGAACAAATCAAACAAACCAGATGGCAACGGTCGTGATGATATGACGTTCTTTTTCGATTTCCTCCGTGACAATGGTGTAAAACAGGTGATGCATATCATCATTGACGACGAAGAATCACCAGCACATAGTAATAAGGCGATAGAGAAGGCGCTAAGCGGCTTAAAGGTCGAGATCTGGGACTGGCGAAAGATTGACCTGTGCAGTGAGACAATTGTCGTTGCAGCCCCGGACACCACCGAAGTCTCCCTTTACTGGTCAGGGAACAATGCAGTACTGCTCGGATGGAGTTCTCCTGACGGATTGCCGCAACTGAAAAAGTTGAAGAAGGTGCACTTACATGTTAAGCAGGTAACTATATTCCTTAGCCATCTTTTCGATTCTTCCTCTGCGGAGGTGAAAAGTACAGTAGGAACTGATCCATTACTTCAATGGCAGGGTCTGGAAACCAGAAAACGCAACGAGAAGAAAATTTGCCAGTTTGAGAATCGACTCAAGGTATTCTTTAAGGAAATCGAGGTCAGGGTTTCCTATAACCACCAACCCAAGGAACATGCGCCCACAGCGGTCTCTGTTGATGTTTACCAAAAGGAATATGAGCACCGACACAGATGGCTCACGTGTATGGATGAATTTGCGGAGTTCATTCAAAACATCCCGGTTTCGGCAACGCATCATGAGCCGGTGACGGTAGCGTTAATCGACGATGGGGTTGACATTATCGAGCCGTCCATTCGTGATAAGATTGTCGATGGTGCAAGTTATTGCCTAAGAGAGGAAGATCAGATTCAGCCTAAACAGACTATGCGAAAACCGTACTATATCTCTGAAGACGTCTGGGAAAGAGAAATTAGGATATTCTAATTTCCTCCGTTTATACTCTCTAAAGGTATAAGATTGTCCTAAAGTAAGAGAATCCGGGAGCCCTCCCAGCTCCAGAACTTGTATGCACCACAAAATAGAGCACGCTTTCAGGATACATTTTCAACCTCTGGACGCTTTGAAAATCGCTTTCTTCTGCTGCTGATATTGACGAATTAATGAAATTTTCTGCATTCTCTACATCGAGCTATGAAAACTCTGAATACAATGTGGATTAGGCAACATGGAAAATGATCAAACCTGGAGGCACACGCTAAGTTTCTCACGGAGCCTCCAGGAATCGCCTGGCGCTTCAGAAAAGGAGATGACACGATTGATCCAGGTGCTGTGTGGAAAGAACGTTTCGGACAACGAAGACATGGTTTTTTTGCTGCAAAGATGATGATATGAATAAATGAGAGGAAAGCGTGATATATGGAGGTTTCTGACGCAGCAGGGTAAGGAGGTGCAAGAAATGAAATGCCTATTGGATCATTCTGGCAGGAAGTCTTGAGCCTGACCAATCACAGCAATCTTGATTTATATCAAGGTTCCGTACCAGAGTTCTGATAACAACGCCCGGGCGGTAACGTCCTCTATTTTCTGCCTAGTATGAAGCAAAATATGAATTTTTCAAGAATCATATGACTATCCTTTTTTTTTAAAAAGAAAAAGAAAAAGGAAAAAGCAAAAGAAGGGCCACCTCTTCATGTGCAAGCTGACACTGACAACACAACAATAATTCTCTTTGCTTGACGGGGACAAAGTGAAATTGACAAAGCTTTGCATGTTCTCTTTCACAATATGCATTTGCTGTCGTATCTGATATTACTCTCATGAAGACTGGCCATTAGCACTGTTCAGTCTGAAGATCCTCAGTTGGACGACGGACACGCTGCTCCATCCTACCAAACTAGGAAGCGCTCCATCCAGAGCTTGAACCTTACAATTCATTGAATTAATATCATTTTAAGACACGGAAGTTGAATTTCAATTCAAGTCTCTCAACTCTATAATTTATACTCACTATTGTTAAATTATTAGAT